AAATAAAATTAAGCATTAAATTTAGGACTTACCGCTGAATTTGTTTCATTCTGGATTTTAATTAGTTTAATCCTGATAATTGACCTAGCACAAGCTACTATTTCTGTTTTGCTTTACTTTTATTGTATCCTGCTAGAATTATCAGTAGAGAAAATAATAAAATTACCTAATAATCATAATGTATTTCTGCTGTCTGTATTCCACAAGTGATAATCAGAGTCTTCAAGACAATAGACATCTTAAATCCATGATTTGCCTAGGTAGCATGACTGACAAAAGATAGTAATTCACTACGTAAGGTATCTAAGGTACCTAATATATGGTAGTCACTTCACGTTGTTCAAAAGTAAAACATTCCCAGCCTACACTCTTGCATTGGGCGGGTACTGTACATCTGAGTCATCCAGATTTGTCTGTCTTAAGTGAAGAGAGAAAGTGGCATAGAATAGACCCACTAGTTAACACTGTGGCATTTACTTGTTCTTCCTTTACCTTTTTTGTTTTTTGTCTTTTGTTTTTTGTTTTTTGCTTTATTCCTTAACTTGTTCTCTTTAACTTTTTGTGATTTAACACATGTTCATTTTCAGCCCCAGGAAAATGTTAGGATGTTTTCTCTTTGAAAAATTTTCCCCCTCCTCCCTTTTTTTCCTGGTGCTATAGGGTAGGATTGTGTTAAAGTGGATATCCTGTACAGACAGCTTATATAGGAAGTTTACTCTTAGTCCTATGAGAACAAAGAGTGAGTGGGAAGAAAGAAGAAAGGAAGGAAATATATTTTGACTTGAATAAAAAGATGGTAGAACCAGCAATGGGAATAAGAATGGGGGAAAGCATTGTTTTTCAAGTTGTAGATCTTTTAGTATTTTCACCTCAAAAGTGGCTTTTATCCCATATGTATTATTTTATATATTTATGAAATAAATAGTATGGTATGATTTGACCTGTATGATCTTTAAAGTTTACATAAAATCTTGCCATAGAGTTCATTACCTTTTTTTATTTTGTCAAGTAACATGGTTTTTAAGACATTGACCTGCTTTTAGTGATCTTATTTTGAACTTGATGATTTCTCTCCAGTACTGATAAACCATATCTTGAAGACATGTCTTTGCACATTGACAGTCTGTCACTCTACTGTGTCACTTTGCTGTCATCAGTGCAGAATTCTTGTTCAGCCAATTTCAATACTTTCTCTCCTCTGAAACCTTTTCTGACTCCAAACTTTTTTTCTGTTCTATTGTATCATAGCATACTCTCCTAGTATACCAGTGTTGCATGATTCATGTATTCAGTATCTTTTTTTGAGAGCCTTTTATATCTGTGTACTGTTCTGGGTGCTTGAAATTTATCAGTGAATAAAGCAGATAAAAATCCCTGTCCTTATAAAATTGATATTCTGGTGGTAGAAATTAAATAATATACATGAATATAATAGACAATTAAACTACATATTTTGTGGTAATAAGAACTATAAAGAGCAATAAATTAAGAAAGGAGATATGGGACCTGTGGAAGTATTGTCAGGAACACACATTTTGAAATACGATAGTCAGAGAATGCCATACTGAGAGGATGGCATTTGAGTGAAATGTCATGGATATCTTGGGGAAGAATGTTTTAGGCAGAAGGAAAGTCAGTATTAAGGTCCTGAGGCAGGTGTGTGCCAGACATGTTCAAATAATAACAGGGAAGCCAGTGGTCAGAATGAGGTAAACTAGAAGGGAACAGTAACAAGATGAATCAGGCAAGATAAATTGCAAAAGGCCTTGTAGGCCTTATAAGGGCTTTAGATTTTACTCTAAGATAGGGTGCCTTCAAAGAATTTTGAGCAGAGTGATAACACAAGTATGACTTTTGCTTTTAAAAGCTGCCTGGTTGTTAAGAATTGACAGTAGAAACAAAGCTAGAAGCATGGAGATATATTAGGAGTCTAGTGAAATAATTTAGGTAGGAGATGATGGTGGTACAGAGTAGAAATGGAGAAGGTGAGAAAATAATAGATTCTAGATATATTTTGGAAGGCAATAGGGTTTTGTAATGTATTGAAAGTGGTATATGAATTCAATAAAGGAGTTGTGAATGATTTCAAGGGTTTTTTGTTCCCCCCAGCTTCATTGACATAATTGATATAATAATGTACAAGTTTAAGGTATACAGTGTATTGATTTGTACACTTAGATACTGCAAAATGATTTCTTCTACATTAGCTAATACTTGTATCACTCATGTAATTATTTCTTTTTTGTGGTAAGAAACATTTAAAATCTACTCTCTTAGTAACTTTCAAGTATATAATAAAGTATTAACTTTAATCACAAATTATGTTAGACATTAGCCAGAACTTACTCATATTATAGCTAGTAGTTTGTACTCAAGCTTTCAAAGTTTTTGGTCTGAGCATCTGAAAAGAAGGAATTGTCGTTAACCAAGATGGGGAATTCTGTGGAGAAGCAAACTGGGGAGAGTAGTTGTTTTATCCAAGACCAAATAGTGCCATTAGTGATTTATAATCTTTATAATCTTCATTTTCTTTATTTTTTTTTAAATTTTTGCATAGAAGAACCAGGGTATAGGCCAGAGACGTAGGGGAGGTGAGAGGATTCATCAGAGACAGTGTGGGGAGCAGAACAGGTGGATTTACTGAAACACACTGCTAAGGGAAGCTATGGGTGAGACAGGAGAGGTCTGCTGTGCCATATGTGGGTTAGCTCCCTGGCAGGGGATCAAACTCAGGCTGAAGAGGTGATAGTGCTGATACTTAACCCCTAGGCAACTTTGAAGACCCATAATCTTCATTTTCTGATGCCCAGTACAGTGCTGAGTGTACAGTGCATGTTCACTAAAATTACTAGTTTAATTGATCTTAAGTTTTAAAATACTAGATTTCACAAAATGAGATATAGATGCATGGCATTTGCTATCTTTAGCCATAATATGCTTTAGGAGTTGACTTTAGTGGCTTAACTATTTAATATTTCTAATTTGGTCAGTGATGGTTACTTGTCATTCTTGTAGTGCTTTGTTACTCTTAATTTTTATTCTTCTTACAATTTCAAATAAGGAATACTTCTATCTAAAAAAGAAGGAAGTTTACTCTTGTTTCACAATTAATCAGGCAATAAAAATCACAAAACATTGTCATGTGTTACCACTATCACTAGCAAGAAACATTCATCATTGTTTCATGTGATGAATCGGGTTAATGGATCCTGTGATGTTCAGTTTAGAGCCAAATAAATATTTTCTGTATTTCTTTTTAACAGTTCTTTTCATTTTAATAAAGGTTTGGCATTTTGTGGCCCCGTGCAAATTCTGCTAGAGTAGATATTTTTCACTAGAATAAAGAAAAACATAGTACATGTGACCAGACTGAAGAATGTTTTATATAATATGGCATTTTGTTTATTTGGTAATCCTGATTAGTTAGCTAAGTACATAATACAGCTGTTCCCATTCACTCTAACCTTGCATTTAAACAAAGAGCAATGCATTTGTTTCAAACTCACTTTTCAGGGCATCTGGACATGTCTTCAGGTTTGCTGTAATATTCTTAATGCAAAACAAAATTTAATTAGCTTTGAAGTTTTAAAGATATGGTCCTTTTAAGAGGAGATAAGAATGTGTGTTAAAGGGAAACAAACTAAAACTGTTAGATTTACAGGTCAGCCCACAACAAGAATTTCTGTTATATCTTATAGACAGTTAAGAAGCCATTTTTGAAACATTGGCTAAGGTGATTGTAAGATTGAAACATATCTCATTACGCCCTGTCACATTTTTTGTGTAATTTTGTCATTCATTAGTTTACAGTTATTGAACACATATTTCATAACTTGCTAGAAAAAAGTTACAGTTCTTATGCCAAGAAGCACATGTGAATGAAGTTTGGGAAACATAAATTAAGGATGTTATAAAGACAGAGGATAGTAATGCAGCAGGTATACTTTTTTTGAGAGATTTATTTACTTATGCATAGAAGAACTGGGGTGTCGGTCAGAGGTACTGGGGGTGAGAAGATTCACCAGAGACAGAGTGGGGAGCAGAACAGGTGGATCTAATGAAATACCCTGCTGACAGGAGCAGTGCGTGAGACAGGAAAAGTCTGCTGTGCATTTATATGTGGGTTAGCTCCCAGGCAAGGGTGAAAGCATGAGAGCACAGAGACCACCAGGGAGGCCCAGCTATAATTTTTTTTTAATATTTTATATAATTCTTACATCATTTTTCATTTTTGCACAATATATGGATTTTCATTTTGGTTATATTCCCCATACAATTGTACCCCCCGCCCCCCTTATTTTGACCCTAATCCTTCTTCTCACCCTCATCCCCTGTAGTGTGTCTCTGGTTTATAGTTGCTTGTTGATTTTGATTTTTACTTTGTATTAATTAGTCTTTTTCCTGGTCCCTTATTTAGGTTTTCTAAATTCCTGCTATGAGTGAGACCATCCGGTATTTTTCTTTTTCTTTCTGACTTTTTTTGCTGAGCATGATTCTTTCTAGCTCCATCCATGTTGCTGCAAACTGCATGTGTTTATCTTTTTTGATTGCTGAGTAATATTCCATTGTATATATATACACCACATCTTCTTGATCCAGTCATCTATTTTTGGGCATTTGGTTGTTTCCATCCAGCTATAATGTTTTTGAAAACACACACAGAGGAAGAATATGGGACATTTCTTAGGGGAGGTTATATTGGAGCTGAGTGTTATAAAATGAGTAGAAGCCACTCAGTGAAAATGAGGGTGGAATGGGAGCCCATTTCATGTAGACTGAACTGTGTGAACAAAAGGCAAAAACATAGGAACGGACAGCGCTCAAAATTTGAGGGCTAGAGTGGGCATAGGTGTGGAGTGAGGAGAGGTGAAGCTGAAGAAATAGATAAAAACTTGATCACGAAAGACCTTGATGGCCATGTTAAAGAGATTTTAGCTTGTTGGTGAACTTTTGAATAGTCTTAAGAAGAGTTGACATGGTCAAATTTTTGTTTTAAATAGATCACTTTGCCAGCTGTGTGGAGGATGGATTTGAGGGAGACAAGACTGGAGGCTGTAGTCCAGGTGAGAGATGATGGATATCTGAACTAAGGAATTGGCAGTAGAGATGGAGAGGAGGAAATGGATTTGAAAAGACATCAAGCTATAGATTCATTGGTTTTTCACCTTCAAATATGCTAAAACCAATTTTAAATTAAAAAATGATTTGAGGGAGAGAGAAAAAGAGTGTTACATGGCATAGGCAGTTGGATAATGGCTGATAGCCACTAAAAACAATCCCAGTGATCAAGAAAATTGCTACTGGAAAAAGTGGTTTTTTTTTTTTTGGTTTTGTTCTGTTTGGTTGTGTTTTTTTTTTTTTTTTTTTTTTTTAATAAACTTTATCTGGGCCATGAGAAGCAGGTGGTTTAACTAAGATGGTATAGGGATCACCTATTTGTATCCTTGACTAAATTTATGAAATGTGAAGCCTGTGGAAGATACTATAACTCACATTATTACATGTGGCAGAAATTCAATAAATACCTATTGTTAGTGATATTTAATAGCTGTCAATTAAGCTATTACTACTTTATAAAAATGTTTCACCTTGGAGAAGAAAAGAGTTATGAATTTTTTTTCATTAAAACAATGAATAACTACAAGCTGTTGTATTATAAACAATGCATAGTAGCAAAGTATTTTGGAATGCCAAGAATATTTTATAATAAGCCAAAGCCTGTTTTTTTCCTGTTGTTTTAACATAATTTTAGGATTTTTCCATATATAAATGAAGGGTCTGGATTTATACAGTATGTACATATTTCTTAAAATCTATTTTCTCTTTTCCAAAATTTGTTTTATATGGGGTATAAAGGAAGGAAGGATATTTGAGATGACTTATAAAATATAGCTTTTCCTTCCTAAAACCACTTCCACCACAACAGAATATCCTATGTTTTATAAAATGAATCACCACTTTTTTTGGGGGGGGGGATAATTTTTCTTGAGAAAAATGTTTTAAGTTGCTATTCATTTATTCCTGATTAGGATGATGGGGGATTGCATTTAAATCATAGCTAAATGCTTATTTTGTGTCCTTTTATCTGTCTTACTATTTTTTTTAATAAAAAAAAGTACTTGGGAAACTGTCACTTGCTCATTCTTCATGACTCCACACTGTTTATGTATAGCATTCAAATGGATTTCCAACTGTTCAACTTATTGTGAATTCCTTCTTCTTTTTATGTCTTTCAGAAGCCTTACACCGCCCTTATGGTTGTGATGTTGAACCCCAGGCACTGAATGAAGCCATCAGATGGAGCTCCAAGGAGAACTTGCTTGGAGCCACTGAGAGTGACCCTAATCTATTTGTTGCACTTTATGATTTTGTAGCAAGTGGTGATAACACACTCAGTATCACTAAAGGTGAGCTTCTGTGAAACATCATCTCACTTTTTAGTTTTCATTAGTGGTTAAGAATAAAAGGATTGTGGTCTAGATTCTGCCTTCGACTAGCGCAAATCACTAGGTAATTTGGGCCCAGATACTTTTGGTTCAGTTTTTTTTTTTTAAAGCAGTATATGAGATAATCTTACTCTTCTACTTTATTGGGTTTATTAAGGATAAAATGAGATAAAGCTCTTTAGAAAAACACCACATAATATGTACATAAATTTACCTCATTTTCAGAATTCTGTACTATCTATAATATGCCAGCATTCATCTGCCACAAAGGTCAGGTTTACTGTCCATCTCTTCTCATGGAACTGTGGCCAATTCAGATGAGTCATGTTGCTGGACTCCAGTGCTACTAATATTATCCCTGGGCTGACCACCTAGCTGAGGAACCATTCATTATTAGTCTGCAGCAAGATTAAGAACATGCACCCAAAATATAAACTGACTCCATAACTGCTATTTATTACTTAATGCAGCTGGCATTTTTAGCCTGAAGAAAGTAGTTTAGTGATTCAGAATTTCATGATTCTGTCACAAAGCATCTTATCTTGTTGTGAAGCAGCTTTGAATAGCACTAGCCTAGACAACTTGTCTCTCATTTGTGTTTATATATAAGTGTTGGTGAAAGGAATAATAAGAAAGGTTTCTACTGTAATATTCTCAAGAGTAGTAGTTTATTGCAGTAGTAAATTCTTATAAAAGGAACACTAAGAACAAGACCAAGTAAAATCACCCACTGTTGGTTTTTTGAACAAGTACAGAAAATGTGGAACTTTTATGAGAATTAAATAGGAGTTTGGTGCATTCTCATTGTGTACATTGTATACATGAATTAGATTGCAATCTGTTTACAAGCTTTTTCTTACCTTTGAACCTATAAAAGCTATTTACTATGAAAAACTGTATTTTAGGATAGTTTTTAACTAAATGAAATTGTAACTTAAATGATTATTTATTGAACATACACTTTTTGTTTGTAAGGTTCATGATGAGGTATCAAATGGGAGCAGATATACCAATTTGGCAGGCCTCCAAAAAAAGATCATTACCCTTATAAAACTTTTTTTATATGTATCAATTTTTAAAATCTAGCCAATTTCATCAAAAGCAGAAATCCTTAAAAGATTTGTCAAAATGGCATATAGATCTGTCCAAGAGTGAGTAATGTCATACATGCAAGCGCAGGAGATTTAAAAAGTATAGGAATTGTAAAGTGCTTTAATAGGTAGTGTTATTTTTATTTAAAGATTTTGGATAGTTTGGGGTTGAGTAGCAGTAGGGGTAGTGTTTATGGATATGTAAGAGTTTATGTATATGTATGCATTGGAAGGAAAATTTTACACAAAGTTTTAGGATTAAAACAAAGAACTTCAAAGAAATTCTTTGCAGTTATCATTTTGGGCTGCAGCACATTCTTTTACCTTTACTGATACTTCAGTGGAGAAGTTGATGAGGCAGTGACTCAGAACATTGTTTCCTAGATCTAATTTTCATGTCAGTATTTTCCAAAATAGCTCAGTCACCAAGAAAACACTGATAAGGAAAGTCTGTTGATTCCTCAGTTACCATTTATGGCAACTGCTGGTTTGCAGCTCAAAGAATGCTTTATCTTATCACCAATGGTGCTTCCTTTTAAAACCAACAAGACGCCAGATTTTAATTAATTGATTTTTTTTATTGTGGTAGCATTGATATGTAAGTTTGATTTTATTTTAAAGGTGTAGGATCTCCCTTTTCAGTTGTCATCGAACCACACCTACCACCAAAGCACCCATAGTCCTCCACCTTAGTCCATTGGGCACTCTCCCCACTTTGTTTTCACCCTTTTCTGCCCCTCTCTGGTAGCTTCAGCCCTATAGTCAGATTTCTAGGTTTTGTTTTTGGTTTAATTTTAGCTGACTCTTTGTCTTGTTTCTCTATACTCCACAAGTAACTGATACCTCCCAGTATTTGTCTTTTTTCCTTTGATGCCAAGTTTTTCTACCAGGTCCTTATTAATGTAAAAAAGAAGTCATGCTAAAGCTATTTTATTATTTTAAAAGACAAGAAAATATATTTTTAAAGTAAAATTTCATTATTTGTTTTAGTTCATTCTTCTATGACTATTTTGTTGGAATTAAAAAACGAAGTTCTCCAGGATATTTTTGTCAATAGGTCCAATGTTTATATCCCCACTAGTCATCCCTGTTATATTCCATGTTACTCGAAACTTCCATAATAAAAATATCCTCCTAACTGCCAAAAAGAGAGGAAAACAAAACTTAGGTTGTTTCACTATATCCTAATTATGATGACCTGTCATTAATTTTTTGTAAGGAAGCAACAATAATAAACTTAGTGAGTACTTAATCTTTACTACTTCTTGTTCTTGTCTGGAGTAATAAAGAAAGTAACAAGTTTTAGTTTTTCTAGTCATACTAAATTTTTTTTCCTGCAATATGGTTGGTGAGTATTTTTCTGCACACATTACCACCACACATTCCTCTCACTGTACATATGTATATATTTTTTTTAAAGATTTATTTATGCATACAAGAACTGGGGTATAGGCCAGAGGTGTGGGGGGTGAGAGGATTCAGCAGAGACAGAGTGGGGAGCAGAACAGGCAGACTGACTGAAATAGACTGCTGAGGGGAGCAGCGAACGAGACAGGAGAGGTCTGCTGTGCCATATGGGTTGCTCCCTGGCAGGCCGGGCATCGAACTCGTGCTGCAGAGGCTGTGGATAGTTTCATAGTGCTGTGCTTAACCCCTTACACCACCAGGGAGGCCCCATATGTATATTTTAAATATGTGTATGTGTAGAAAAGTACATGCTTTTGTGTGTTTTTCCTCACTGAGTGTCTCACATCGAGGTGTCATACATTTCCATACACCACTGAAAAAAAATTCCATGGCTGCCAGTACAAGGAGTTCGAGTTTTTCCTCAGTAGCCTTAGTTTGATAACTACTGGATCATGTGTTTTTTTTATTGATTTGGCTTTCTTCTGCTTTCTGACACTCAAGAAGTAGGTGTGAACTCTGTGGGAAGGCTTTTATTTCTTAGAGATAGGAGCCAAAGGCAGTATAAAGATTTTTTGGATTATCAGTTATTACTAATTATCTCTTTCACCTTGCCTGTTTTGCTGGAAAAGCAATTTGTCTTGTGAGGGAGTCTAAACTTGATATTCACAACTTTAATAGAGAAGTCAAAGACATTGAAGTTTATATATAGTAAGGATAGTCTGAGTAACATGAGTCTCAGGTTCTAACTTCAGATTTCCCTTCCCACACACTGATTTTAGAGAAATGAATGGCAGTGATTCATTCTTGATGGGGAAAGGGAAGGAAATTGGGGAACTATCACTTTTAAATTTTGAGTCCTGGAAAAGATTGTGCTTTGGGAGTTCTCACTGTCCACCTCCACTCCCAGTTTTCTATTTGAAAAGTTTGTTAAAAGTTTTGTAATCTGTACTTTATGTTTTTTTTTTAACATTGGTACTTTTGTTGCCTTAGTGCCAAGTGAAATTTAGAAGTAACATATTTCACATATTATTCTTGTTGTTAACATTAAGTAATATATAAAATATATTCCTTGACAAAATATTTTGAGGTAAAAGTTAATTCCCTTTTTCTTTTGATGAGAAGAATTGTTATTTTCCATTCATTTCAGTAACCTTTCTAACTTCATATGTTACCTTATGCCATTCATGGAGTTTCCAGAGTCATTTTTTAAGTGGTATGTTAAAAAAAACAAAAACCTGTAGTAAATGCCAGAAAGTCATTTCTTTGTTTCTTTTGTAAACCTACAAACTAAAGAGCCCAATCAAGATATGGTGAGCTGCTAAGTTTTCATTATTAAAAAAATTTTGTTGGCATAAAAGTTCTTGATTCATTTTCTCAGTGAGTTTAAAGCTTGACAATAGACTTCTTCTGTTTGAAGTAAAGGCTTTTCTTTCATTCTATGATTACCTCATGGCTAGGTGAAAAGCTGCGAGTGCTTGGTTACAACCAGAATGGTGAATGGAGTGAAGTTCGCTCTAAGAATGGCCAAGGTTGGGTGCCAAGCAACTACATCACTCCAGTGAACAGCCTGGAAAAACATTCCTGGTACCATGGGCCTGTGTCACGCAGTGCAGCCGAGTATCTACTCAGCAGTCTAATCAATGGCAGTTTCCTAGTTCGAGAAAGTGAGAGCAGTCCCGGGCAACTGTCCATCTCGCTGAGGTATGAAGGGCGTGTGTATCACTACAGGATCAATACCACCACAGATGGCAAGGTAAGACTGGCTGGCAGCTGCCTGTAGGCGCTGCTCTTTAGAAACAATACTTAGAATGACTAAAGTATATATTTCTTATGTCTGACATGAAAATAAAGTAATAGCTCAGGTGAGTTTAGACTGTTATATATCTTAGAGCTTGCTCTTTCAAAAGAACTTGGTAATGGAAGCTCCATATGATCCAGCAGTTGCACTCCTAGGTATTTACCCAAAGGACACAGAATCATTAATTCCAAAGGGCACCTGCACCCCTCTGTTTATAGCAGCACTATTTACAATAGCAAAGCTATGGAAACAACCCAAATGCCCAAAAATAGATGACTGGATCAAGAAGATGTGGTCCATATACACAATGGAATATTACTCATCAAAAAGATAAACACATGTAGTGTGCAGCAACATGGATGGAGCTGGAAGGGATCATGCTCAGCGAAAAAAGTCAGAAAGAAAAAGAAAAATACCGGATGGTCTCACTCATAGCAGGAATCTAGAAAACCTAAATAAGGGACCAGGAAAAAGACTAATTAATACAAAGTAAAAATCAAAATCAACAAGCAACTATAAACCAGAGACACACTATTGGGGGGGGGGTGGAATGAAAGAGGGATTAGGGTCAAAATAAAGGGGGGTGGGAATTGCATGGGGAATATAACCAAGAAGAAAATACATACATTGTGCAAAAATGAAAAATGATGTAAAAAATATATAAAATAAAGTCATTGAACTGAAAAAAAAAAAAAAAAGAATTTGGTAATGGAAATGAAAAACAGTATTCTAGCAGTAGTTCAGTGGTGAGGTAGTGAAGATAAAGAATAAAAGAAGCTTGTATAAGTAGCTTCCCAGTCGTCAAATGTACAGATACACATCTAATATGTTACATAAGAATTTCTAAATTAAACTTTGTCTTTGAAAATTACATTAATCTCTATCAGAAAGTTTGCAGAGTAAGAATGTAAACTTCTGAGACTGTTGATCATTTATGTATATTAATATAATACGTCAGTCAGTCAGTGAGCAATTTACATGTTGGAAAGGCCAACCTCATTAGAACGGTTGTGTTACTGTTTTACTCCATAAGCTGTAAAGCTTAGGCATATGTTATTCTGCTTAACTGTAAATCATTTATTTATTTTTAAATTTATATATATTTTTTACCTCATTGTTCAGTTTTGTACAATGTATGCTTGTGTGCTTTCTCCTTTTAGATGTATTCCTGTAAAATTCCCACCACCAAGTCACCCATGAACTATCACCATAGTCCCTTATGCTCTTCTCTCCCGTTTTGGTCCCTCTGACTCTCCCTCCTTTGCAGAATGTCTGTGATTTATGTTGCCTGCTAATTTTGTTTTTTTGTTTTTTGGTTTTTTTTTTTGTATTATTAGTGTTAAATATGATTTTTTTTTTCCTGATCCCTTATTTGGTTTCCCCTAAGGACTGTAAATTTAGATAGAATCATTTCTTCCAATCTCTTCCTCAGTGTTATCTGCATAGTAAGGGAAAAACAGCCTTTGGAGCAAACAGACCTGGGTTGCTTTGTAATGCCACTACTTATTTTGTTAACTTCGTGACCTGCCTCACTTTCCTCCCCCTCTTTACTGACTAAATGAAATTTATTTACATATTGTTTGTGACTGCTTTCTCTTTACTACAGTAGAGTTGAGTGGGTGTGACAGAGATCCTTGACCACGAGTCTAAAATATTTGCTGTCTTGCCCTTTACAGAAAAGGTTGCTGACCCCTATCATAGATGAATTTCACACACATAAAGCTGAGTAAAAGGGATTAGGAATTGCCAGGAGATGGGAGTGGGAAGGACTGCTAATGTATATGAGGTCTTTTTTGGGGATAATGAAAATTTTCTAGAGTTAGGTGGTGGGACAACATTGTGAATATATTAAAACCACTGAATTTTATACTCGAAATGGTAAGTATTATGGCATGTGAATTATACTACAATAAAAAAAGTTCAGTGACAGAAGCAGATACAAAACAATATATATTGTATTACTCCATTTGCCTGTAGTTCCGAATGCAGGCAAAGTTAAACTAAGTAGGTACCTTTGCAGGGGTACATTACTGAGGACACAAGGGAGGCTTTTAGGGTATTGGCGATGTTACCATTCTCTGTGTGGGAGTTGTTTACATAGATGAGTTCATTTTGTAAAAATCATCTTGTCTCCATTGTTTAAATTGAAAGCTTTTCTGTTTACAATAAAAAAGAAAATTTTCTATTTACAGTAAAATATTTTGTCTTTAAAAAAACAAGCTTCCTTGGCAGATAAGGCTTGAAGAATGCTATTTAACTGTATACTTCTTATTGCTTATCACAAATTAACACTACTTTGTTAACAATTCTGAAATAAAATTGTGTCTCTTTTTTAAATAGCCTAGCTCTCACAAGCACATTCTACTTAAATATAAATTATGAGATATTTGACCACCCTCTCCCTAACAAAAAATCAAAACTAGTGGTAATGGATTTTCAAATTATGTTCTGTACAAGCTTCTGAGATTGTCTTCATAAACTTTTACAGGAAACCAAGTCCCCTTCTTGCCACAGTCATGTTGCTAAAAAATACTGGGAGATGAATGATCTTGATAATATAGAGAGATATTTTGGAAGCTTTTCTTCCAGGATTAGAGCAAATTTAGGAAACAGAAGAGTGACTTAAATGAGATTTAACTGAAGTTGTTTTCCTTTGCTACTTATCACTTGATTCTTTCGAGTTCCTCAATAAAGTAACCTCCAAGGTTCGTGTCTTCAGATTCTTTAAGTAGTAGTGGGCTTTTAAAAAAGATTCCTGACCTCTTTTCCAGTTGATTTAGCTTTTCTCCTGCTTTCTCACCAGGTGTATGTAACTGCTGAGAGCCGCTTCAGCACCTTGGCAGAGCTTGTTCACCATCACTCCACAGTGGCTGACGGGCTGGTGACAACATTACACTACCCTGCACCCAAGTGTAATAAGCCTACAGTCTATGGTGTGTCCCCCATCCATGACAAATGGGAAATGGAACGAACAGATATTACCATGAAGCACAAACTTGGGGGTGGTCAGTATGGAGAAGTTTACGTTGGTGTCTGGAAGAAATATAGCCTGACAGTTGCTGTGAAAACATTGAAGGTGGGTTGCTGAGAATTACAGTTTTCAGGCATCCTTTTCTTTTGTGCTGAATCACTTGGAAATATCAGCATGTCCTTCTTTAACTTTGGAACACTTCCACCCACTGGTGCCAAGTGCACCAGCAAATTGTGATGATTAACCCTAGTACCATTAGCCCCAGTACCATTGCTGACAGTGCAGGGGCAGATTATTCATTGCAATACAGTGAAACCCATATGTATGGAAGGATTGTCTTTGGGGGCTGTTGCTAAACATCTTAGTGGGAGGTTAGAAGCAAATTATAAGTTATAAAAGCAAAACAAGCAGTTGTTCCCTGAGAACGACCTCTGCTGGATAGAACTGTTCAGGCTTTGTTTGAGAAGCATGAGTTCTCTCTAATTCTATCCTTTATCTGCCTGCCTCTTGTTCCTCCCATCTCCATGATGAGAGTAGATCACTTATTCTTAATATTCACAGAAATCTTTTTTCCTGATGCCACTCTCTCTCTTTGTTAAGCATCACAGCATCAAATTACAGGGTTGTCACTCATTCCATTTTCTGAAGATTCTCCCATATGCCTTGCATATAGTTCTGGCATATCACTCATAAGTTCTTCTCTTCAGCTGTGAGTAGTAGTTGTTTAAAGTAAGTGCTAAGTAAGTATATTCTGAGTGTGAAACAATATGCAAGACCTTGCAAACATGCATTGCTCCTTAAGGAGCATATGATCTAAGCAGAAAGACAAATATGTAAACAGCTAACTACTCTGTTTCCTCTTTCAAAGGTTGAGATTTCTAGAAAAGTCAATACCAGAGTACTGAGTTATCAATCCAAGTCTCCTCTCTTTCAATTGTGATAGGATTTGATTGCCTAAATTTGCCACCCCTGCTACTTTTTAGTCATTTAAACTATTGGATATGTTTGAGGACATTTTTTCTTTCTTAAACATCTGTAGAGCATATTAGGTTGTAATGAAATTTCTTGATGTATATGCTAAGTTGACTGAAATTATTAAGAAGGGGGTTTGTCCCACTGCTTTTTTTTTCTTTTTTATCTTTCCCCATTTCAGGAAGATACCATGGAGGTGGAGGAGTTCCTAAAAGAAGCTGCAGTGATGAAGGAAATTAAGCATCCTAACTTGGTACAATTATTAGGTGAGGAGACATGAACTGCATTTTTTCTCAAAGATGCTTGTCTCTCAACCCTGTTACCTCCAAATTCTTCTTTTGAATCACTGTGTTGGAAGTTGCAAGTGTGAATCTAATAAATGGTTATCATTTTAATCAGTAAACTATGTTTTTAAAGATTGCCCAGTAAACAGTGGCCTGGATTTGTTGCAATATATGTAGTTGTCCCAGGTTCAAAGTTCAGAATCATTCATAATGATACCAAACCAAAAAGTGTCACGAAATATTTTTATAAAATAGACAGTTAACAAAGGTCTATTGTAAATAAGCAGATAAAAAATTGTGACTACTTCCCTCAGTTTACATTTGTAAGAAGGAAATGCTGTGCTGGTGATGGACTGACTTCTCACTAATACAGGTACCAAAGAAACCTTTTTGACTCTGCCCATTTGAAAATAGAACTAGTTTCTTTGGTGGTTCAAATTACACCAAACTATTCCAAAGAAAATAGTTTCCTGTTGATTCTTTTCAAGAAATCTGCTATATATTAGTGCTGTCTTTTGCTATGGAAACAATTATCCTATTTTTATAAAATGTTATTACAGGCTGGACTTAGATAATTTTCCACATGTACAATTGCTGTTACTTTGAGATAAGTATTATTAGCATGCAATTGAGGATAGGAATCATGGACATATATAGAACTCTAGAAATTTCAGTCTTCCTGACCCCTTATGGAATTATTACAAGTAAATGATTTTGCCTAAAAAGGCAAATATTCAAATGTATGTGAATTTCCAGAGAATGATATAATAGAAGTTGAGATTCCTTTATTAACCAACTTCTTTGTTCAGTTATATTCAGAGAATGTGATGGCAATAAAGGAAAAGTATATTGCTGCACTAGACTTTTTAAATTGTCAGTTATTCTTGCTAAAGTGATTTGGAGTGTGTGATATATGCTAAGAAAATTAGTTCTATTCTTGAACTGGCAGGTGTGTGTACTTTGGAGCCACCGTTTTACATCGTGACTGAATACATGCCATATGGGAACTTGCTTGATTATCTCCGAGAATGCAACCGAGAAGAGGTGACAGCAGTTGTGCTGCTTTATATGGCCACTCAGATCTCTTCTGCAATGGAGTATTTGGAGAAGAAGAATTTCATCCATAGGTGTGTACAACCTTATGTATATCTGACCATATAGCTTGATATGTCAATAAAGGAAAGAATGTGAGAATCTTCTCAAATTTTCAAATGATTCAGGGTTCATTTTAATATCACTTCCAACTTGTAAACCTGCTATACTTTGATTAAAGAATTTGTGAGATGCCTTGCTATTCTCAAAACAAAGTTCTTTTTTTTCCCTGGGAGTATATATAGGATTCTTTTGCTCCATCTAGTGGCTTAATTTTAAAAATAGCCTTTTGTTTGAGTAAAGAACTTAAAGCCTTGTAGTAAAACCTGTTACTCACCTTTGAAGCCTGTCCCAATGTACTTATAAATAGAAACTTATTTTCTGAAGCCTGCTTTATTCTCTCGATGAGTACTGTACATGTGATATATCATTAGTGGCTTTCTATCATGTTAACAATTATCATAAAATGCTACCATATCTGTCAGCACTTATCAACTCTGCATGTAGCCCGAGGAACTGAGAATAGAACATTTATGACCCTTTTCATCATTTCTGAATGGATTTACATTAGGGTTCTCTTTACCACAGAGATCTTGCAGCTCGAAACTGCCTAGTGGGAGAAAACCATGTGGTAAAAGTGGCAGACTTTGGCTTAAGTAGATTGATGACTGGAGACACCTATACTGCTCACGCTGGAGCCAAATTTCCCATTAAATGGACAGCACCAGAAAGTCTTGCCTATAATACCTTCTCAATTAAATCTGACGTTTGGGGTAAGTTTGGGATTTGTTTTTTTCTGTGTGTCATTTTATTTTCATTACATATGGCTCTTAATTCTTTAGAACTTTTGTTTTTTATGGTAAATATCCTCCCCCTTTCCTCATTCTTCTTCAGTCATTCAGCAAGCATTTATTAAATAACAACTGTTCACCGGGTATTATGGTACCCAGCATAGAAGGAAATGTAAAGAAGAAAATGTCCATGTCTTCAAACAGCTCGCAGTAGAGACCTCATTTTGCATTAGTGTTCTACTGACCCTCTCTATAAAGCTCCCTGTTTTCTGTAATAGGTTTCCAGAGCACTCTGACACAAAGTGGCATTTTCTTTTTAAGGGAGACATGAAGTTTCATCTTCAATTTGTCCTTTTGCTGATTTTACTTTCTACAGCTTTGAAAAAACAATGTGTCTTAGAAGCTCAATGGACTGAATAATTTTGGAAATTTGGATTGTAGGACAGTAGAAATAGTTGTCGGATTTTAAGTCACTTTTTACCAGAAATCTCAAACTCAGATATTTGTGATTATGACAAATCAAGTGATTTCTTATATGAATTTTATCTGCTTTCAAGTAAATTCATTTTTACATTACACTTTTCATATTAGCTGACTTTAAAACTGAAGCTCATTAAATAGATCATAGATTGTTCTAACAATTGTTTGGCTATACCCCCAGATTACATATTGTAGTTTATTCTCCCTTGAAGCAAAGGAAATCTACTTTGAAATTGAGAAATTTAAAGAAAATAGAAAATCTTCATGAGATTAAGTCTGAAGCATTATTGTGGCCTGTATCTTAGAAGAGCAAGTCATGCTTTAAGAATTGGTGTGCTCCAAGAAATAGAAGAATATACTGATATTGTAACAGTGTGAATGTTATCCAAAATTTGAAAGAGAAATTACCTAGTGGTATAAAATAAATAATAAAGAAGAAACAGTAAGCTCTTTTTTTTTGTCCCTTATGCAGCTTTTGGGGTACTTTTGTGGGAAATTGCTACATATGGAATGTCACCATATCCAGGTATTGACCTATCTCAGGTCTATGATCTATTAGAAAAAGGATATCGAATGGAACAGCCTGAGGGATGCCCCCCTAAGGTTTATGAACTTATGAGAGCATGTAAGTATCTTTGTATATTTATTTTAATTTTGAAGGTTTCAGTCAATTCAGGATAATTAAAAAAAAATGGAAGCATTTTCCTTTCAATGTTACATTGACTACAACCCCATGACATAAATGTTGTTAATTGATCAGCCAGTTGGCATATCGATATGAAATGGGTAAATTGCAACTTATTGAAATCATAAGAATAGCTGCCTGTCACCCAACCATTGGCTCAATTTCCCCAAAACATTTGCATATTTAATGGGATAATAAAAATTGGGTTTGAAGATTAGATGGGGGGAGGGCTTCTTTTAACTAGATAAAAATGACTGCTAAAGACTGGAAAATAAACATCTCTGACTTTTTCATCATTGATTAAAGAATTAAATTGTGGTTATATTTGAACATGCCTTCTATTTTTCATTGAGCACTAGTGTTGCCAACTACTTTGTCAAATGTAAGTTCCAGGCTCCTCCTTTCTGATATCTTGTTATAGCTCCAAATATGTACAGCTGATTATTTAAAGGGTTACAGTGAGTTTGGGGAGATGTTTTTACTTCATTTTCCTAGTGGAAGAAAACTAATTTTCTAAGCCATCTCCTTACCCCTTCTCATCTTACTAGTGGGAGGACTGGGGGTTCAAGCGGCATAGAAAGACCAGCGCTGGTAACTGGGTTTATTCCATATCTTGGATCTGAAACTGAGAAATGGTTGCCTTACTATTGCTGTGAATATGCCGTAACTCTGCCTTTAATGTTTCCCTTTTTGTTACATAGGCTGGAAGTGGAGCCCTGCTGACAGGCCCTCCTTTTCTGAAACACATCAAGCTTTTGAGACCATGTTTCATGACTCCAGCATTTCTGAAGGTGAGACTCTGGCTACTTACTGGTGGTGCCTAGTTTTCAGTGATGGTGGTGGTAATAGCAATTCAGAAATGATAGACTCTTGTAGCTTAGCATTCTATGTCAGGATATTGAATTAATTCTTAGACTTTATTCTTGTTTTCTTATTTTTGTATGTGTGTGATTTCTTAAAAATATATATATTTATTGAGGTAACATATGCATACACCATTGTTAATGTTTTGGAGCTGTTCGGTTTATACCTGTGCAGATGTTTGTTATTACACCATGCCCACCACCAAAACTCAAATAATCCTCCACCATAGTTCATTGGGTCTCCTCCACCTTTTGCTATTTTTAAATGTCCCTTTATCTCATACTTTTGATATTGAGATCTCATGTTTTAATATTAAAATCATAATTAGAAATTAATTATATCTCTTCATAAAGAGAATAAGTTCACTATTTAAGCATCAACACCTATGATAGAGGAAAAACTGAGTATGAAAAGTATTCCAGGGCCTCCTTGGCACAGGGGTAAAAGTCAGTGCTATCAAGCTACCAGCAGTCACTGCAGCATGAGTTCGATCCTCGGTCAGGGAGCTGACCCACATGGCACAGCAGACCTCTCCTATCTTGCCCACTGCTCCCCTCAGCAGTATATTTCAATATCTGCCTGTTCTGCTCCCCACTCTGTCTCTGGTGAATCCTCTCACCCCCCTTACCTCTGGCTTACACCTCAGTTCTTATATGCATAAATAAAAATAAATCGGGGCCTCCCTGGTGGCGCAAGGGCTTAAGATGCAACCTATGAAGCTATCTGCAGCCACTGCAGCATGAGTTTGATCCCCAGCCAGAGAGCTACCCACATGGCACAGCAGACCTCTCCTGACTTGCCCTTTACTCCCCTCAGCTGTGTATTTCAGTCAGTCTGCTTGTTCTGTTCCCCATTCTTGTCTCTGGTGAAGCTCTCACCGTTTCCCGCCCCCCCACACACACCTCCAGCCTGCACCCCAGTTTTTGTATGCATAAATAAATCTTAAAAAATAAATAAAAATAAATCTTTTTTTTTTTTTTTTTTAAAGTAGTCCAACTCACCAAACCCAAACCAGACCTACAAAAGGAGAACCTGATCATAAAAGCAATATCCAGAAATTCCATTTTGGGAACTAGATCTAAAGTAAATAAGAGAATGAACAAAGATTTAGCTACAAAGATGTTTCATCAGAGTGTAGTTTATAAAGTTGAAAAATTAAGAACAATTTAAGTATCTATTGGGTTATATATAATTGAATATTTTAAATGATATTCTTAAATATATTAACATGGAAAAGAATTTAGAGTGAGCATTTTAACTTAAGGTATGAGTAGTTAGAACCTTTTGCTTACTAAAAACAAGTAATTGGACACATACAGGCAGTTTCCTAATTTTGTATAAAATATCTCTAAAATTAGGGGCCTCCCTGGTGGCTCAAGGGGTTAAGTCTCAGCACTCTTAAGCTGTCCACAGCCACTGCAGCACGAGTTCGATCCCCAGCCAGGGAGCTAAGCCATATAGTGCAGCAGACCTCTCCTGTTTCACCCACTGCTCCCCTCAGCAGTGTATTTCAGTCGGTCTGCCTGTTCAGTTCCCCACTTTGTCTCTGGTGAATCCTTCCACCCCTCAAACTGCTGACCTGTACCCCAGTTCTTATATGCATAAATAAATAAATCTTAAACTCAAATTATCTACAAAAGCCAAAAGATAAAATTACTTGTTAATAAAGACTATTCTTAGCTAATAACACAGAAGTCTTAATTACACTTGCATATTAGACGCTTACAGTTGCAGAATTTTATACATATTTTTCCTTTCATTTATAACAAACACAAAGTTATGTCTTAAGTTCAAGTTTAAAATGTTAGAAGAGGAAATCAGACAAGTTGACTTTTTTTGGTCTGTTTCCTTTAGTGATTTATCATATCAGGTAAGAAGAAAGAGGGAAAGTACTCCAGCAAAGTTGAGAGAAAAGTATTTTTATCTTAGTCCTCTCATATAGGGAACTTCAGGTTGGGAAGGCTCAACTGGCCCTTTGACCTAGACTGAGCTGCTCCCTGTAATAGCACTCCTGTGTGTTTTATTTCTCATGTGGTCTAAGTGGTAAAAGTCATAGGCTTCCATTTCATTGATATTCTGTGTCAATTTTCAACTTTTGTTAAATCCTTAGTTAAATAGTTCTGTTTCTCTTGAAAATGTTACGTTCTTTTACAAAATCAACCTTATCAATTTTCAAAACCAACTTTAATTCATAATTGCTAAACAAGAAATGTAACATTCTGCACACATTATATTAAGCCTATAATCTGGCAAACACTAAACTAGGTCTGAGAGTCTCCGAGATAAGGCACAGTTTCAAACTTTCATCAGCAATAAGGGAGATTTTATAGGCTTATAACCAAATGGAAAAGCGAGAATGGTGTTAACCTCAGGATCATTAAAGCCACACACTCAAGTAATGTCAGGTCTTCTTTTCCCTTTTCCTCTCCTACCTTCTGCTACTTCTGCATCTCTGATCTCATCCTCAAAATCCTCCAAGTGACACAGATGTCAACATCCTTGAGGTCATATCTTTATAACTCGTGTCTGTTTCCACATTGCTCTGTATGGTAGTGTAAGAAAGAAACTCATTGGCACGAGTTGGATTGTGTGCGATGTGCTCACTCTTGTGGGAATTTAATTTTTTAAATAATTACCCCAAAAGCTATAAAATAATTACAAATTTCACAATTTAATTGATCATATTTGCTTTATTTTTATTTAGAAGTAAAAGCCACAAAACCCCTGGCTAAATTTAGTCAACCAAGATTTGCTAATGAAGTAAACATTTTTTCAGGAACCTTATTTGTTTCATTTGCATGAAATAGAAAGGATTGTTTTTACCTTCCTTTTTGGTGCAAAATACAACCTGAAAATAAGAATATCTGCAGATAGCTGTTCTGTTCAATCTCTAAGCAAGCACTTAGTAAATCAGGATAGCCAAGTGACCAATAAGCATGTGAAACCATGCTCAGCATCAGAGAAGTTCAAAATAAAACAATGAGCTACCATTGCATACCTCCCAGTGTGGCTGAAATTAAAATCAAAGCAGAAAAACCTGATAACAGCAAACTTTGGCAAGCATGCAGAAGAGCAGCCAGAACTTTTATGTAGTGCTAGTGGATGTATGTATTGATACAGCCGTTTTGGGGAGACGTTTTGGTGGGACCCAGTACCCTGTGAACACCAGTCTTGTTCCTAGATACATACCCAACAGACATACATATGTGAAATAAAGCAAGAGACTCTTGTGAAACAAGAGACTCAGTAGGATATTCCTAGCAACATATTCATAATAATGCAAAACTAGAAACAACCTAAATATCCATCAAAATGAGACTGGGTAATTTGGTATATTCAAACATTTCAAAAATGAACAACAGCAAGGAGGAAAAAAACCTCTGCCATATGCAACAACATGCATGACTGTACAGATAGATTATTAAGCAAAAGAATCCAGATATACAAGAGTACATACTCTGAGTCCATTATATGTTTTAGTACTCTATTCTCCAGTTCTTTCTTTGTTGTGTGCCTTTTCTGAAAAGCTAAACTCCTTTTTCTCTGTCATGAAATTGTTATCAGTCCCCTTGTCTTCCTCACAGAGGTAGCAGAGGAGCTTGGGAGAGCCGCCTCCTCCTCATCTGTTGTTCCATATCTGCCCCGATTACCTATACTTCCTTCCAAGACCCGGACACTGAAGAAGCAAGAGAACAAGGAGAACATTGAAGGGATACAAGATGCTACAGAAAATTCTGCTTCTAGTTCAGCACCAGGTATGGGTCCACAGGCAGGTAGAATCAAAATAGGGCTTTAGTGAGAAAAGTGCCTCATTTAAAGAACCATGGAGCACAATGCTTTTATTTCCATTTTCCTGTTCATCTTCACTGAGGAAAGTAAGGCATCGGTTTTACTTGCCACTCTGGTCCTTGACTCTGCATTGCCAGTGTTAGAAGTCCTGATGGGTCCATTTAACATTCAGTTGTACCTCCTGCTCCATTTCCTTAACCCTTGATTCCCAAATAAATAATTACTGTTCATAATATTATAGTTCTGGTAGAAACTTCTTCACTGGACCTCATTGATGAGACTCTGTTACCCTATAGTTTTCATTTAGAGAAAAGATGAATGCTGGGTATTTTTCCTATTTATAACCACATTGCATTTGGGACACTAATCAGTCTGAAATGATAATGCATTTACTAATTTCCTGAGTCCTGCCATCACCTGACATTTATTCCATGTTGACAAAACTCTGTAGTTCAGCCTTAGTAACTCAAGTATAATGGAATCACTTCTTATCGTTCACATTACTGATTGGCCATTTCTTACTAGGATTCATTAGAAGTGCACAAGCCCCCAGTGGGTCCCCAGCATTGCCTCGAAAGCAGAGAGACAAGTCACCCAGCAGCCTCTTGGAAGATGCCAAAGAGACATGCTTTACCAGGGATAGGAAGGGAGGCTTCTTCAGTTCCTTCATGAAAAAGAGAAATGCACCCACACCCCCTAAACGCAGCAGCTCCTTCCGAGAAATGGAGAATCAGCCCCACAAGAAATATGAACTGACGGGTAACTTCTCATCTGTTGCTTCTCTGCAGCATGCTGATGGGTTCTCTTTCACTCCTGCCCAGCAAGAGGCGAATCTGGTACCACCCAAGTGCTATGGGGGGAGCTTTGCCCAGAGGAACCTCTGTAATGACGATGGTGGTGGGGGTGGGGGCAGTGGCACTGCTGGGGGTGGCTGGTCTGGTATCACAGGCTTCTTTACACCTCGCTTAATCAAAAAGACACTGGGCTTACGAGCAGGTAAACCCACAGCCAGTGATGAGAATTCCAAGCCTTTTCCAAGGTCAAACTCTACATCTTCCATGTCCTCAGGGCTTCCAGAGCAGGATAGGATGGCAATGACCCTTCCCAGGAACTGCCAGAGGTCCAAACTCCAGCTGGAAAGGACAGTGTCCACCTCTTCCCAGCCAGAAGAGAATGTAGACAGGGCCAATGACATGCTTCCAAAAAAACCAGAGGAAGGTGCTGCTCCAACCAGGGAGAGACCAAAAGCCAAACTTCTGCCCAGAGGAGCCACGGCTCTTCCTCTCAGAACCCCCTCTGGGGATCCAGCCATTACTGAGAAGGACTCTCCAGGGCTAGGGGTGTCAGGCGTGGTAGCCGCCCCAAAGAGCAAGGAGAGGAATGGGGGGGCAAGACTTGGCATGGCTGGAGTCCCAGAGGATGGCGAACAGGCAGGCTGGTCTTCTCCAGCCAAGGCTGCAGCAGTCCTCCCAACCACTCACAACCACAAAGTGCCAGTCCTTATCTCACCCACTCTGAAGCACACGCCAGCTGACGTGCAGCTCATTGGCACAGACTCTCAGGGGAATAAATTCAAGCTCTTATCTGAGCATCAGGTTACATCCTCTGGAGACAAGGACCGACCCCGACGGGTAAAACCAAAGTGTGCCCCACCCCCACCACCAGTGATGAGACTACTGCAGCATCCGTCCATGAGCTCAGACCCCACAGAAGAGCCAACTGCCCCCACTGCAGGACAGCCCACGCCAGAAATACAAGAAGGAGGGAAAAAGGCAGCTCCCGGGGCGGTGGCCATGAGTGGGAAAGCTGGGAGGCCAGTGATGCCTCCTCCTCAAGTGCCTCTGCCCACTTCGTCCATCTCGCCAGCCAAAATGGCCAATGGCACAGCAGGTACTAAAGTGGCTCTGAGAAAAACCAAACAGGCAGCTGAGAAAATCTCAGCAGACAAAATCAGCAAAGAGGCCCTGCTGGAATGTGCTGACCTACTGTCCAGTGCCATCACGGAACCTGTGCCTAACAGTCAACTGGTAGACACTGGACACCAGCTGCTCGACTACTGCTCAGGCTACGTGGACTGCATCCCTCAAACTCGCAACAAATTTGCCTTCCGAGAGGCTGTAAGCAAACTGGAACTTAGCCTGCAGGAGCTGCAGGTGTCTTCAGCAGCTGCTGGTGTCCCTGGGGCAAACCCTGTCCTTAATAACTTATTATCATGTGTACAGGAAATCAGTGATGTGGTGCAGAGGTAGCCACTGCCGGCCTACTGGGAAGATGCACACATTATTTGAGGGAAGAGGAAGAGGGACTTGTTTTCCTGTGTTTTGTTTTTTTAAAAAATGAAAGACTGATACTTGAGTGTGTTTATGTGAAGTACCTCAGCTCCCTGAGTTCTCACGTTTACAGGTTCATCTCAGAAATCACATAGGAGAGGAAAATTAGATGGGGACAGGGCACTTGTGAATGGGATTAGAAGCTGCACAGGAATATCAAGGAGCATGTGTATGTTGTGCCACGAAGAACCAAATCCAGCCCATTCTTACCCAGAATGGTGGGAGGTGGTTAGACTGGGCTGCTCTCAGAAAGGCCCTGGGAACTGTGCCCAGACAGTGGGGGGCTGCAGCGCTCATCCCACACCACACAGGAAGGAGGTGACCTGGGCTCCAGCAGGTACTAGTGGTGATTGTATCCAGCTCACCAAATGAGTTTGGTGGGGAGAAAAGGCGATGGGAATGTACTAAGGGAAGTGTTACGCAGGCTGTGGGAAGCCACTGATGGTCCTGCTTCCACAAGGTCACTGCTGCTGCAGTATGAACTGCAAAAATCAAATTGCTAGAAATCAAAACTGGGAAAGGTGGCCCTGTCTGGGTACTCGTGTCCTGTTTTCCATTGGAGTGTTAATTGCTGCGGAAAGTAGAGAATGCCGGGAAGCATAGTCAGGGAGATTGAAAGCTCCTCCTGAGATCTTGACTGATAAGCAGAAGTTACTTCTCCCAGTCAAGTCTTGTTTTCCTGCTTGTTGGTGCCTGTCTGTACACTATAGACAGAGGCGTCCCTTTCGTGGTTCTTCTCTGCCCTTTGCTAGACGGGCAGGCTGTTTTCCTTGACTCCTGGCAGCATTCATGGCACTAATCAACAATGTTTTTGAAATTAGTGGGTCACACACAGGTTCTCACTGGGGAATCCTTTTCTGATACAGTGCCCCTGCATAGTGACATACTGGCCAACGACTCAGCTGCTGTATATTTCTTTATCACTAAAGTACCAGGGCAAGGGTCTCTTCCCGAAACCCAACCCCCAGGCCCAAAGCCTGTGATTGAGAGGACAAGGTGGCTTGGTCCCAACGGCTTGCTCTTTACTTCCCCCCTCCTGTATCACTCAGACCCAAGTTAGGGAGAAGCATTCTCTCACTCTCTGGATTTCAAATGAATTACCTCCAGATTCACCCTTGCTTTTTCTCCTCTCGCTTATCCTCCCCTGCCGCAGCCATGCTTGTTTGTAGAGATCGTGTTGGGAATATTCTTCGATACTTATTTTGTCATTTCACCTCTTTCAGGAATGCATAGCTGAAGGATCAGGTCATTTCCTGGGAACCCCAGGTAGATAATGGAACCCTAATGACTTAACCCTCAAATATGTCTTGCTCTTGAAAAAAAAGCCTTTTCTTTCCTTACTCGGTTATAATTATGGAAGTTAATTAGGATCACATGGAACCAAATCTAATTGAGATACTAATATTCTTCTATCTGGTTTAATTCTTATTGCCACTTCATTCTCTCTTTAAAGCTTTATCATCCCCTACCCCCCAGAAGAACTCAATACAAACACACACACACACACACACACACACACACACACACACATTTTTCCTCCCAAAGGAATTTTAATTTAGGGAGATGGCATTCAGCATTGATGAAGAGTGAGCTTTCTTCCTGACTTACTCTATCGATCCACTGTCAAGACACAGTCCCATCTCTTAATCTATTAAATGAAAGTAGTAATACATGTTCTCAAGGGTGTTTTGCAAGTAAGTGTGTAGCTATCCCTTTGAGAGCCTCTCTGGATAGTTTTTTAGCGCAGTGTTGTTATGGTAAATGATTTTTCATGCTCTGCTTAAGAGCAGAAGTAAAATTTACAATTGCTGACATTGTATTAATTGGGCTAGAATACTAAAGGGGGAAGGATATGAACCTATGTTTTGGATAACATTTGGCATTTTTGCCCAAGGAGGAAGTTTTGTTTCCATTAGAAAGGAAACCTTGATTCTTACATGGTCGCTCCAAAGCTCACCCAGGCCAAGCGAAGGATCAGATGGGAGGAGACAGTATCACACATTTCATGCAGGCGTTGGGCGGTCCCTGTCTGTAAATAACCTACAAATGCAGCACAGGCAACTAGTGATCTGGTTAATCTCCTGTGACTGAAAGATAGTTTCCTTTAACTGTTTTCCAACATTTCTCCTCCCACCTTCTTTGTCCCTCCCCTTCATCATACACTTCCATAAACTTGAAATTGTTTTAGCAGTTAGCCTTTTAAGGGTGGGGCAGGGAAAGCTAAAACTTTATAGAACATGATGCTGCTGCTTTAAGTTTATCCCTTTCATTGTGGGATGCAAGTTGGGGGATTCTAATTGCTTTTCAGGGGAATTTTTTTTTTTTTTTTTTTTTTTTAAGGAAGGGATCTATTTTTCCCTTGAGAGTTCTGAAAATAAGCCTTGGAGGAACACTACTGAGTGTATTTGTGCTCCCTGGTTTTCTCACCCAAGAACAGACTTGAGGGTGAGGGTTTTGTCTTACTCAGGGGCAGCACCTGGCTCTGTCTTGCCTGCTGCAGGTGCTCAATAAGTTCATGAATAGGTTTTTCTTAACACTGTAAGAGTAGCAGTGACTATTGTAGCACACCCCATCCACATGATGCTTGAACTGTGTGACTTCAGGAGTTGAGGGCTCAGGGTTCAGGTTAAAGAGGCACTGTCAACTTATTATGAAAATATAACAAGTTTTCCTATTTTCTACTTGAACCAGATTTTTAAAAATTAACCTGTAAATGTAAAAGTTTGAATTCAAAACAGAGAAAATTGCTTGTAGAAACAAAAAGTAGAGTGATTCTATCTTGTTTAAAAGCAAAGCAGGAGCAAAAGCCCTTCAACAAGGTGGTGAAAAATTTCTAAAGCTGTTATATATGTGCATATCTTTGGACTACCACAGCTTGAATCCTTTCATTTACAGATATGATTTCAGTGTAGATTTCTTGTCTTAGTGTTTCATCTAATACATCTTGATTGTGAATACATCTTGATTGTGTTTTACATGAAGTATATTCTTAAAAGACTTTGTGTAAAATTAAAATGTAATATTTTCCTACACACTTCCTTCTTGATATTCAGAGATATAGCCTTAAAAAATATGGCCCTAAGAAATTCAGTGTTTGTCCAGAAGACCACTGTACATTGAGGTCATTTAATAGTGGAAACCCTGTCCTAGCTGCACTTTGGGATTTAAATTAGAATTTTCTTACAACTTAAATGAAAGTTGGCTAGTAAAATAGTACCCAGTTAATAAACCATGCTGACTTTGCTAAGGCACAGCCCATATTTATTAAAGTAATACCATGGGGATTTTGAATTTAAAGATGCTACATAGTGATTAAGAGTTCAGACCCTAAAGCCTGTCCAGAGGCCCATCATTTAACCTTCCTGAGCCTTAGTTTCCTTATTGGAAAACATGGATAATAATAGTAACTACCTCAGGGTTGTTGTAAGGATTAAATGAGATAATGTTAGTATACTTAGCTGTGTGCCTGGCATATAATGAGCACTCCATAAATGTTTACTACTACTACCACCACCACCACATAGTCCAGTGAGTCTTAGCCAGGGATGTGCAACAAAATCCCCTGGGGTTTAAAAAAAACAAAAAAACAAAAAAAGCAAAAGCCTGATATATTGTCCTTACCCCAGGTCAGAATTGCCAGTGGGGTGGGGGTCACAGCCAGTGTGTTTACCAAGAATCCCAGCACTGTTATTTATAGCTTAAGGAATTGGAAGAGAGAGGATGGTCAATTATTTCTCCGTTATCTATCACAGCAGTTCATTGGTGACAGAGCCAGGGCTCGAGTTTGGGTCTCTTGACTTTCTGATTGTGGGGTCTTTCCACCATTCCTGCTGCCTTGTGAGACACTGTAATGAAAAAAAGTGGCTCAGCTAGACAATCAGTCTGCATGGTGCTGCACTTTCTAAAGCACATGCTTCTGGCACACTCTAACCTCATGGGGCTTGAATGTTGAGTGATGGCAACACTAGAGAAGCAGCACTCAGTAGACTTCAGTAACTTAAATTATATGGGGTCCTTCTCTTGGATAGATCTCCGCAACATCGCAGTCTGCACTTTGTAATAAAGAAATACCAACATAAGTTTTAAGAAACCTAGTCCTACATTCCTTTTTCTTAAAAAAAAAAAAATCCTAAAAACCTTTATTCTGTATTATTTTAATGACTGAGATATAATGTATATGAAAGCACTTTGAGAAAAGTATCCAATGTAATATAATTCTAAGGTTGTATTAATGTCTATTTAGAAGATAAAACAGTTGGTTAGATGCCAGTTGGCATAATCTCTAATCTGTGGGGGACCTGAAGATGCAGATATATAAACAGTCACCTTGGTAATTTATCACATTTATAAATATGAAACTGCTAAATGAATATGTGCAGGTATAGTAAATGTTTTGCTAAATAAAATGGTAGCTCAGTGCTGAATGACTTCAGAAAACTAGGGACCAACCTTCTGGTTTAATTATATAATCTTTTAAAAGTAGCCATGTGTGTTTACTCCAGAACAAAGAAGCTCTTCCAGGGACCTTGGTTCAAGGAGAATGAGGCCCTCTGATCCTTGAACATTTGTCCACTACATGTTCAGCTGCTTTGTATTTGGTGGGAGCTGACTCGTTACCTGTTAATGTTGACAGTGTCTTTTTAAACCTATGTCCTGCTTAGTTTCGTTGGTTGTTTTTTTTTTTGGGGGGGGGGTGTTGGGAGTGTGGGATGGCGGGGACATTAGCCCTGGAAACAGTGCACTTTGGAAATTACTTTTCTAGGATTTCCTACCAGTTACAAATGACTTGACATTCATCTGTGTTTATTTTTTTTTCTAAGAAGAGTAGCTGGTCATAACTCACCTATGAGATTATAAAATACCCAAGAGTAAACTGCATTGGTGGCCACTTGAGAATTGTAGCTATGCTCTGACCTCTTCTATTCCCTTCCACTTTGTTACTGATGTCATCACTGCTATCCATCTGTGCCCCCACAGGAGTTCACATTGGGCTTAGAGGGTTGGCAATGATTTTGTTCTTGATGACTTTGGGGTTTCATCATCTTGCTTGTGTTAACTTGTGCTACTTGGATGTGGGGGTCCATCCCTGGCTCTAAATATCTGTTGTGCCCAGTCCTCTTTATGTAGGTGGGTCTCTGGATATGTTTCCTCTTATGTATGAATAGACCCCAGCTGTCTCTCTGTGTTTGCTTCTATTAAGACTGTAAGCTCATCGTCTATAAATGCCTGCTTCAGTTTAGGATATTTGGGAACAGGAGAGAAAGGGAACGGCAGCTCCAAGGGAGCCTCTAGCTTGCTTACAAAGGCAGCACTAAGGTCCTATGTCACAGCCCAGGGAAGTTGCTGCTAGTCATAGCCCTACTTGCTAGTCAGAGAGGAGAGACCTTGGGCTGGTTCTAAAACTTGTGCACTCTCAACAATCAAGATATTTGTATACATTGGGTAAGAGTCCAGCTTTCCAACTACCAGACTTTAAAAATTCTAATGCAAGGCTTTTGCATTACTTGGCAAACCAGTAGTGCCTGGAATAACAGAATTACTCTCATAGCTGGAACCTTACTGCCATTCCCTGCTCCTGTATTACCAGGGAAGCATGGGTGGGTTTCCGAACTGTGGAGTGGGCTGCACCCTGCTCCAGACCATCCTCCTGGATAACTCTTAACACCAAGCTGATTTTTTATGAGGTTTATACTATCCAAAAGGAAAATTTCTTCTCATCCACCCATCTGGGTATCTATTCTACCCCAGGATAATGTGCTCAGGATCCTAAGGTATCTGTTCTGCCCTGAGACAATATGTGCAAGATAATAGGTCCTTAGTTTCTAGTACTATCTAGATCCTAAAGATAGGAAATGAGGGAAGGCTCCTTCTTGTGATAATTAGGGCAAGATGACCCCATGCTTCCCCCAGGAGAAGTCCTAGGCAGGTCATCACGACTCTAAGCTGACTTAGAGTGGCAGAGAGTGCTCCTAGAAAACTGTCTCTTCCAAGATGGGTTTCATGAGTTTTGCAAAGAAGAACCTTGTGGGTGGGTCTGCTTTTGCATGGTTGCCGAAGTAGATTATAGAACTGGCGTAAATGAACTTTATGGGTAGCAGTGGCTCAAAGCCTGTCAATGAGGGTCCTCACTTCAGATACTCTCCGCCAACGTGGGGTGCTGATTTCAAAGAGGGCTATTTTCTCTATCCCGCTGGTTAAATGGGGGAGGGACACTCTCTTAAGTGTCACTCTCCTTCCCTCCAAGTGCATGCATTTCTTTGCTCCTACTAATAATGAAAAAAATATGAAACTGTTTAACTTTCCTAGAAAATTATATCCTTTTTCTTCCCCATTGCTGAATGACCTGAACCAGTGGCAAAGCCCAGCTTACTCAGCCCGAGGTCACAAATGATATTTGAGTGGATCTTCAAACCTGCAGACCATCTAAGAGAAAAGAGCCTAGCAGTGTCCTCGCATCACACCCTGTTCACGCCCTCTGTCTGTTCTGTGAGTCTTTGTTTATCACTGTGATTGAAAGCAGCAAGTTACTGGATCTTATTTGTCACTCCCAGCTACTGAACTTGTACACACAGGACTTGAGGTCTCAAGTATTCTGGTTCCTAAGAGAATGATTGTGGGCTTTTCAAATGCTAGCAGTCTCTAAGAAAGGGAGTAGAGGGGGGTTTTATGGTTGAAGCTTGCTTAGATTTGCTTCTGAGCCTCAGGATAGGAGTTTTAAATCATGTAAAATTAAGCACCATAAACTTTACTTGCAGAATGGGACTTAAGGTTAATAAAATTTTCACATACATACTTAATTTTCAGCAGTTTTCATACCACAATCACACAGGTATGCCAAACTTACTCTCAAATCAGAAGATAATCCAGGATCCTACGTTGCCCTAGGATCATCCTGGTGAATCTCAAATGCTCCTCTGTCCAGTGCAGAAGTATTGAACCGTATGATGTGAGTGATGAGAATGCCCGTAGACAAAGATGTTCTGGCTGATGAGAGCCAGGAAAAAACCAACCTTCCTGCATTTTGACAAACCATTTTTCATGGTGGGTGTGGTTCATGAATTTCATTATGAGAGAAATTTTCTGAGATCCTAAGAAATCACTTTGATTAGGCTGATTATCCTTCAGAGAAACTAATATTCAGAAACTAGAAAGGACATTGAGGTACTCATCTTACAGTTCTTTAGGGCGTATGTTTGAAAACTGTCAGATCTCAGTCTGTATCTGAGGGTACATGTTAGGTCCACGTTATGTACATATACCGTTGTGCTAAGAAAGGAGGGGAGAAGGTGGGAGAGGAGTAAATCATCTTTCCCTGTGGTGAATAGAAGCTGTGCCCTGGTTGGTGTGTTTGCCATGAACAGGCTGACTGAGCTGTTAAGGCATGTCCTGAATAGATCCCATATTTTCCCTTCTTTGCAATCTGATTCAGTCATGACTATCAGTGGAGAAACCTGTTTTACACACCCTTGGCAAAAAGAAGTTTGAACATTTCATAGTGTTTGACAGAACTCTGTCCTAAAACATGATTCAGATTCTTTTTAAACTTATCAAACTTTTATACCAAAGGTCACGCTTGCAGGTGTGAGCGAGGTGGGTGCAGGGGGTGAGGTCTGGCGGGCCTGGCACTGTGCGCATCACTGAGGGGGCACAGCGAGACAATATGGGACTTAACTGAAAACACATCAATCATGGGTCACACTACCAGTGTTGTCAGGTATCTGTTCTTAATTGTTATTGTAATATATTTTCAGTTGTTTTGTTTTTCTAATTTAATTCTCATCCTGTTGTCTGACTGTGAACTGCTAACAGTGTTAAACTTGATGTAAATAAATGAGGCCCTTGTAAGGGGAATGCTGTCTGCCTGTTGTCTCACAAGGTTTGCCAACTTGTGTTTTAAATAAAGGTTGCAATATTTTATTGGCAAACTAGGTTTGTGAATTGGAGTGTTCCTCCCATAATTTGAACAGACAGAAAATGTAAATAGAATTTTTCTCTGCATAAAATAGATATCTGTATGGTAAAGAAGCTGATTTTAGCAAACATCCTTGGCACATTCTCTAGATGTCTGCTATGGGGGCAAATGCTCATCCTCTGATGGATTACATTTTTGAAAATGGCCAAGGACAACATTTGGAGCCTAACTGGTTCGTAAGGTATGTGTGCGCGTGTGCCTCCATCCAACATAAGGGGACTGGAAAATGAGTAATTCTCTCAAAGTCAATTCTGAGAGGACTAAGTTAAATCTTGTAAAAATGTTTTGAGCCAAAGTAGCATTAATAAGAGTAAGTGTAGAACCTCACAGGAAATAGTCTAGTTCAACTTGGTATTTAATTTAAAAAATCAGTGCTTTTAGAAGTAATGTTTTAATTAGGTGTCAGTGGGATATAATTAGCGGTGCATACGGGACGCCCATCAGAATGGCAGTTAAGCATTGGCTTACGCACCTCAAACTCCCCCTTCAGTCGTCCTCCCTGTTTTTATTTTAGGATATCGTGCTCTTTATAAAAGATGAACTCACTATCCGCTCCACAATCCTTGAGGTAGGTACAGTTATGCTTACTTTTACTACAGGGGAAACCACGGTTAAACTGAGATGAATGGCTTTCCTGTGGTCTTACAGGTAAGTGGCCGAACTATATAGCTTTCCGGGCTGGGCCCTCTGGCTTGAGTGTTCTGCGCTACTGTGTGCTGCTTATCTTGGTTGCTGAGGTTTTAACAGGTTCAAACCCTGTATTTATGACATTGAACATGGCTGGCCAATGCTAAAAGGATGTCAGCTATTTTGTGACTGAGACCTAACGGTATGGAAGGCGCCTTTTAAGGTGTACATAGAGTTTAGAGTTGGGTGTCTAATCTGCATATTCTTCCCAAGATGTTGAGCCGGAGGCAGTTAGCCAGCAGCTATATAGCTCGCCCCATTTTTCTGTGCAGTTGGGCCAGGTTTACTTTTATCTCATGAGTGATATAAAACTAAGTTCCATTAATTCGAGTGTTTTGAGCAGGTATTCCTAGTCTTGTGACAGTTATTTGAGTAAATGAGAGCAATAAACTGTTAAATGGTAGAGAGTGTTCTATCTCACCAGGGCTAAAGGTGATGACAAATCTAAAAAGATCCATGTGTTAGTCCAGAAAAAGGACACAATGAGCACCCTCTGTGTACATGTTTACACAGGGCCTTTCAGTTCTCAAAAATGGATGTTTTTCTCTATCTAGCTGAAGCATGGAGCACAGGAGTGCAGTTTTCATTTAGAAGAGCAATGTGCTGTGGAAGCCTCATCAGTTAGGTGGAAATAACCTAGCTCAACTAATGTGGTCCCAAAAGGAAACTCATTTTACCCTGTCAGCACCAGTAAACACCCCCATCCCCACCAGTAACTGGCATTTCGAATGTTGCGGAGTGAGCACAATTACTAGGTCTCAATAAGAAAGTAAACTAAGGGATTTAGAAAAATACAAAATTTTAATCTGTACGTATAAGTGTCATGTCTTCCAGGCCCTTATATCTGCAGAAGAGTAACAGCCTACACACTACCATGATTATCTTAAGAATTCTTCCTCTGTGCACTTTTTACTTTTGCTTGAGATTCTGCTGATCCTCTGCTCACAGAAACTGCTTGGCTTCCCTCTGGGACCAACTTAAAAGCTAACCCACGGCCTGCACACCCACAGTGTACCCCCTGTGCTGGTAAGCAGAACTTTAATCCTTCCTTCTCTGTCTGTCACTTAAGATCCAGCAGTTTCAGGCCCGACATCCTAGTCCAGGCATCTGCAGATAGGAGCTGAGGTGTGAATAAGCCCTTGCAGTTTGTCTCCCATAGGGCTTTCTCTACTCACCTGGCCCACATTTTAAGGCACTATGTGATCTTAAGAGTTGGATCTATTTCTGATTTAAAGCCTGCCTTTTTCATGCCACTTGTGTGTTAGTGACTGCTGGATGCCAGCGTCATTCTCCCATCCCTTATGGTCCTGTTCCTGGAAAGAAGGCAGCTTCAGAAAGTCTTTGTCCACCCCTCAAGGTAAGAAATAATTAATTCTCTGAGAGATAGACTTGCATCCCTGAGAAGAGAAGAGTTTCTCTTTCTTGGGGACATAGATCATCATCTTGGCAATTTCATCGAGTGCCTCTTCTGTGTATAGAAGCTCCTGGCTCAGGAAAGCATCGCGTGCACACAGCCTCACATGGCGGTATTCCAGTGGCAGGAAGGGGACGAAGAAGTCAATCAGGTTTTCCTTCACAATACAGCTGTGGCCAAAGCCACTGTCTGAAATCAAAACCCAGAATTACGTGGCGTCTAACCTGGGGTTGAACCTAACCCTAAAGCCTTGTCAAGGTTTTATGTCAGATCAACTCCAGAAGTCTCTGTCAAGAAGTATCGAGTTGTCTTTCATGAAAAGAATGTCCGGGTTAACTAGATATGCATGCTGGTTAACTAGGTAGTCACGGGACTACCTACCTGACGGTTTCCTTTGATGGCAGAACCCTACCTATGACTGGAGGCTGACCCATTGACGTTCTCATGGGGGAAACCACTATGCTCTTTCAAAAAGCATTTTTCAGAAAAGGAGTTCAGCTTGTTTTCTTGTGCCTACCTGGAGTGACAGATGAGTTCATGGTGTGTCCTCAGTGCTCTGCCCACCCCATAACTAAACAAGCCTGTCACCCCATGGCTCTTACCAGAGTCTTATTTTCTGTGTGGTTAGGAGTCAATTACCTGTGGACTCCATGATCTCAGTCTGGAGGTGGGGCTCTAAATATTCAATAGTAATTGCTTCTCGGGACCATCCAGCCTTAAGTAGATTAAGGACCACCTCAGTGATGACTTTGCCTCCAAGGTTACTGAAAAGAGACAATTGCTTGTTAACAGATTTCTGTATTTAGTTTCTAAGTGGGTAACTTCATTATTTAAGTCACTGTATTGAAGACTGGACAAAAGTTGGAGGTTGAGGGACCTGGGTTTTCCCTCCCCCAGGAGATTTTCTAACACCCAGAGATTTGTACAAGAAAGACATTATCTTGCTTTACCACCTACCCTCTATCTAGCTCCCTGTTGACCAACACTGAGACTGCTGGGAGCACAAAGATGTATGATGCAGCTCTTCCCCTTGACTTCAGTGTAGAATAAGAGGCATGTGTGTATGCAATTCTAGGGCAACGTGGCAAATGCTAATGGCAGGAACAAGGCCCAAGGAGAAGGCTTCAGAGGGAAAATGAAGCTTCTGAGTAAATGCAGACAGTGTAATCATCAGACATGAGGCAGGGAAGATAGGCCACAGCTCGTGTGAGAAAATCTTAGAACATCTCACGGATTTTTAGGTTGTGGAGAATCACTGAAGGGTTTTGAATTTAGGAAGTAAGCCTGATCAGGTCACCCTTCACCTATAAGATCATTCTAGAGCTGCAGAGATTGGATTGAAGAGTCATGGCATAGCTGCAGAAAGCTAGTCAGGGAGCCCTCTGCAATAGTTCATGTGTTGAGGTGATGGAGAGGATTTAAGAATTAGTTAGGAGGACGGTAATATAAATTGACAAGAGTAGGTGGCTTACAAGAAAATGTTGAAAGGAGCTCTTTTATCTGAATGGAAAAAAAAAATGAGCAAGGCAATTAATAGATAGAACCATCAAGAAACACCCTAAATATAAATGGATTGAACTCAACAACCAAAAGTTAGAGTGGCCAGATGGGTTAAAAAACAAAACCCAACTATATTTTGCTTAATCACATAAGCTGTAAAAACAGACTTAAAGCGGTAAAGTACTCCAAGCCAACAGAAAATTTAAAAAGGCAGAAACCACTACACTTATATAAGACAGACTTCTAGGCAAAGCAGGTAATGTGACAAAGGTGGACACTACTTAGTGACAAAAGGATCAGTACAACAGGAAGATGACAGTAAGTGAACAGGCCTAAAGGGACACTAGACAGCAAGCAATAATAGGGGACTTTGACACTCCACTTAGAGCAATGGGCAAATCATCTAGAAACAAACAAAAGGGCCATGAACAATGAGTTAGATGAGATGGAGTTGACATTCACAGAGCAGTCTACTCAAAAGCAACAGAATACACTTTTTTTTTCAAGTGTACGTGGATCATTCCCAAGGATAGACTATACTGTGGGACAAAAAAAAATGAGTCAATTTATGAGAATTGAACACATCTTTTGGGCATGAAATTAGAAATGAATCAAAAGGGGGGAGGGAAAACCAAAAATTTGTGGAGAATAAACAATATGCTACCGAACAACTCTTAAGTCAATAAGGACGTGCAAGGAAGGCAGAATGTATGGCTGGCAGGAAAGATAGTATAAAGGCAGCAGGATGGAGACAAACATACATCCATCCACTCTGCCTTCCAGCTATACGTCCTGCAATCCTGACTGCCATCTTGCCTTCCTGGCATCCCGCCATTCCCCATCCATCCACCCACCTAACCTAATACCTACCATCAAACATCCATCTTGCCTGCCATCCTACCTGCATCATGCCATCCAGCCACACTGCCACCCATTCTGCAGTCCTATCATCCATCACTTCCTGCTATCCTGGATTCCATCTTGCCATCCCTCTCTCCTTGTTCCCCCTCCCTTCATCAATCAAAACCTGCAATCTTACAATCTATCCTGCCATCCGACCATCCATGGATTGATGGCAGGATTATTGGATGGCAGATAGGCAAGATGGATATTTGGATGGACGGATGGCACGAAGACCGTCTATTCATCCTGCTATCCTTCACTCCTGCTCAGAGTTCCCCTAACACCTGCACACAGGAAAGCAGTTTCCAAGATGCTGCTGCTGCCCTCCCTACACCCCCGCCCCTTCCATGGTGCAGGAGGGTCCACAGGCAGGTCATCTGTGTGCACAAGAGTGACCACAATTGCATCAGCTGAGGCAGGTCCTAAGAGGGTCCTAAGAGCCAAGGGATTTCCCTACCTGCGCTCTCCACAGGAGGCAAAGGCATGTCTTCATAGACATGCTGGGTGGGGTTGGAGGTAGGCCAGTGGTGTTCACTCACCAGACACTTAGGAGCAGAAGCTTAGTCTGTGTATAACACTAGCGCATATCAGGTGTTAAATATTTATTGAATAAATGGGCATCTCTGTACATGTGTTTACATGATCTCTACCTCCCATCTGAATTTCTCTTATGCTTCATCCTCTAGTCAGTTTCTCTCTTCCTCATGTAAAAGGCTTTTATCTCACCAGCCAAGACAAAACCTAGGCCTGTTCTCTAAGTGCACGCAAGCCCCCCCCCCCCCCCCCCCCCCAGTATTCAGCAACTGCAACCTGGTTCCAACATCCATCTTTAGACCAGTTTTACCTTCCCAGAGCATCTCCGTTCCTTTCCATATCCTCCCAGCCCCCCTCCTGACTGGAAGGTCTGAAGGTGCCTCTAGGACAACACCTGTAATCTCACTAGCTCTTGGCCCTGAGACCCCTGAGGAAGGAGACTTGACAGCCACTCTGATAACAAACCCTACCCTATTTGTCTTTCCTAAAGAATATAAACTTAGGGGGCCTCCCTGGTGGCACAAGGGGTTAAGCACCGCACTATGAAGCAATCTGCAGCCTCTGCAGCATGAATTCGATCCCCAGGTGCCCAAGGAGCAACCCACATGGTGTAGCAGACCTCTCCTGCCTCGCCCACTGCTCCCCACTCTGTCTCTGGTGAATCCTCTCACCCCGCCCCCCACACCTCTGGCCTGTACCCCAGTTCTTGTAAGCATAAATAAATCTTTAAAAACATTAAAAAAAAGAATATAAACTTGACACAATCATTAGTTTCTTGTACCAGAAAACTGACGTCACCTTTAGCAGTTAACGCACATTTACAAACACTTTCTGCGTACTGGTATATAAGAACTATGATTCCACATTTTCATATAGCGCTTTTAAAATTTCAAAGCCCTTTCTATCCTTTTCCTGACAACAGCCCAAAGAGCACAGGTGTTAAAATGACCCCCGTCACTTTATACCTTCAATGAGAAGAGGCGACAGCTTGGAGCTCCGTGTTCCTGTCCTGCCCTGAGATCCCATTCCTAATAAAGCCTTCTACATTTGGTGCTGTTAAAGTTGGTTTTGTGCTGCCCCTGTGGGCTCCAGATTCCTTCAACCAAGATTAGAAAGACTCGAAGTGGCCCCTATCCCACTGCACACTGTATTCCCTGCTTCAGCAGCTGCTTCCACACTTCTGCCTCCACACAGCAAAGGCACTGTCAGCCTGGCCCAGCGCTCCCTACAGTTGCACTTAGGCCTTTTGTCACCACTGGCTCTCGCAGGCCACACCAGAGTCACTGGAACAAGAGGCCACTTCCTTGTTGCTGAAGCCTGTGTGGCCTGTGTCCCCAGGCAGTGGAGGCCAGCAGGGTGGCTCGTCCCTGGATCCTGCCTCCACTGTCTACCTGCCAGTGACCACGTGGCCTCGGTCAGCCACAAAGGCCAGGTCACTGGGGGAAAAGGCAGGGCTGGAGGGGACAAAGTTGCTGACAGCAGGTTAATGACCAAAAAGTTTGCCTAGAGATAATAGGGACACCTGGCTCATATGAGGAAATCCTGGTACCTGGACGGGGAAGGTGTTCTGATCTGAAAGCCAGGTGGGAAAGTCAATGCAGGCACCACTCCAGGCACTGCCCAAGATCCATGAGGCCTAAGTTTGGGGAAGATTGGCCATGGTCATGAGGCAAAAGCTACCTCAGGCCTGGGAAAAGGAGAGGGAGGAAGCTATATGCAAAGTCAAAGATTCCTGCAAGATAGCCCATGAGTTAGTGAGCCTGGGCCTCTGGACTGCCTCAGAAATAGTGCCAAATAATATAGAACCCAGGGGGAAGAACGGCAAGAATTTATTGCCCTCGTCTCATGAATTTGAGCACTCAAATTCTATCAGAAAATCTTTCAGCTTTCCTTTTAAAATCATCACGGGAGGGCGCCCTGCCCTCTTTTGCAGCACATTGTAGAGTCCCCTACACCTTACTTACAGACCAGGAAAGGCTAGAGAACCTAGATATAAACCCACACATAAATGGCCAATGAGTTTATGATAAAGGAGCTATGAATATACAGTGGGGAAAGGCAAGTGTCTTCAATAAACGGTGCTGGAAAAAAGACAACCACATGCAAAAGAATGGAGCTGGGCCACTATATAATGCCATACACAAAAACTAACTCAAAACAGATTGAAGGCCTCAACAGAAAACTGATGCCATAAAACTAGAAGAAAAAACAAGTGGTAAGCCCCTTGACATAGATCTTGGCAGTGATTTTTTGGATTTGACACTGAAAGCAAAGTGACAAAAGCAATAATGAACAAGCAGAATCATAACAAACTAAAACTGCACAGCAAAGAGAACTATCCACAAAATGAAAATACAAACTATCGAATGGGGTTAATATCCAAAAAATACAAAGAATTCCTACAACTCAATATGAAATTCAATTCACATTACATTAAGTAAACAAGTGAACTAAGTTAGAAAAAAGCAAACACCATATGATCTTACTTATATGTGGAGTCTTTAAAAAAACAACAAAAAACCCAGAAGCCATGTGCATCCCTGTAGAGAGCAGAGGATCTGAATAGACATTTTTCTAAAGGAGGCATGCAGATGGCGAACAAGTACATGAAAGGTACTTGACATAACTAATTGTCAGGAAAATACAAATCAAAATGACAATGAAATATCATCTTACACCTGCTAGAAAGTTAGAAAAACAAGAGATAACAAGTGTTGGCAAGGAGATGGAGAAAAGGGAATTTGCACTTATACGCACTGTTGGTGTGAATGGAAATTGATGCAGCCACTATGGAAAACAATATGGAGGTTCCTCAAAGAATTAAAAAGAATTCCCACAGGACCCACAAAAACACTAAAAAAGATCTACACCTGCATGTTCATTGCAGCATTATGGAAAGATATGAAGTAACCTCAGATATGAAGATAACTTAAATATCCGCTGATGAATGACTGGATAAAGAAATCGCAGAGTGTGTATACATATATAGACACACAGAAGAATATTATGTACAAGGCCTCCCTGGTGGTGCAAGGGGTTAAGCACAGTGCGGTGAAGCTATCTCCAGTCTCTGCAGCGTGAGTTCGATCCCTGGCCAGGGAGGTGACCCACATGGCACAGCAGACCTCCTGTCTCGCCCGCTGCTCCCCTCAGCAGTGTGTTTCAGTCAGTCTGCCTGTTCTGCTCCCCACTCTGTCTCTGGTGAATCCTCTCACGCCCCATACCTCTGGCCTGTACCCCAGTTCTTGTATGCAGAAATAAATCTTTTAAAAAAATTATATATACATACAAAGGAAATATTCATCTCTAAAAGAAGGAAACCTTGCCATTTGTGAAGGTGGATGGACCATGAGGACATTACATTAAGTGAACAAGTGAACTAAGAAAAAAGCAAACACCATATTATATGTGGAGCCTTAAAATAAAAACAAAAAAACAAACCCCCAGAAGCCATGCTCGTACATACAGAGAACAGACAGAGGTTGCCGGAGGTGTGAGGTGGGCAAAATGAGTGAAGGGAGTTAGAAGGTACAAACCTCCCAGTATAAAATAAATCCAAGGGATGTAAAGTGAGTGGATTTTAAAAGTTCTTATCACAAGAAAAACCATTTTGCAACTATGTACGGTGACACGTGTTACCTACTTAACATTTAGCAACTAGACAAATATGTTTTACATCTGAAACATGACAGCAATGCAATTGAAAAGACCATGAATGCCTTTCTAAGATGGGGGCGGGGGACAGCAGTGTAGGAGTGGTGCCTCCCTGAGGAGGCCAAGCCTGAGCGAGCCTCACAATCTAGAGAATCACCTGCGTGGGGGAAGCTGAATGAGGGGCAGCTGGTGCTGGAGCAGGTGACCTGGCCTGCGCTGTGAGTGGTGGGGCAGTCCTGCAGAAGTACCTTGGTAGAATCAGGGCAGCAGGAGAGAGGCCTAAGGGTACGGCTTTTTTTTTTATTGATTTCACATGTAGCTTAGGACAGTGTGGAAGCTCCACTGCCCACTAACATCCCAGGGAACAGCTCCTAAACCTGGCACATACAGCACCTGGTCAGAGGGTTCTAACGCTGCCCCCACTCCCTCCCTCCCCCTCCCCCCCAGCCCTTCTGACTAGTTCTTCAGTCCTCACCTGAGAAAAAGAAAGATGGTTCTTGGGGTCTTGGCCCTGTGTGCCTCCGGCTCTCGGCGTTCCAGGTATGGCCAGAGGGCCTCCAGCAGTCCGGGGTGCAGTTTCTCGGCTTCATCAAAAATGAACAGGGTCTGGTGGCAGCGCTCCTGCGTCTTCCTGATCTGGTCTGTCAGCTTCTCCTGCACAGGATACAGGGAGATGCTGGGACCAATTGGTGGTGGCACACTCCCTCCCTCCAGGGCCAGGACAAATGAGGCACTGACTTCCCCAGGGATTTAGCAACAGATTGGCTGGGGCTGGGCTCCACCCTAGAACGACCAATCCAAAAGCTCCTCAGAGGCATGCGTGGCCAAGTTTCCCAGCTGATTGTTGTGTACCCTCAGGTTTGAAAACCAAACAGGTGGGGCGAGTCTAGGCAGGAGCGGGCCTGCCTACCCTTGGGAATAAGCCCAGGTCCCAGTCTTCCTCCTCCCCCTCCAGGATGAGGTCCCCTCTCGGAACTAACCATTGATTCATCCTCCCCAAGGCGTAGGACAGTCAGGCGCTAATATCAGGGTGACAGGCAGAGAGAGGCTCAAGTACCCCAAGGCAGCCAGTGCCCAGTCCTGAAATCCAGGCTGGGCTGAGATCTTAGGAGAGAAGCCTCAGGAAGACCTATGTGGGATGCAGTCAACTCACAGCTGGGGTTCTCCACCCCAGCTAAGAGAACAAGCTTTCATTTGAAAAGATGCAGCTTTGCAAGGTTCACTAGGCAGGACCAGCTCCTGCCCCAGGCAGGGCCGGTACTCCCTGGCCACCTCTAGCTTCCCTGGCCTCTAACTTCAGCTCCTGTCACCCAAGTGTGTGTGTGCAAGGCTGTGCAGTCAGTTTTCACATGGGGAGGCAGACCTCCACAATAGTTTTGCCGCAGTCCAAGCCAGCTAGTTCTTTCTGGAAGATTCCAGCTGACCAGCCACTTGCTCTTAGGAAACTGGCCTTCCCCCTGCCCTCCAAGGCCATTTCCAGGTGACACAGACAGTCTCTGTCCTCCAGCTAACATAATATTCCCAGGTTAACACACTCCAAATATATTTGGAACTGAAAGGCAAAGACAGACACATTGCCATCTGCAGTGGATTTTGGTCATCTGGCTGGTTTCCGATACTACCGGTCTGAATAGAAGGGCCCCAAATATCAGAGTGGCAAAGATAATTTGTCCACCCATTTGGCATATAATGAGCAGTTTGGGGAAGGCGCGAAAAACCACTTATATCTGTCCATTAAACAACAATAACAACAATGAAAAAAAAATAGAGGGAAGACTAAGGAAGTACACCGAAGTGCTAACTATGGTGTGTCTCTTTGGGGAGATTTTGATAAAGTTTCTGTTTCTGGGCCTCCCTGGTGGCTCAAAGGGTTAAGACACAGCACTATGAAGCTACCCGCAGCCACTGTAGCATGAGTTCGATCCCCAGTCAGGGAGGTGGCCCACAGGGCACAGCAAACCTCTCCTGTCGCGCCCACTGCTCCCCTGAGCAGTGTATTTCAGTTGATCTTCCTGTTCTGTTCTGCACTCTCTCTGGTGATTCCTCTCACCCTCCACACATCTGGCCTGTATCCCAGTTCTGTATGCATAAAATATATCTTAAAAAAAAAAAAAAGCTTTTCTCTCTGCTCCACATTTCCTGTGACATTTCCACTACTTCCCTAACAGCTAAATGAATAATACTTGGAATCTCTGTTTAAGCTCAGTGTCTGGCTGGTATGTACACAGAGCTTGGGACATAGGCTTTTCTCCACAGGCCCAGTGCCTCATCTGTGTGTACGAGATATCTCTCTAGGTTACAGGTTCTGTCCCAAAGGCCATCTGCTCCGCCTCCCTATCCCCAAGGTTTCTCCAGCACCTACCTCCTTATAAGGAAGGGCTGGCTTCAGGGCCTCCTTTACAGCAGAGGCCTCCTCCTTGGGTTATTAAGGCCTCATTCCTGCCCCAGGCCCACTGGCAGGACTCACCTTGTACATGTCCACATATTTGGGGTGAGGAAAGTGGAGTGTAGCAATAAACACTTGGACACAGTCACTGTTCAGCCCATCCCGGTACAGGCTCTCTGCCAGCAGCCTTGCCACGAAGTTCTTGCCTGTGCCAGACCAACCATGGAATGAAAGCACCAGGGCTTTGTCTGGCCGGGGCAGCTCTAAGTAGCTTCTCACAGTTCTCAGGACCAGCTCCCCAGCCAGATGCTGGCCATGCAGTCGCTCCTTCAGATCTGCCTCGAGACCTGTGAGCAAGAAAGAGGCCACTCAGGCTCAGTGCCCACCTCTGCCTTGCTCTGACGTGGGATCGTTTATTCATCCTGTTTGGCCTCAGATCAAGAAAACCACAGGGCAGAACTTGAAACGGCTGGGATTCAAGGGCTAGTTTCTGAAGTTTGGGAAATCAAGATTGAATTTAGGGAGAGAATGGACCCTCTCTTTCTGCATGGTCTGATGACATCCCAGAATGGTTGGTAGAGTTCTATTTGAAGGAGGAACCCAATTTCCCACGCCCATGAGGTTGTTCCCACCCTGGAGTTTCAGGACCCCTAAATATTTTATGGAGATATTTATTCATTTAAATTCATCCTATTTAGGGGCTTCCCTGATGGCACAGGGGTTAAAGACACAGCGTTATCAAGCTGTCCCTAGCCACCGCAGCACGAGTTTGATCCTGGCCAACCAGGGAGCTACCCACATGGCGCAGCAGACCTCTCCTGTTTACGCTGCTGCTCCCCGAAGCAGTGTATTTCGGTCAGTCTGCCTGTTCTGCTCCTCACTCTGTCTCTGGCGAATCCTCAGCCCCGCACCTCTGGCCTATACCCCAGTTCTTGTATGCATAAATAAGTCTTTTAATAAATAAATAAATACATCCTGTTTAGTCTGCTAGTCTGCTCAGAGCCTTTGCTAGGCCTGACTTCCTTCTCATCTCAGCCAGTGGGTTGCAGTGTTTGGTGACCCAGCTATTGGAGCAATGGTGGAGTTGAGTAGTGAGTACTACCAGGAAGTCCCCTCCCCACAGATCCAGCCCCTTAGGGCCATACAAGGTCCAACCTGAGAAGTTGTTGGAGATCCTGCAGTCCCCACTGTCACAGCAGTCCCGGAAGGTGCAGTACCATGTGGTCAGGATATCAAGGTACTGCTGGCCCAACAGAGGAAGGCTCCAGCCTGCAAAAGGAGAGCTGTGAGTATGGGGCACTCCAGGAAGTACCTCCCTGAAGAACTCGTGTTGCCCAATTGATGTGACCGAGGAGTGTTCTTCCCATCCTTTGCTCTCCCTCAGAGCCCACTGCACACACTTCACTCCTGGGTCATCCCTGCACCTTCTCAGGGCATGGGCAGGAGTGGGCACCTCCGGATTTTGAGGAAATAGATGGCACTGAGATGCAGTGCCAACAAAGTCTCAATCAGTCGAATAAATATGCCCATAACAATGTATGCTAGAAGTGTGGGATTCCCAGACCCCTCCTGCAAAAAGTTTGCACCTAGTAGGGGCACACACAGTAGCAGGCAGTGATCATTCTGTCTGATTGTTTTGGATTCTAAAATCATCTGATCACAGTCAGCTCCAAGTGCCTGGAGTCGACAGGAATTTTGACAAAATTTGACAAAATTCCTTTGTCAAATGTCAGTTTGAATATACCCAGCCTTAGCAAAAAAAAAAACAAAAACCATTTACTGGAATTTAGAAATCTTTAGACTTAAGTGAACAATGTGTATAGCACCAATATAGATGCTTATTATGGATCACTACCACTGGACCCAGAATTATCTACAGGGACAGGAAGGAACTCGGAGATCATGTGGTCGATGACAGTGATGTGACAAAACCTGCCACACAATTTGTCAGTGACAGAGCCAGAACCAGAACTCAGCTCCGAAAGAAAAAAAAAAAAAACCACAAAAACCAAGTCCAGAGTGAGGCTGCCAGTCCCGACTCCGCTTCCACCAGAGGCACTGTAGAGGGCGCCTGGGGGCGTCCACCTGGGACATTCCTTAGAGTCGTCCAGAAGGGGAGGGAGGGCAGTTCCTAGGCTGGGAGACGGCCCAGTGAATGCAGCTCCTGGGAGTCAGAACCCGCGAGGTGGGAACCAGCGCGACCTGTCCGTGGGCAGGGGACGCAGGGGCGCTCGGGTGCCCAGGCCCCAGAGGCCGTCCCAGCACACGGCAGGGCCAGAGCAGAGTGAACAGGAAAGCTGGTGGCTCAGGCACCAGACCGAGGCCTAGATCACGACGCCCAGCAGGAGAGGAGCCGTCACCCCGGGGCCCCAACTCCCCCTGCCGGTGCACCTGCCCCCTCCGAGCTGTGGCCGGCGATCAGGTCTTACCCTTCGATTGTGCAGTGGCTGCCGCGTCCTCCTCACGCTCCCTCAGCCACAGGCGGCTGCTAAAGAGCGTCCAGTACCGCCTGGAGAGGGCAGCGGCCTCCCGCAGCTGCTCCCGTAGGCCCTGGACGCCGGGCCAGGCTCGGCCCGAGCCCGCCTCTTCGGCGCCTGCGCCCGGCCTGTCCGCGCCGAGCTGCCCCGACGCGCGCGCGAGCAGCAGCGGGAAGCAGAGCCAGAGCAGGCGGCGCGGGCCGCGGAGCATGGCGCGCGGGTCCCGTCGTCGCGCCTCGCCCGCAATTTAAGTCCCGCGGGCGGTGCAGGTTCTTCCGACCGGTGGGTGGGGACTGGCGTTGCCAAGGGAACCGCAGTTGGGTGGGGCGAACACGTGACCCAGAGCGAGCCGGGCCCGCAGGAACCAAAACCGTCTGCTGACCAGAGGGTATCCGCGGCCTTCGTAGGCACCGCCCACCCACGGGGCTGGCTCCTAGGAAAGTCTATTTTGGGGTGAATGTGGTTACAGAGGTGAAGCCAGGCCTTGAAATGCCACTGTCACTCTACTGCTCTGATGGCACCCATTTGTGCCCTGCAGACCAGCTTCCTGCCAACCTGTTAGATGAAACCAGGACAACCACCTCGCCCAAATCACGGAACTGAGCGGCGCCCTGGGTCTGAGATGCAGGGGCGTGGTTTCTGTAGGGAAATAAAACCCCAGCAAAGAACAGCTGTTCTCCTGTCGCGAGTGCACCAAAGCAAGAGGAAGCTGGGATTTGGAAACCCTGGAGTCATGAGAAAAGATGAGTCCTCTGGTCAATATCCTATTTCATGAAAAGCTTGGGCTGAATCGTTTGCCCTTTCTTGGCTGAATTTGCAGCTTTCAAGTGCAGATGAACTATGAGCGTCAGACACCCCTAGTGAAAGACTTGAATCTCTTGGGAGTTTCTTTCTCTTTAACATAAACATGGAACAAGCTTGTTAGATTTCAGAAGAACTTAATGCATTTTTCAAAGTCACCTGAGTTATCGATGCCACAGGCCTCGGGGCTATTTAGTCCTAGGAGGAAACTGGGAGTTGACCAAAGCCATGTACACAGTAGCTCTGAGGTTGGCCTCTCCTGACAGTGAGATGAATGCTAGCGTCATATCTCACAGACGTCACAGGTAACATCCCAGTCTCTCAGCTCACAGACACTGCCAGGTCTGCTCCTTCCTCCAGCTAGATTCGCTCTGGCCTTTCATCCAGAAAGCCAGAACAGTTAAATGCCAGTTCATGGTAACTGGAGAATTAAAAGGAATGTTATATATGTATTTGTCTGAACCTCTCAGATGTTAAAACTGAACCAAAACCTTCCATGGAGCAGTGGCCAGTAGCATATTGCACAGTATTACATGTTGTAAATACAATCAAGCTCATGAAACCCTTCAGAGGGCAGTTAACAAGGGACACCATTGTGCTTATTTGGAAATTGAAAACATCAGCTCCTCCAGACACTGCTTGAGCATGAATGGTGGTCTAGTATAGAACTTTAGGATGGCCCATACAAGTTTCCATGTATGTCATCGGTGGGGTTATTTACCTGTTCCTGTGGTCCTTTACTTACCCATAAAGTGGGCACCTCAAAAGAATACCGGGAAGATGAAGAGCTAATTGTAACATACTGACTTTTGTTATTGTATATGCCCTGGAGACAGCTCTGGAGACAGCTCTAGATGGTCTCCAGGAGGCTTGGATGACTGTATTTATACTAGTGAGGTTTATAGGTAAATCTGTGATAAAAAATTACTAGTATTAACACAAGTTTCTTTTTAAAATCCAAGTTTTAAGAATGTAGAAATAATTCTCTATTTGTAACCTCCGTGTAGGGCTAACTGCTAATTCCTGAAATGCCTTTTTGTGGATTTAGCATTTCATTGTAAACAAAATAGGCAGTTCTTGGACAAACAATTTGATTTTGAGAAAATATTTTTTCCCTAAAAAAGTATAGGTAAACACCATTCAGTCCCACAGAGAAACAATGAATCCACATACCACTTTTAAAACAAACCTCTAGTTTGTTTTAACTGTGGAGATTGCTCAAGCCTAGAGACTGCCAGTTATAACTCTTAGAAGTAAAATCTGATGGATGCTGGGGACATCTATGGGCTATTGTGAAAACTGCAGGCAGCTGGATTCCTCAGCCAGCAAACCCTTCAGTGCTGCTACTCAAGTGTGGTTCAAGGACCAGTGACATTGGTATCATCCAGGAGCTTTTTAGAAATGTACTCTTACGTCCCAAACTTAACCAAAATCTGCAAGGTCTTTGTAAGCGAAAAACGGGCCCACAACACCTTTACTGAGATCATCTGAATAGGACCTAATTTTGCAAAAGCATCTCCCAACCCTGCTGAAGGCAGTCAGAGCACTTCTGCTTTCAACACAGTCTGAGTAAAAAGCAAGTCTTTATCTCCAAATAAACTTGGCAAGTAAAAAACACTCTGAAAACATACAATGAATCTGTCATAGCTCATCTTATATACCTGTGGTTTTCTTTGACATCCACACCATAGAGCAACTGAGTTATCATGGACTGACACTGTCCTCTCAAGACACAGGCCACCCTGGATGAAAACCAGGAAGCCCTGGAAGAGATCACTTCTGGTGACACACACATGTACACGCCTGGGTCAATGCAGGGCCTGCCTACCACTCTCCCTTCCAAGCCCCCACCATTCTGTCCAGCTCCTTATTTTCCCTGTAATCAATTCACCTAATTCCCTAGGCATTTGTTGCTTCAGCAGTTCTCTCTTGCTAGGATTGGCTCTTTGAGGAAAAGGACAGTCACTATGATCCTGATGCACCCACAGCTCCCAGCACAATGCCCAAATGTCTGCTCAGCCAACTTCACAAACTGTAACCGAATAGACAGTCCCTTAAGAAGCCCACCCTTGTTGATCCAGTAGTCATGACTATCTTTTTATGAAAAGAGGGCTATTAAAAAGTCACCTTTTATAGGCAAATACACTGGGTAAATTCATGCATAAGAGAACCATGGCCCCTCCCTGCTCCCAGCTACCTCCTCAACCTTTCATTTCAGTCTCTGATATGGCTGAGAAGCAAAGGAAGACAGAAATCTCACCTGGAAAATGATCGAATATATGTACTGAGTCACTAAGGAACATGTACAAGGTCCAGTCTCCCAGCAGTCAGGTACAAATGACAAAAGCTGGCACAAACAAAATAATAAAAATCAAGTAAAAAAATTTTAAGAACACTGCCTTTTTGAGGTTTCTGATGCTGGATTTCCATTTCAAAAGGCAAACATCTGGATTTTCTAAGAATTACATTCAAAGCAACTGTCTTTTCTTCCATACAAAGACAAGTTCTTTGGGATTCTTCACCTCTACAGAAGCTTCAAGTGTGGAGTTAACTACAGAATATATAAAAGGCACCTAAGAATTATCCTGTGAAAAATGTTGGTGTAGTTGGAATTCTGGCATGAGCTTTTTGAAGACGAGTGAGAAAGCGTACAGGTCTTATCCATCAGATAGATACTGTGAAACAACGCATGTAGAAGTGGGTGCAGACGATGTTAACTTGTCTTTTGTCCCCTAATAAAACAGATAGGAAATTGTAACAGAAAAGAATGGCAATATCCTGCAAAATGAAAAAAACAGAGTAAGAGGAAAAGATAACATCAATACTTATTAAAATCTTTATTAATTTTCTTTTTTTTTTCCAGAGTTGAAACCCAAAGAACACATTAGAAATTTAGGCGCATATCTGTCTTGTCTGGTATCTTACCAAGCATAACCTCAACTTTGTGCAATAGCTCTAAGAGGAAATCCTTGGTAGATTGAAAGAGAGGGTACTGGTTCCCAAACTTCCCCTTAAGCAAATAAATTACCTTCCCAGTAAGTTATTCCCTATACCCCCCCACCCAAACATTTTATGTTTGTAACACCTTAGTTCTTTGTAAACCTGGACAGTGCAGTGCCGAGGCCCTACCTTTTCAACCTAGAGTCAAGGAATCCAAGGGAGAAAAACCGGCCCTCCCCTGAATGACAGGTCTCTCAAAGTTAGGTCTACCTGGTGCACTCACGTGTCCAGCTGGGTTGCTCAGTAGGTGTCTGCTGAATGAATAGTCTTTATGTCACTTAGGGTCCACTTTAAGGGACTGACAAGAAAACATTTTACTAGCTTCAAGTTTTTTAGCAACATAAGTTCTTTAGCAACATAAGTCAGTGTTTCCCTGTGTCAAAATAAATACATTTTTTTCTTGCTAGAATACATATATGACTATGTACACACATATACATTTACTCCTGTTTCCTGAAGCTCAAGCTCACAGGATGACTCATATAAGACGCTCACTGACAGGTGCTGTGTTACCATCACTGAGGGGTGGTCATTTACTGGTCAAACAAAGCATACAGGGACCACTGAGAAGAGAGGCTGAAGGAAGATAGCAGGTGGAAAGGGAAGGCCAGAAGCCTGTTTGTTTTTTTTTTTTAAGAAAAGATGAAAATCTTTGAAAGAACATGTTGCCTTCAGGTGACATTGAAAAGCTGCCATGTATAGGGTCATCTTATATAATATGCAATGAACATACCTGAATTCTTCCATTTCCTCCTAAAATTTCATTTGGCATATTAATCCTGAGTTCAAACAGGGAGAAATGCCTTATTAATAATATATTATTGAACAATACTCTTGAGCAAATTAGATCCTATTATTTTTCTTACACAGAAAATTATTTACACCCAAACTCATAATATAGTCTCATATTAAAGAACAATTTTAGAATGAAACCACTATACTCCTATTTCAAACTTTGGAATGAACATATTTACCATGTGGGAGGACAGGAAAGGGCAGTCAGTTCCGATTTTCCTAATTTTATAATATTAAAATGTATCTACCTTTAGCTATCAGCCAAGCACACCCAACTTAGGGGTGGCCAAAAACCTTTCCAAACACTTGACTGTAATAGTGCCAGATTTTATCAATAATAAACCAGAAAGAGCACAGAGTGACAAAACTTAAAAAAAGATAGCTACCTCTTTTTTCAAACACAATTGTGTTTGTAAATTTTAGGGCTGCAAGCTTGCAGCTGGTTTTCTCCAAGATACACCTAAACAGTTTTCCAGCTTAATCCAATTCTGACTTAGAACGCCAATTTATCCTCTCAGTGTCAGGTCACACCACTCTACTTACACTCTACAGTGTAAGTCCAACTTTAATGACTCCATCTCTGAATTCCTTTTAAGAGAATGAAATATTTTCTACAGTGTTTTGAGAAAAACATTGATACATTTTCAAAGCAGCTTTTCCTCGCCTCTGTTTTTCCTTAGCAGAATCTTCTGCCCTCAACATTGAGTTAAGTTCCCAGTCTGAGAACAGTTTTTATCTGTTCCACTGTGGTACACTAAAGGGATGATGTATTTGAAAGAACACTAATCCATAATTTAGTTCAACTAACATTTTCTGGAAAGCGGTGCTGACAGGAGACCTCCCTACCCTCCCACCTGCTGGTTCCCTGCAAGCACCAGCCCAGCTGTTCTCAAGCCTGACTGTGGGTGTCACTGGACACAAACAGTAAATGGTCTAAAAATTGGAATCCATGCCTCCTTTTGTTAATACTATTTTACTGTTTTGTGCTAATATCTGTTTTCTTAAATTCCATCCCTTTTTTAAATAACTTAATCCATTCTTGTGTACATCTCAATGTATAGAAAGTACAAAAGTATCCTAATTTCATGCTATTTTAAAGTAGTTAAAAGTTACTCAGTCATCTCTCAATGCAAGAAAATTGGGGCATAAATTCAAACTTTTTGAAAGGGTGGCTGCCTAAAACTGGTCTCCACTGACTGGCATTAAATGTGTTCAACCACACTGATAAAACATTAGTCTCTGTTGAACCAAAGGACAAATCTGGGACACTTAAGACAAAATGCAGGGGAGAAGACCCAGCTGAGTTCACGGTGTGTGGGCACACGCCTGTCCTCCGCTGACCCTGTGTTATATCAGCTGCTGCTATGTTAGAACCACTTGGCCAGAACACAGAACTAAGCCTGTGTTTTAGCGACCTGAAATGTGCGAATGCTAAAAGGAGACAGAGGAACAACACTAAATATAGGTTTAGAACACCAAACAAAATTAAATGAGGGAGTTAAGTTTTGACATAAAAATCTTAAGGCTCTTCCTGGTAACCTCCTTAATTTTAAGGCTCAGAAGGCTTAAAATCTTTGTTTCTAGTCTTCTGGAGGGCCCAATCCCAAGATAAGTCCAGTCACCAGCAAGATGTGCACTATCATCTGTCAGGCAGAGCTGGCTTTTCTCACAAGAAAGGCACACAGGACTGCCATCTCTTGGGAATAGCAGCTTCAATGACCAAATGCCTTAAAGGCAAAGGTGAAAATTCATTTCAGAAAAGAAATGATGGTGGCAAAGATCACAGGCAATCTAACTCCTACTCAAGGTGTTCTTTAAGTTTGCTTGGTTAATTTGGAAAGGATTTGCCTGCTTTGGGCAAAAGAAAAAAAAAGTCTCCACAAGAGACTCATGCTTGGATTGTAACAGTAACAGTATGTTCTCTAGAGACAATTTTTTGGTTAAGTTGAACACAACTGTGAGAAAGCAGATTTTACTTAGATACAAATCATGTTTGCTTCTACACATCCTAAGAACTTAAATACAGGCGAACCTTTTTTTTCTTGTATTGAATCATCTCCTGGATTCTTGTTCAACCAAGTGGGTCTCTCTTCTCTAAGAAGCTTCAAAAGCACTACTACCTGTTTAAAAGCCCAAACATCTTTCCTGCTTTTGCCTTTCTTCCAATTATATCTTAAAAACATACCCCTCTTACAGAGGATGCTGTTTTGACTCAACAGAATGCCAGGTTTTATATGCAGCCACTCCTGGGGAGGCAGCTAGCCCAAGGTGACTAATCTTGGTAAAAAAGGATTCAAGAGGCTGCAAAATATCTTCAGAAAATCCACAGGTGTGGAGAAAGGACGTAAGGTTGAATTCAAAACACATACTCTAGAACCAATACCAGCGTTAACTTATCCTAATGTCAAGCCTCTCTTTGGCCTAAGACTCAAGACTGACCGACTCTGCTGCCCACTGCTAGAACAGGCAAATGCCCAGGAACTCAGAAGGTGGTTCAGCAGGAACATTTCCATTGTCTGAAACTTGTAGTCTTTGCTTTAGCTTCTAGTATAGAAAACACCAAAGAAATCCAAGGTACCCTGCCCCCGATCACCAGAACTTGCTGCTGGTCATTTCCAATCCATCTCATACCATTTGGAATTGATTGTGCTGTTTCTCTATCTTTGTAAAAAGAAGTTTCAATTATTTTGTGTTGCAAGTTACAAGTGGGAGAGCGGCATCCTGTCTTCCACCAGCACAGTGTCCATCCCAAACTGGTCAGTGCACTGCTTCACGGTGGCCAGGACACTCAGGAGCCGCTGGTCCACAGCGTCCAGATGAGGATCAGAGAGCACTGGGGCGATGGGGTCGTGGCCCATGGCAGATTTTAAGGCAGACTTCAGCACACCATTCTTTAGGTAGTTCAGTCTGTTCCAGGTAGAAACCCGAATGCTGGAAGAAAAAGTTTTAGGACAGGTTACAAACACCTCACTATCACATGGGGGCTTAAAGCTGGTTTGGCAGACAAAAGTAAATAATCATCTAAAATATCTCAATAAAAAAATCATTTCTGTCATAGAATCTCTGTGTTATGAGTAAGTCACATTTTCATCACTGTAATATTTTTTCTGGGTAATTAATCAGATATATATGCAAAGACCTAACTACTCACGTTCACTGCAGTCTATCTCTAACAGGAAAAATATGGAATAATCTGAGCGTCCAACAGTTAAGGAATTAAACTGTGGTTCAACAATGCAAAGAAATACCACACGTCATTTAAAAGTTCTGAAAATGCAGTGACAGGGAAAATGCCCATGACTGAATATTGGGTGGTGGAAAAAAGTTGGAGGGGGAGGGCCTCCCCTGGTGGTGCAGCGGTTGAGCGCTGGGTTGCGAGGCTGCCCGCAGCATCTGCAGCGCCAGTTTGATCCCCAGCCGCCGGCGAGGGTCCCACGAAAAAAAAAAGTTGGAGGGGGAAAAATTGTTTTATTACAAATGTGTGGGAAAAGAAAAGTGCATAGACACACACACACACATAACTATTAGAACAAAGTCAGTACAATGTTCGTAAGAGTTACCCTTAGTAACTCAGTCTGCATGTCATTAACAGGTAATTTTAACTTCCTTTTGTTTCTTAATTTAAAAAAATTTCTATCATTTCATCAACTAAAGAGGATCTTTTGTTTATCTCAGAATAGAACTCACCTCCCTGTGAGTAATGTGGAAATTACCTAGAAAAGTTTGACTCAGTAATGGACAGCCTGCTGTGCAACTTTTTAAAAAAGGAACACTTATCGTTGGTGGACAAGCACAGAGGCATCTCTCCTTTCTCAGTGGAGGGTGCTGGATAGATACCGTAGGAAGAAGGGTCTCCTGGTTGCTAACAGGAGACACATGATGTGGGGGGAGCTCATCCAATAGGGTTCTGCCCTGGCCACACAATTGTCAGGCTCTTGGCAACTCATGAGCCTGACAGAGAGGACCAGAGTCCCAAAGGTCATCCACAGACCCAAAGACAGGCATCTGCTGAGCTGTCCCTGTCTGTGTGCCAGACAACTGCTGCTGATGGCCTGTCTCCATGTGCGCTCTGGACGGCTGCTTCCCGATTGCTCAGCACCTGCACGCAGTGAACTCTTCCTCCAGGGACCTGAACTATACCTTTCCCACCAAGGCCCAAACCCTAGCCTTGGGGAGGAGGCTCTCTTCCATGTGTGTCCTTCTTCAGTGCTCTGTAAAAACTCTTTTTTCAGAGTTTGTTAAGTCTTTCCACTAAACTTTCTTATTTAACTCACTGTATTTTTTCTATCTTCTGATTGGACCAGGCTGGAAACACTGACATTAAACAAAAACACCTTTCTTCAAAGATACAGTTTGTATCACTGCTTTCAAATATTAATATAGATATAATTAAAGGTTGCTTGGGTAAACTATTCCTGCAAATTATTGTTGCTATTTAAAAAAGAGAGAGAGAGACAAAGAGAGAGAGAGAAGAAAAACAGGCCAGTTGCCAGGTGGGACAGTGTCTCTGGAGGCTGAGCCCTGGGGCGTGGCGCTGCTAGACTTGCACCTCTGTGCAGCCAGACAAGTGGGTCCCAGCTGGTTCTTAGTGTTCACGCTTTAAAATTAAAGCAGCAAGACTCTCTAAAAAAGGATCTCCATAGAGCCCAGTCTGTATGTCATTTTCTCGATTTACTTTAATAGACTTTAAAAATTCATTACTAACTACCTCTGGGAAAATTTTACATAATTTCAAATTGAGATATACAAACCTCAAGTGTTCTGTGGTTCTAAGAGGACTTGAAACCACCAGGTAAATCGAGTACAGCATCCAGGGACACAAACTGTACTAGATTTTGAGGGGGGTTGGAGGGGCAAGGAAGAAGACTATATATTGATATTAAAACAGATATGGATATACATTATTGAATAGATTGCAATTTTCTATTCATACAAAACTTGAAATGCATCTGACCTTGGGATTACCTCCCTTTACTTCTGACCCCCCCAGCCTCATTATCTCCAGGGGTTCTGACTTGGAAAAACATGAAAATCACTGCTCACGTATTAGGAAGTTTAAAGGTAAAGAAAATGGATGTGCTTTTACCTAAGCCTGGAAGGGCAGGCAGCACAGGCACATGTGTTTGATGTGTCTGACTTACATGCAACACTGATAGAGAGGGGCAAGGATGCTTCTCTCATCCAGCGAGGGGTTCCCAAAGCTGAAAATTAAATGAAAATGTAGTGAATTAGGTGTGGAAGTATCAGCTCCTTTCTTAGCATTAAAGCAACAGCAAATTCTGTAAGAAACCCAAACATGATCCCAGATAATTTCACCATCCCATAGCACAAATCACTTAAATAAGAACTCAACACAGTATATACATGTGGTTTTTAATTTTACACATCTTAAACATATAATTCCAAAATGCAATGTTACTTCAATGAAAAGCAGACAAACAGGGCATGGCCAATTAGACACAAGATCCCTAAGAGCCTGCACTGCAGTATTAAACAATAAATATACTCATTTGCAAGGATTCTTCCTCCTGCTAAGAGGTTGCAAGGTACTGAAACATAACCATGGTGACATAGCCCGGAGTCCACCAACCAATGAGAGAACCCGAAGACCCCAAACCTGGAAAGGTTTTAAGGGTGGACAGAGAAATACAGGCTGTTCACATGAGGTGCCCAGAAACAAGCAGATGGTCATTACTAGTAAAACAAAGCTCACTTGTTCTATTCCAAAATTACCAATCAGAAAAGATTTGGATATCCTATTCCCATACCTATATGGACAGATTCAAACTGGAAAAACTGCTCACAGAGGCTAAGATAACAGTGATTCAAAGCAGATGTAACACTGATCTTATCAGTCCTTCAGAGTTAGTAAAGGAGAACTGATTCTGAAAAACTGTCATCTTTCCACTCTTTTCCTGGTGGATCAGCTTTTCAGCGGAGGGCCTGGTAGTCCTCAGGATCCTGTAGGTCATCAGGTAACAATTAGCAAAGGCCACTCTTTCAACGTGCATTTAAACACTGCACATGATCTTAAAAAAATACCGATTATTTAATGAGTAAGGATGAAGATTTTCAGGAATGTACAGAGCACTGGTCACTACTCTGCTTTGAGGGAGAGGCAGTGTTTGCTGTTCTCTCACTTACTGTCTGTCTCCACCTTTACAAGGCATGTCATCCGTGTAAGGTGACGTCACCAGCAAATGCAGCCCAAGCATTGCCTTGCTGAGGACCCACATCTCAAATTATTCCCAGCAACCAGCACTGACAGTAGTGCTTGGATGATTCTGGGCTCCTAGGAATTATTCTATTCAGCAAAAAATTAAATGCCACTGAAAGTGTGGCACTGAACTGGGCACTGTGGAGAATGCAGAGAACACACTGGAAATAAAATATGCTCCTCAAATGGTCAGGCCTAAAAAAAAAATAAGGACATTCTATTTATTAAAAATTAATAAGCATGTATTATTTTAGATAAAAATCACTGTAATTATATATTATAACTACGCAACCGTCTTTCTTCCCATGGTGGGAAAGAATCTGGGCCTAGACCACCATGAAATAGCAGAACCTCCCATTAAATGAAGTAATTCTTTTAAACACGATGAACCTTTGGCTAAGATAAATAATAAATATGTCTATTAATATGTGTTTCTCAAAATACTGAACATCATAGTCAAGAAAGAGTGATGTAAGTGGAGATAAATCAAAGACCTTGGTGTGTGAGGAGGATGAAAGTCTTCCCAACCCTTAAGGTGGAGGGAGTACAAACTCTGGAGATGGAAGGATGGACGCCAACAGCGAAGACCATAAGCCGCAGCAGGGAGGAGGCCTCCCAACAGCTGTGTTCTGGATGTTTTTTAGGATACCCTAGAAAATGCCCTTGTGTACATACACAGACATCCCTTCCTGACACGGCGAGTCCTGCTGGGCCTACCTTTTAGCATTATCGAGCAGGATGAGCATACTCGCGCCTTCATCGTCTTGAAAGCTCTCGTAGTGATGGCGGTCAGCATTGCCAATCAGGTAGTCGAAGACAGCGGTGTCAATGATGTCCAGAAGGCGTGGACCGGAGTCATATGGGGATGTTTTCTTCACAGCATCACAGTAGCTCTCATCATACTCCCACCTGGAGGCGAGCAGCATCGCCAGGATTGTTTATGGATTGCCAACATGGGCCTGGCATTGTTTAAATCACAGAGCACAGAGTCCCTGCCTTGTGGGTTTGCCCCTACTCCCACAGTCCTTTTCAGTCTTGGACAGAACCCTGGCTCCTACAGAGTAAGGGCACCTGGCTGAGACCTGCCAGGCACAGGACAGAAAAGTAGTGGCTCACAGGGGCATTTACCTGGCCAATTTGCCCTCTCGGTAAGTCCTGCCCCACGGGTGTCGGTGTTTCTGCAGAGGCCACACATCTGGAAGCCAAAGTGTGACAGATCCCTCCATCGTGTCTCCATCAGCACAAGCTGGCTCTGTTTCCCGGCAGTAATAGCACTTTCCATAGAAACAAGTGTTATTTCCTAAAGGGGAGAAAGGAGCCAAATACACTTATGGAACAAAGATGGACTCCAAATTCTCCCCAACAATGTAAAAGAGAGCAACTAAGTATACATACTGTGAAAAGATCCTGAACTTACTACATTTCAGACACTTACTTGCTTTCTGTACACTAAGTTGTTCCTTTCTCTTTGTGTCCCTTCTACTCAATCTCTTTCCCAGGATTCAACTAATGTCACAAGCTTCTTTTTTTTAAAGATTGATTTATTTATGCATTCAAGAATTGGGGTACAGGCCAGAGGTTTCCAAAATTGGAAACTAATTCCCCCTCTCCTGAGTGTAGGATGGACTTAATCACTCACTTCTAATGAACAGAACATGACAGCAACAGTATGTGTGATTCTTGAGTACTTTGTAAAAGATGCTGCTACTTTCACCTTACTAACTTTTAGATCATTCACTCTGGGAAGACCCATCCTCAATATCTTGAGGACGCTCAAGCAGTTTAATGCAAATACTCATGCCATGAATGAAGGATTCATACCACAGCCAGCACCCTCCTGCCAGGCTGGTGCATGAAGCCCCTTTGAAGTGGACCCACTAGCCCCAGTCAAGCCTTCAAGTAACCGCAGCTCTGAATGACATCTTGACAATAACTTCTAAGAGCTCTGGAACCAGAGCCACCCAACTCAGTCACTCTTAAATTCCTGATCCGTGGAAACAAAGATAATAAAGACTTATTTTCTAAAGCAAAAAAAAAAAAAAAGAATTTACAAAGTTTTTGGAGTCTGTGTCAGGAACCAAGGCAGAGGCCAATATGAATTTCTTCTTTCATACAAGGAAACAAAATATGTACACTTAAATCATGATCTTTCCCTGCTCCACCTCCCTAGTCATCTCCTTTCCCTGCATTCTAGAGATCTCTAACAGCTTCATTATCTACTTCACCAATCCAGAAACCTGGGAGTAATCCTTAAATTTTTCCTCTCTGAATTTGCTCAGCCCAAATGTTCACTAAATACTTTCTATTCTAATTCTTGGTGTCTCTTAAATCTTTCTAAGCCCTGTTCCCATCCTTGCTCTAGTTCTCACTCTTAGAACATAGAAATTTACAACTGCCCCCCAGTGTTCTCTTCTCCTGACTCTCCCCTTCCCAATGTATACCAACAATTAGTTTTCTAAAATTCAAACCTGACTTTCCACAATCCAACTCCCTGTGCCTAACAAGAGGCTTCGACTTCTCAGCCTGGCGCAATCCTGCAGCAACACTGTCCTGAGCATATGATGCCTTCTCATGCACTAGCACCCCACACCCATCACTGCAGCTTCCTGCACAAGCCCTGTTTTCTCTCTTCCTCCCATCTATGTTCTGTTCTCTACCTGAAAAAGGGTTGCCTCAGGGGACCCTAGATCTGGATGGGAACAAAATTACATTTTTATTTTCACTAACTTCTACCTGAAACTTGGCATACCCACCCACAGTATGGTTTGGTAGGGAGCAAACCATCGTAATACTAGCTTTACCTGAGACTTTTTCACCAAAAGTCCCAGATTTTTCATATCCTATTAGCATTGTTGCTAATTTTACAAAGTATCGATGATTTTCAGAGTATTCAGTATATTCAAATTAAGGTTGCATTAGATCACTGCTAGATCTTGTTGTTTAATGTGCTAAGTATAAAAGCACATGCTACTGTATCACAAATTTACTTCCTGTAATTTTTGATAAAACTATTCTTCAACATTATGTGTCATTTATGAGCCTACATATTCTAATTTATGTATTTAAAAACATCATTTGGGGAAGAAATAAGCTACTCTAGACTACCTGAGGAATATCTAGCACAAAAATGGGTAAGAATCTAATTTAGGATGTTCTGATAAACTACCTTTGTCCCTTTAAAACTTGGTTGAATGATTATTTTCAGCAGTATTCACTACCCTAACCCCACAGGGCTCTCCTTCCTTCCCCTCCACACTCCCACAGGCCCTCTGTATACCTCTAGCTCCCCCATCACACAAAGCACCTTGAAGACAAGATGTTACTCATTTTTGTAAATTCAGCACCTAGTTCAGAGCCTACAACATGGAAGTGAAATAAAATGTTGCTGAAATAAAACACTGTTGAATAAACAAATGTAAAAATACAAGTAGATGAAAAATTTTTGTCTTAAGATCTCTGAATGGGGGCTAACAATTATAGCTATGAGTCCTAGAGTCCTTAACAATGGAGACACATTCTGAGAAACTTCTGAGAAGTTCTTAGAAGTTTAGGCGATTTCACTGTGTGAAAATCACAGAGTGCAATTTATCCTCCTTCATAGTTCATCATTGACTGCAATGTTGTTATAGGACACATGACTGTGGGACTATGACTATAGCTTTGTGACTGTGGGAAGTCATTTAATTCTCTTAGGTTTTTTCCTAAGATATGAAATTTGGATAGCTCGCCCTACTTATTATACTCTGTTGTTGTCTGTGTGAAAAGTGCTCTGTCAAGTTGCAAGCACTACACAGAATTTAGTTATTATAACAAGTTATCAAGTAACACAAAAAGAAATAATTATACCAAGGACAGTCCATTATTTAAAACCTGCCTACAGCCAAACCCCTCTACCTACCTGTTATGAATTAATTCCATCTCCCTTGGGTGCACTTCCCCACCAATCCAATTCATATGTTGAAGCCCTAATCCCCAATGTGGTGGTATCTGGAAGTGGGGCTTTTGGAAGTTAATTTGGTAATGAGGGTAGAGCTGTTAAGATGGGACTGGGTCTCTTACAAGAAGATACATGAGAGAGAGAACTTCTCTCTGCACGTGAGAATACAGCAAGAAGGTGGGTGACTAAACCACCAGAAACCAATTCTGCTGGCACCGTGATCTGGAATTCCAGCCTCCAAAATTATGAGAAATAAATGGCCATTGTTTAAGCCACCAGTCTATGGCATCTTAGTATAACAGTCCAAACTAAAGACACTGCCCTGTAACGGAGGGTGTATCCTGATGCTCATTCTCCACAAATACCCACTGATCCTGCATGCTTTCAGGTCTTTAGTGGATGTTCTTGTTATTATTTCCTACTATTTTGCTAATGCCTTTCTCCTTTGCTGCCTAGGTTGGTCCTACTGATTCCTCAATAGCCAATCTAAGTGTTAATCACCTCATCTACAAACCTCTGTCTAACCTCTCCCTTCCCCACACCTTGCACAATGTATGAGTTAATTTTCTGAGTCTCAGGAGCGCAGGGACTCTGCCCTACTCTTTTTGACCTCCTCTCATTCATCAGGAATTCATGTTTGCCTGAGCATAAAATTGGACAACCAAAAGCCATTAGAAAATATATGAAACAAATCACTGACATTGTATGCTTCCAGTTATTTTAAGGACAGCATGGTCCTAGCCTTATAGGTTTATATTCTGAGTGATGAAGCTGTCACAAGTCCTTTAAATATTCAGTTTTACCTCACTTTAATTGTAAATCCATTCACTGGAGCAAAGCAAGGTGAAGTTCATCTTGCAATGTCTGTTTCAAGTCATATCATAATGCAGAGCACTGTGTCATTGAAAATGTCACTATGAGAGACAATTGACACAACACTTATCAATTCTTCCCATTCTCACTGCACAAAGACTTTGAACAGGAGTGAGAATCTCAGCTCAGATCCCTCACCAAAGAGTGAGAGAAGGGAGAACAGAGATCAGAGGGGCTATGCATACTTCCATGCACAGTAAGTCTGGTCTAACCCTTGTAGAGTAGCAGAAGACAACGTGATCTTCCAGGCCTAAAGAACCCTACAAGGGAATTTCTGACCCCTTTACAAAGTTGCCTTAAGGTTTCCTCAGTTCTAATGAGACAGGAGACAGTTCCCAAGAAAGTACATGTATAAGAAAAAACTTCCAAAATATAAATACAGTCATTAAAGATTCAGGTCAAAATCCAAGTTAAGATTTAGTTCAAGGTCAAACAGTTACCACCTATTTACATTAAGTAAATGATGCCACTTCCTACTTCACACACAACAAAGCACAATTGGGAAAAAGCCTAATTTCTGGACATCTACCTGTAGTTCCATTTCCTCTAATAATCTGAGAACAAGTTGGCTGATTTGTTTCTGTCTACCTTTGAGATCTTCAATTCCCAAAAGTCGCCAGCTTTTTCAATGATGCCCCATTCAGCTTATTAACCATTCTCCCACCTAACATCTAAATGTCCTCTGTAATCTCCTTACCTACAGTCAGGAAGGTGCTCAAGAGCTGTTCTGTGGCAACGGGCTTGATCTCTGTGCGCAGATTCACAAATCTGCCAACCACCAGGGGGGCTCGGCGGAAACCTAAAATCCTTGTTTGAAAAGTTGTAGAACAGAAGAGAAAAATCTTTAGGGATGTATTTTATTAATAATCTTGAAAATTAAGGCAAATCAACTTTGATATGTAAAAGTCTTGTTGCAAGATATTATTTTTAAATAATATTGTTAAACATTATTTTTAGAGGTACAGATATTTATGTTTAATATCAGAATGTATGTAATCTGTTTTAATATATACTTCAGCAAAGATAAGGCAAATCTGGCAAAATGTTGATAATTGCTAAATCTAGGGAGTGGGCAGATGGGTTCATTATACTAATCTCTCTACTTTAGCTAAAATTTTTCTATAATAAAAATTTTAAATAAATGTTAAAGCATTTGAGAAAAAACTGGGCCTAAACCCATACATGGGTTCAAAGCTTTGAATAAAACAGCACACTGACAGAAAATGACACAGATTAAGTAAAAGGATAGAACCATAGACAACTTAATACTGATATATTTGAAGATACTTCTCCTCAATGGTCTCAAAGTACAACCTTTGGCAGAGGACAATCATTTTTTAACACATGGAATTTCCTAGCTAAAAAATATACATCCACTTAAGAGAAGTGGGAGGGGCAGGATTTGAAACACAAAGAACATTTATAATGAAGAATATAAAGATTGTTCATAATTCCACAACCAAGACATAACACTCAACATTTTGGCATATGAGAATGTTTTCTTTACAGGTACATAAACATACACTCACTCTGGTATATCACAACTGAGGTTAAATTATATGCAGTTTTGTATCTTGTTTTTTACTCCTCATTATATGGTGACTCTTTTCCCATGTCATTAGAAAGTCCTTAAAAACAGCTGTGTAATAAATAATCCATTGTTCTGGGCTACAGATGATTCTGTCCTAAACTCAATCTTAGAATCTGTCACAAAAGCAAGGGGATCAAATAGAACACAATAGGAAAATTGAGAGAACATCCTGAGACCAGAGAAGGTGGTTAAATCCTAGTGTAATTGAGAGATAGCAATCTGGAGCTGAAAAGCATCAAGAGCCAGGCTGGGAAAGTCAGGAAGTATTTTTTTTCTCCCACTGACCACTGCCAGATCAAAGAACAGCAGCTAATTTAGTGCTAAGGCACTTGAGCTCGGCTGGATGGCAGTTAACAACAGGGGTGGGGACACTGGCCAGGGATTATTTTTCAGACTTAGAGGTAGAGAAGAACTTGTAAATACAAGCCCTGTGAAGCACAAGTCATAAATTGAAACACTACTGTATTTCCCTAACATCAAAAGTAACCATTTCTGTACAAAGCCTACTCTACTCTGATGGAGATCATAAATTTTGCCAGTAACAGGAGCAAAACAAAATAACTATGACATACCACTTTATATTAGAGCAACAAAAATTAGTATGTTGAAATATTGGTGCATATTGGGGAAATGACCTTCATGCACTGCTCGTGTCTATTAATAAGGACACACGAAGAGTTTGGGATGAAGAAAACAGGGAAACAAATATGGTCGTGGAAAGCCTGATTCTACTGTGCCTTTAAGTGAGGGGTAGGATTTATCCACTCTCTGCAACTTGGTCATAAAAGAGGCAGTGAAAATTTATGGTATTGTGAACAAACATTTATTTAATATTTTCCATATCATTAGATATTTAGATTGCTACAGGTTTTTTACTACTGAAAAATGCTACCTCTGAGACTGTTATGTAAGTATCTGAATTTGATTATTTCTCTATACTTCCTAGAAATATATATATCTACATAAGATAGTTACTTGTTCAGAGGACAAGAACATTAAGATTTTTTAAAATTTTTTAATTATTTTTAAAGATTTATTTATTTATGAAAACAAGAGCTGGGGCACAGGCCAGAGGTGTGGGGCAGGGGGTGAGAGGAGTCACCAGAGACAGAGTGGGGAGCAGAACAGGCGGACTGACTAAAATACACTGCTGAGGGAGCAACAGCCAGACAGTAGAGGTCTGCTGCGCCCTGTGGGTTGCTCCCTGGCTGGCTGGGAATTGAAACTTGTACTGCAGAGGCTGCGGATTGCTTCTTAGTGCTGCATCTTAACCCCTTGCGCCACCAGGGAGGCCCAAGAACATTAAGATTTTTGATCTACAGTGCCAATGTTCCTAAAAGAAACACTGACCCAATTAGTACTATCAGCAGCATGTGAATTGCAATATATTCCTGCCAAGAAAGTATACATGTATACTTTTTTTTAAATCTCTGCCATTTTCAGCAAGTCAAAGTAGTATTTCATTGTTTCAACTGGATTTTTCTTTTTTAATTACTGATGAGGGTGAATGCCCCCACCAAATTTATTAGTAATCAGTCATTGTTATTTAGTCAACTGAGTTCTCAGACCATATTCTACTAAGAGTTTCAGTGTAGTTACATAGGTTTGTATAAACACTTATATATGAAGACTTCCAGTGCTTAGGTTAACACTAGAGTTGACAATTTTCTCCTAGTTTGCCTGCCTTTAAGTTGTTTGATATTTCTTGACATATGAGTTCACTTCTATTTTTATTGAGGTAATCTTGGTCTTTTTTCAGTTGAATCTATTGAGCTTTTTTGTGATTTTTAAATTATTGTTTTCTGCTTAGAAAAGCCTTCCTAACTGACAAAAAGACAAAAATCCACCTTTATTTTTTTAATGGATTTTTTATAGAGTGATTTTTAAAAATAGTGTAATTTCTCTTAAAGTCTGTCACTATGTCCTGATGAATGAGCTGATCAAAGAGCACCTAGGATATGAGACAGTTTAGCTAACAGGGTTCCTGAATAGCAACCTGTTGAAAAATAATAATTTTCCTACTTAATGTAAACATTTAGAATGTCTACTTTTCTCTTGGAATTATTCTAGTTAATGAAGCTGTGTGTATTTTATATGATAGACAATAAAAGTTACTATTATGTATATCATGCTATGTTTCTAGCATATGGGGTAAGTTAGTACTACTTGCTTAAAACAAACAAACAAACAAACAAAAAAAACAGGACTGCTAGGCCCAATTCATGACTGATTTAATTTTGGGATTTGAGTTCAAATTTTGGTTTTTATCCTGTTATTTTATTTACCTAGAACATCTTCACTTATGATCATGATTGTGATGGGGCATACCACAATGAAATAACCTTAAAAAGCCTGGAGTTAAAATATTTATTTTGGCATCCTGGTGCTAGCCAAATTAAGAGGGACTCATGCAAACAGAATGGCCTTAATCAACTACCTAAAGTAAATAACAAGTCAGTTATTCGTGTTGTACCCTTTTGAAGATGTCCATAAGTCCTCTCCAAGCTTTTCTTAAAAGAAAGCAAAATAAGCATAATCCACTGTGATCACACATACCTGTCCAAATGAAAGGCTGCTACCTCTGCATTGTGTCTATCATAACCAGCATATGGTTCCCCTTCTACCACATAGTCTCGGTTATACCTGCAGAGTGAAGAGAAGCACAGATGTAGACATAAATTACATCAGTATCAGAGGTGACAGCACAAGAGGCAGAGCAAGCCGGATTCTGCTCCACAGACACCTTCTCTGTCAACCCAGAGAACCAGCAGTAGATAAGCTTGAGTCCCTGGTAGATAGGGTCAAGATGAAGTGAAGAGGGCCTCCCTGGCGGTGCAGGGGTTAAAGTCAGTGATATGAAGTTGTCACTAGCCACTACAGCACAAGCTCAATCCCTGGCCAGGGAGCTAACCCACATGGTGCAGCAGACCTGTCTTGTCTTGCAGCTGCTCCCCTCAGCAGTGTATTTCAGTAGATCTGCCTGCTCTGCTCCCTACTCTGTCTCTGGCGAATCCTCTCACCCTGCACCTCTGTCATGCACCCCAGTTCTTATATGCATAAAAAAATATTTTTCAAAAAGAGGAAGTGGAGAAAGAAACCAGAATTCTATCATCAATCATTCTATGAATAAACATGGAAGATGTTATTTTTACCCCTCTAAAAGATTTTCAATGTAGCTTAAGTAAAACTATAAGGTAATTTTCTGGAAGGCAAGGACCATCCTTCTATCTCCAACACAGTGGTAAGCCTAGAATTGGTGTTTAATACATTTTACTAAATGTTTATTAGATTGAAGAAAAGGGAAATGTATAATTAAAATGTTTGCTTACCAGAATAGCTATGGTAAGACTTAAAAGCCTCAATTTCTTAAGCAAAAAATGGTCCTGAAACACCTCAGTTTTTGTTAATGAGTACGCAATGAAGCATTTGAAGTTGTTTGAATAATCATTCTTTCTCCTTTTGAATTTATGGTTGTGTTAGTGCAAGGAATACTGGACTGGGAGTGAGAGCTATGTAGAGCCTTGTCACTGTTTGCCTGAGAAAACCTGAGCAAATTCCTTCTCTTCTCTAGGTCTTAGATTCCTTATTTACCATATCAAGGGTCTGGATTAGGAGGCAATTTCTAAGGTCTCTTTCATCTCAAGTTCTATTCCAATGATTTTACATCATATGCATGACATTAACAAAAGATAATTAAAACTGGCATTTTTCTTTCACCAGTCATTTTAAAAGATATGATCTAAACCTGCTAATTGGGAAGAGAAATCATATTTAATTCACCCATGACCTCGACTGCTCACCGGCATTTCCTGAATCAAAAGCAGGCTTAATAGGCTCCACAAGGGAACTGTGAATTAGAAATAAATTAAGACTGAAGTGAAGAGGAGCTACTTGGATCTCCTGTGCTGAAAAAGCCATGGGAAGTGGGAAATGGTGCTGTAAAAGGCAGTGACCTTCAACACGAATGACCTGGGAATGTAAAGTGAAATCATGTCCACAAAACACAATTTTAGGCATTAGAAGACAGCCACAATCACCACCTGGTTGGACACCAGCTTCCTCTTAGCATGGTCAATTTACTCAAATGTAATTTTTTGCTTCTATTGTCAAAGCATTTTGTAGGTTACCTAGGGCTACACTGGCTATCTCCAAATGAAAGTCTGAGTTTTTAAGCAGGACTGAAGCAAAAGCTGACACTATTCAAGCACTTCTCTCTTTACCACAAAGTGGGGCTGTCCATAATGCTGAGGGACAATCCTTGTGTATTTTATTTATCATGACTCAGGGGGCCACAGAAAGATAGGAGGTAATGTGCAGTGCATTCCTTTCAGTGAAACATTAGAACTTTCTAATTCGTAGTTAAAGACTTCTCACAATGAAATGTAAAACCTTAGCAGAATCCAGAGACTTTGGCAGGAAGGAAGGAAAAAGGAAAGGAATAAGAACCAAAATGAAAGAGCTGCAATGGAGTCAGAAGGTCTGAATCCTTAACTCATATTTTGCTATATGAAATACGGAGACTCACAACTGACTTTCTCATTTCCTTACCAGTAAAATGAGTAGTTGAACTACTTCATCTCCAAGATCATTTATTCACTTATACTTACGCTTGGTCCTGCCATTTGGTTCATTTCCCACTATAACTGCAGTTTTTGCTTGTAAATATCAATTGACTTCCAGAATGGATACAAGCTACTTTGAAAAAAATCACTTTCATAATTTCAGGCAAAATGGGCAAAACAGAAGTATCATTGTATTCCTATGTATCTCATCGACCATACATATCTTCTATTTCTGAAAGTCGGACTTGGACAACTAAGCTCCAGAAATGATGAAACCACAAGTGGCTGTGAAAGAAGGCACATGTCTCCACTTAGCAGGAAGGCCTGAGATCCAACTCTCAGCAGAGTGATCCATCTTAAGTCACTGACAGAGCAGTAAATTCATACACTAAATGCCAATAAATCACTCCCATCCTCTGGTGAAGGACAGCAGAGTCTGACCAAGGACATTAATTTGTACTTACACTAGTACTAAATAGTATCTGAGGCCCTTAGGGCAGAACAGCAATTTGCTGGCTGTTTTGGGACTGGAGTCAATTTCCACAAGCACTTAAACTTAACACCTACTTTCCCAGCCTGTACCAGCATCAGGGATGGTCAGCACACTCAGTGTGCAGTGACTGAGAGTGCTACGGCCACGGCAGGGTCCTACTACAGTCTTTAGAATGGGGGAGGAGAGTACTGTGGAGCAACGGTGGACATGGGCTGTTCAGGAGGTGGAAGGGCTTCTAGGGGCCAGTGTGACAGAAATAAAAAGCCACGTGTTGAGAGGAGGACCAGGCGATTCTAATACATAAGCACAAGAGTACGTTGTGGAGGAACGATAAAATTGTTTAGTACACTGGAAACTTTAGATATTACAAACTTTCAAACTAATTTAGATATTACAAACTTCGGTAACTAATTCCTGGCACAGAATGTGAATCACCATCATGTAACCTATTTCAAAATCATATACTCACAGAAATATTTTTAAATTAAAAAAAAAAAAGTTAAATTCTATACTACAAAACTACCACTCAACTTATCTCTGTAGGACCTTAGAGAAGTCTAAAACCCACTCCAACTTTGGGTCATCCATTCAAAACCCACTCCAACTCTGGGTAACTCTTCTTCTACAGCATCTTTAACAGCACACTTTTGGTGACAAGTTGTGTATTTCCTAACCATTCATTTTGTATCTCTAATATCTGGCACATAACAGGTATTTGATAAATTAGAAATCAAGGCTAGTCTAACTGCAAAAAATTCAATCTTCTATGGAACCAAAACATAGTCCATATAAATATCTCCTAAAGAATCATACAACATTAAGAGTGAGAAAAGACTTCAGAGATTTTCTAATATACTCTTCTCATTTTACTGGTGAGAATAGCAAGAAAAGATGAATACTTTTATATAAATCCCAAGTTACACAAGTCAACCAATTAGCAAATATAATTTCTCAGATAAGGACTTACCGCTTAGGTTTGAAGACCACTTTCTGTCCTCCTTCAAGTATCAGTAAGGCTTTCAGTTGTGTCCCTTTATAACCCACATCAGCTTTAATGATTTTTTTGGTGGCCATGGCATGCATGATGGCCCCCAGCTCTGGTGTCTCTTCAGGATACACTTCTCGGGGGACTACCCACTGGGCGGCAATCTCCCAAGGAGACTGCAAGGTGTGGTCCAGCTTGGGCACCAGTTCCACCCGCAAGCCACCCATCATTCGGTGAAAAGCCCTCTGGTCCTCCCGATTGGCAGCTGATGTATCTAAGTTGTCAATCAGAAAAACTTTGGTGAAGATAAAGATGACAAGCAGAATTGCTAACAGCACAACTCGCTGCTTTAGCTTCATGATGACCTCTTTTCTTTCTATCCCTACCCACTCTCTCTCTTATCAAGGAGAGCAGGTGGTGATGGTTATGGAGGCGATTCCATGATTATACACACCGGCCCACTTCTTCACTGAAGTGCATCCGACAATTCCTGCAAGCCCAAATAAAGCAAAATTCAATTAGAAATTGTGTACTTCCACCTTGAATCTTCTGCAAGTCTCAAATACATTACTCACCCTCTTAGCCTTACTAATCTTATACTAGTCCAGGGAAGGACCCAATAGGGAAGAATTGGATACGATAAAAATTTAAAAGTAAATAGGGTGCAAAGTCATCCAGGAGCCATTTGGATGGCTACAAATTCTTAATAAGCAAACACTGAGTAAAAGCACAATAAAAGCAAAATATTATGGTAAGCACAACTCCTTAACTTTCATTTTACCTTTGTAAATTCATAAAGGACATCTGACCATCCTAACACCACTATTGGGTAACTTTCTGGTTCTTATCTTCTCCAAATAAAGCATTATGACACATTATGAGACAGGATTTCCTAAAAATGCCAAGGAGGGTATAGCGGAGAGTAATAACTCCTCCAGATCCACACACCTACGAATCCAGAACGGGTCTCTCTGCTGCTCACATATTTAAATACAATATACAGACACATGTTGATTCTTAACCAGTCTTCCACTAATTATTTTACAAAATTAAAATCCCTGAAAAATATGGATAATCAAGTCTGAATAAATCAAGTAAAGGAAAAACACATCCCTATATCATCTGGCTATTAGTAGAACATGACCAGAAAACCAATGAAACCTGGTACTATAGCAACACTACTAAGCGGGCTGGTCAGGCATGTAGTGAAGATACTGATGCTACCGATACCACTCGCTTCCATGAGGGGCACACCATACTCTGGTCAATTCTTAAGCTAAAAGATTCCAAACGCAACATTTTTGCAAGGGTTTCTCATTTGCATGCTGACAGACTGCTTTCCAAGCCACAGGGCCTTTAAAAACATGCAGGAGCTTGCTCTGCTGTATGTCTACAGACAGCACAGCATTGGGCTAACACAAAGATGACAAGAAGATAACAGGGTGTTGCTTCACTCTCCTATTCATTCCACACCTCAAACCATTAATCGAAGGAATAAAACCAATACAAAAGACTCCCACCCAAATTGGATTCTGCTCTCCAAATAACAGCTGGTAACATCCAAAAACAGCTCACTAGAACAACAGTGTGTTCTAGGGGCAACACCTTGCAGTGAGCCTGTTGACATGAGTTTATTCTTAGTGATTAGCCACTCTTTTCCCATTCGTTTTCACAGAGAAGAGGAAAGTGAAAGTTAAATTCCAATTCTAATTATCTCCAGCCACCTGTTTTGTTTTATCATCTCCCGGGGAGCACATAACACTATTAACTGAAACAAAGACAATTCAAGTGCATCCAAAATGTAATTGTGATGGTATTAAGTTTGGTGTGAAACCCAGTAAAACAGTTCCTTGTGATTACTGGTAACAGCAGTGCTAGAACAGATTTCCAGAGATTTTTGCAAGTTCCAACATTCCAACATGACCTAAGTCATACAACTTCTTCAATTATTTGTTCAATAGTATACATCTTGAACTGCAGAAGGACATGGAAATCCAGCTGCGTCAGCAATAGCTTCCTCAACATCTCCAGCTACATTATCTACAGCCACAACACAATTCTGGCCAAAACCAGACAGCCTGAATGGCCTTTCATTTTCAAAACATTCTTCAGGACTAAAGTCTGGTTATCCCATAAATATCTAATGATGCCGCTCATTTCATTTAGAACAAAGAAAAACCTCTTTATGCCACATAAACATATGTCAGAACATTCAGCATAAAGGTTAGGTATTGAGGTTATTTAATACTAGTGAAAAAGGAAATTCTAGAAGATTCAAAATCCAGGCAAAACCCACTCTCCAACTCCACAATCTGAGTTTGTGTGCCTATAGTTTTGAAATCTCATTACCTTTTGAAGTGATCTCAGATTTATCAATTCAGGGCTGCAAACAATTCATCTATTCAAGTGAGATGGAAATTTTTTATATATTAAGTGAACTGAAGAGTTCAACTGTTACATTCTCTACTATTTACCTCTGCAGTAGTAGTGAGACAGGTTTAAGGAAGAGGCTGGGCAAATTTTCATGTTTGTGCTTAGTCACCAAATTCTGGTAGGACTAAGATGGGGATCTGGCATCGTTCTGTACCACTGCCTACTTTCCCACAGCCACCAGCTGTATCAGATGCTCACCGCCTCCCACTGGCCGACTGCAAGAACTGCTGCTGGGCTTTCAGGTTCTCCAATCCAGACTTGATAATGCAGCACTATCATTTTCTAATCCACAACCACCATGATTTTCTACAAATTCCTTCACAAGTCATTAATGCTCTACCATGAAGCACTTTTAGCAATCTACTCTTCTAGGCATCATTCCTCTTCTCAGCAGCAGCCAAAAATGGCCATGTACAAGCTCTGATCCTTGTAGATGAGTGGCTGACCTTAGTCTTTGTCATTCCTCACTCTGGCACTCTTTCAAAATCCCTTATTCTTGCCCTTGCTTCCCACATTCTCCAGTTAAAAACCTAATTTACCTTTCAAGGGCCACCTCCAAAGTCATTTGTTCCTCCCCACATTCTACAATAATGCTCTTAAACCACTACTTTACTACTTTCTGCCTAGTCCAGTATCTTCTTATAGGGAGTTCTTAATTCTCTTAGAATCAAGGCTTCTTAGTGATATTACCTGTCTTTCCACTCCCCACAGTGTCTAAAGTGGTAAGGGTAGATGCCTTAGTCACTACAATTGAATACACTAAGAACGAGAGTCTGCAACTATTTTAGAACTCTGGTACTGATCTTTGCTACTCAGTATTAACTGAGTGTGTCCCAATGGCACCCTAATGTTGATGATTCTTAATCAGTCATCCTCCTTTTCTTAGAATTCACTTCTCTACCAACAGTCTAGCTACTCAGAGTTCAGCAGGGAGTTTCATAGTATAGTTTCTTTTTCTGAAGAAATAACTGACAATTCAGAAAGGTTTTCTTTTAGTTGGAAAGCTGCTACTCCATCAGCCCACAGGCAAATGCAAAGATATTTAAGAAACTGACAATAGAGAAGTTATAGTGGAATTTCTACAAAATGTCTATGAGTTTGCAAGATTTCAATTCCAGAAAAATGGATCAGATGCATTATACAGCCTAATTCCATTCTCTAACTATAGTATCCTTCTTACTCTTCATGATTCCCTTCTCCTGTATGATCCAGAGGGGAGGATGCCCACAACTGGATTTCCAGGGTATATTATCTTTTTTCCTTATTTGAGACAGCAGCAAACTATACACTGTACAAACTGGGATTCTAAGACAATCCATTTCAGGTACTAAGGAAATTAAAGCAAGATCACTGGGTTTATGCCAAATTATTCATGAAAACTTTACTTGCATTCCCAAAGGAGTCTGCCTGGTGTATTTCATGCACTCACCTCCTCTTATAAATGCTTCCAACAGTGTAATGCTGTCCAGTTATATTATGGCCATTTATTTTAATGCTCTGTTATGTGGAAAAGAGCCTACATCAAAGAACAAATAGCCTTAAGGTAATAACATAACTCAAAAAATGCTAAATACAAAAAAAGGGGGCAGTACAAATGGTAGTCTTCACACTAAAAGCTGGCATAAACTGCCAGACTAGAGTTCTGGAAGGCAGACCTTTATAAGGAATATTCCTCTGAACTCCGGTTTCACTCAAAGCTCTATCAACTAATGGGGCCTGCTATAGAGGTTCATTTACTTTCACTCTTTACACACACACACCCCGCACCCTACATATTTGGTATTTTACAAGGACAAATTTATGACCATCAAGTTGTTTCAGATGACAAGATGTAGATTCCACAGGAGAAACTGAGGTCTTTGAATAAAATCCTCTGCCTAAGAACCTGACTGATGTCTACAGGAACATGCACAGAAACCCACACTGGTGTAGAGGTCTGCAAGTCATCATATGGTAAAACTCACTGTATATGGATGCTGAGGGACAAGAGAACACTTAGCCCAACACTTACTACCTAACTAGGAACTCCCAGTCACCAGGCATGCCCCAAGCCCCACTGGTAGCAGTGTCTCCTTTAACCTCCCTCTGATCAAATGACAACCTCAAACTACTACCAAGGTCACAAAGAATTCCAACTTTTGTTTATAGCAAGAGAAAGTTTCAGTAATAACCCTTTTCATTGTATTTCCAATTCCTTAGTCAAATCAGATTCTTACTACCTAAGTGGAATGTAATAAGCATTGTGAGTGTAATGCACAAAGAAAATGTTCAGTATGGACATTTCATGTAAAGGGCTATTCAGAGAGACATATAGCAAAGGAGGGCAAAATTTATTATATTACAGGTATAATAATCATAATCATATTTAATCATATTTACTCACACAATCTCCCTGCCCTTGAACTTGAGTAGGAATTATAAGGAAGCTTTTGCAGTCTTCTTCTTTGGTAATTATTGGTTTCAGCAAATATCTGAAAGTTTGGTAAAACTTAAAAAAAAAAGTAAGTAGTAAAACCTGAATTTAATAAAGAACTTTCTGGCTGACTGTCTACAAAGACAGACATGAACAATTTCTCCCATCATTGACAGAATCTCTTTTTCCTCCCTTTAAATATGGGCTGGCTTTGTAAGTTGTAAATGCTGTGGAGGTACCTGTATATACCAGTTGTGGCCTCAGTTCTGGCAGCTTCCATTTAGGATCAAACCACTATGTAAGGCAGCTCAGGCTACACTACTTACTGATGAGATGCCTGGCCAGCCCCTGGCTATCTGGGTCACCCTGGCTGAAGTGCCAGGCTTGGAGGTGAATCCACCTAGGGCATTCCAATTCCAGTTGAGGTTCCACAAGTGACCCCAGTGTATAGTATGTGGGTAGAAGAACTAACCAGCTGAGCCCAGCTGACCTACTTAATTATAGGATTTTTTTAAAGCCACTAAATTTTGTAGTAGTTCGTAAAACCCAACATTCTCATATCTATTTCATTCATATCAATTATTTTGTAGACATTAAAAAACATTGGGAACAAAGATACAGGAAATAAATTAGGAGACTAAAAATTCTCTCAGGGAGAGGGGAAGCATTAAATTAGCCATTAACTGTAAATTGATTGGAATAGTATATTTTTAGGTCATATTTGTATATGATAATGCCTTCTACATAGCAATAAACTCATTATGAAAGTTATATGCCATTTGTAGTCCTTTTGTCTTCATTAGATATTTAGAATAATACATAATTAAAGTCTCTTAAAGGTAACACAAGAAAAAATAAAATCTCAACTGGATCATTTATTAAAATCTATTTATATACTTTAGTGCAACCAAGACTAATCTCGCACACTCACAAACTCACAAATTTGTACTAAGTACAAATGCCCAGTTTATAAAGCCTAACAAAGCACAAATAGCAAAAATCACAACCTTTTAATAAAAAAAAAAATTAGATACACACATAGTTTCACTCTGAGTTATGTCTGATATGCTGCCCTTTTGTTTTTAATTGGTAGAGCAGTGTGCTACATTATTAGCTACCCTGATAGTGACAATTATTGTAAGTAAAATCAAGAGCATTCAGAGAGCTTTCCACTTAGCATTACGTGCCTCTATCCAGGGAGTCAAAATCCCCAATACCAAATGGCATCAAGTGTTTATTACCTGAACATATCCAGCATACCCCCAGCAAACCACTCCCCTCCTGCACTGTGACCCACTACCCACAACAGCATATTCTTTTTCATCTTCAAATGAGACTTCAACTAAAAACCAAACTAATGCTAAATATCATTAATCGGGATCTGCATATAATTTTTCCTTTCCCTGCTCTAATTTTCCATGTATGTTATAGCTTCTTAATTTACCTTTGTATTCTAAAGTTTTCTGTAGCAGAGCCTATGCTCTGGATTCAAATGTCAGGTCTGAGTGCCTGCTTTATCATCAACTGTGAAACTTAGGAAAGTGATTTAAGCTCTAACCTTTCTGGGTTTCAGTTTCCTCGTGTGAAAAGTAAGAACACTATTACCTAATTCATAGAATTGTTAGAAATGAACATTACCACAAATACTGTGCTAAAACTAGTGCCCAGAGGACCCAGAGTAATCACTTGTTAACTACTATTCCTAACTCAAAGATGACTTCCTGAGAAGAGAAAAAAATGACAAGAAAATAACCCTCACTAGTTATGCTGTCTTGTTTTATGATCAGGGCTGAATACATAAGTTGCATTACTGAGAGCAAGTAGTCATATCCCTGAACCAAATCCTTTCCTAAACCTGAGGAATAGCCAAGACTATAAGCAAGTAGGCATCTTCAGAGGAGGTAGCATGTGAAGCAGAAAACTGGAAAGCTATGTAAGTAATATGACCAACCTGTTTCTCTTTTCCACAAAGTTCAATTCGGTCAAATTTGATGGAGCTCAGAGAAGTATGAACTTATTCTAATTCATAAAAAGGATGAAAACAGGGCCTCTCTGGTGGTACAGGGGTTAAAGACACAGTGCTATCAAGTTATTGCCAGCCACTGCAGCATGAGTTCGATCCCTAGCCAAAGAGCTAATCCACATGGTCCAGCAGACCTCTCCTGTCTCGCCCACTGCTCCCCTCAGCAGTGTATTTCAGTCAATCTGTCTGTTCTGCTCCCCACTGTCTCTGATGGATCCCCTCACCCCCACACACACACACCACTGGTACACCCCAGTTCTTGCACGCATAAACAGTTAAATCCTTTTTTTTTAAAAGCTGAAATAAAAAATACCCTTCTCAATATTCTTTAGTTTCAAAAATTAGGTCTGTTGGACTGCTTTAAAGATGGCAGTTTTGCATGTCCTAAATCCCTTAAGCGCAACTTAAAGTCATAGATATAGAAAATTCAATTCCCTTATAGTTCAAATTAGTCCAAGAGTTAAAGATTTTCCTCACGGTGTTCACTTCCACTTATATTTATTCATGTCTGTAAATGCAGGCTCTGTAACCAAAAATCCTCTAATAGTTCTCTATGAAGGAAGCCAACTAAAATGATCAGCCTTTCTTACTGGATGTGAGAGTAAGAATGAAAGAGACAATGTTTGTTACCTCTTTGAAAAAAAAAAACTCAATTCTTGCAACCTGTACCATTTAAACCTTAATTTAGGCAACTTCCTAGCCTTCTTCCTTGGAAAATGAAAAGAAAAAAATCTCTAGCTATTATTGCTAAATGAGATTTGTTCTTAAAAAACCAACACAGGCGGTGTTCGCTGATCTAGAAACTGCAGAAATGTCTAAGAATTTGCATTCTGTTTTAAATGGGCCAGGTAGAAAGAAGCCTATGTTCCAGATATCTCTAGGTTTAAGTGTCAGTGTATAAATACCATTTAAGGCTATTACAGAATGTAATTCCTATATGGTGTACAAATATGGAATTTCAAATAATATATTTTCATGCCTCCCATCTTTACTATTTAGTTCGCTACACTTCTCGGAAAGGCTTATAAGCTTGCAATAGTAACACCTCACATTTTAAACCTTATGTTCTTGCGTGTGCCAAGGTATAGGTCACAGATAGCTTAGAAATAGTAGAACCCCAAAAAGGTCTGTGATTATGCTGGCATTTGTGTGTGTGCACGCATTCCTGTCTCCTCCAGTATTATATGAGTTCCCGGAGGACAGGGGTATGTTTTACTTTCTTCCTATGGAACTTCAAGCAAGCTAGCAAAATGCAAGGTACAAGACTATTTGATAAATGCTTGTCAAATAAAAGGTGTGAAAAACAGGGAGAGACACCATTATAATTACAATAATTTCTTCTGAACCATCACTTCTTTTGCTTAAAGATGACCTCTTTTTACAGACATGAGGAAAGTAAGTCCTAAATTCAGATTTATAGTACCCAAAAAAGGGGCAGAAATGTCAAATATGTTATCAATTGAGTGTTTAAACTCAATTTTAAATTGCTACATTCCATATACCCTACTTATACCTTTCAAGGCCACTGCATTGATAACCTGGTTCCTGGCACTGGTTGGCATCAGGAGTAGAGATGATGTAGAAATGCTAAGAGGAAGACTGGAGAAGGTCCAATACATTGCCTAAGAATCATAAAAACAGGGTTAGAACCAGATCTTCAAGTAATCTTGGCCATGCTTTCTGAAATGAACATCAAGCCTAGTACTTCCATATCCTTTCTTTTTTGTTTGAAAGAACTATAGGAACATACATGAATCTATACAGAGAGTAAGTGCATTAAACCAAAGATAAGAAGCAAGAAATGAACAAAAGGTCTCTGGGCAGCCAAAATCATGGTTATAAAGTTCATCCACGAACAGAGAAGAGTCAGACCCTTGCTTAGGTTATTTAGCTTTTTTACATTCATTTTGGAAGCAGTTATCTGGGTTGCTACTCCACAGAAGATCAGAAGCTGAAAGTTTCAAAGAGGGTGGTAGAAACACTAACAACAAAAGTACAGCTTTTCAGCCTCTGAAAGAAGAGACAGATTGACTATTAAAAGCAGATTCAAGAATTCAAAAAGCAATTCCCTCAAAGCCCATGACGCCAGTAATCACAGATTATGATTTACTAATCTCAAGTTAATAAAAAGTTAAACTTTCTATTGTTTTAAAAAGCAAAATATATATTGTAACAAAATATGCACAAAAAGCTATAGCTAAAATAAGAATTTTCGTACATAATGCCTTATGATAACAATTTTATATAAATAAGGTGTTGCCATATACAAAAAACAGAAAGCAAGCATTTAAGAACATGGAATGATAGACTTCACTGCCTCACCCTGTACTTTGTTCTCTTACACACCCAAAACTTGATATTCCTTGATCTTTTTATAATGTACCCAAATTAACACCCTCCCATCAATAGGGCTGTTACCTTGTCAGACCTCAAAGCTCAAAGTCTCTTTTCTACACCAGCCTCCGTTTCTTATATTGGGGTGGCAGATGCACCCCCAGGCTTATCAGGTCTGGAAGTAGGCCTTTTTTCCCTCTTTTGCTTTTGGATAAGACCAATCACAAGTGAGAGCTTTGCATCATATGCTTTTCTCCTCAGTTCTAGCAATCAGGTTAACTGTAAGTCAGTGAAAAGCTGCTTTCAGTTGCAAAGTAAGGTCTTCTGTTCTGTACCCCAGGTCTATGCTAATGAAGGTATTATCCTTGGGGGTTAGAGAGGCAGTTCGAAGAAGGAAAAGAGGGCAGAGATATACAAAGATGGACTGAGCAGCTACTGGAGAGGCACTTCATGTAGTGATAACTCCCCTCCTCCACCCCCAACATAACGGATAAGATGAACAGTGAGGATCAGTGAGGATCAGTGAGGGTCAACTCTTGACCATTACGAAGAGTTTTAGTTTTCCTATTAATGCAAAATTATTCACTACCAATTATTCGCTCAATTAACCTTCGCAGAGAAGGTTGCAGGAGCAAGTCTGTGAAGCTGTACCTGACCACAGCAGTCCCAGGCTGCAGGTGGGTAGAACACCATCAACCACAAAATCAAACCTCCAGGCAGCTCCAAGTAATACCCTTAACATACCCATCTCAATGGCATCTTTTCAACAGACACCTGAAACACATTTTATTGGCCTCTTCTTTTTTTAACAAAAAGATGAACCAAACAATCCAGCACACACAGTAGAATATTTCCCCTTCCCCCATACTGTTTTCCATTCACTTATTCAACCACCAAATATTTCCTGTATACTTACTATGCTATGTACTCTGCAATTACAACAACCTGTAGTGCCCCACTGAAATGTGCTTCCCATCCCAATCAACAAAGTCTCCTGATACTTAGTCCCAGCAACCTGATAGCAGCTCCTTTTTATTGTTTGCAACTGCAGCCACAGAATACAAGGAGCAGCCCCCCGTTTCTATGAGGCAACAGCAATCACCAAGAGGCAACCACTTGCTATTTGAAAAGGTTATCAATTCAAGAACTGAAGGGTCTGCCTTCAGAGTTTACATCATTAAAATGACAAGACACACCAATTGTAGGAAGCTGAAATCTGCCCTGAAAGTAAAGGAAATAAAGAAAATATCATTTAGGATGGAATTAAAATTTCAGAAAAAGATAACAAGCAGAAGCTTTCAGGCTGTGGAAAGATTTAGAATCTACAAATGCAAATTAAGAAAACGAACACAAAGTCAAGGAATTATCAACTCAAAAAAAATTCTATGGCATAAAGGACTGTATCCTGTGACACAAAAATGATAAAAACAGTGATCTGTTCCTTCCCTAATTCAAAGTACTCAAAAAGAAAAGGGTGTGTGTATCCAAGTTTTCATTCTTTAACCAAAATGTAGCTACTTTCCTAATTCCACAGAAAAAAAAAAAACAGAACACATCAATATTACATTTTCACTTGCCATGTTGAAGGAAAGCTGTGAGCTCCAAGAGTTCTTGACCATCTTTTACTTCCATCCATTCCTATCACTGCACTTTATTGTGAGTGAAACTGAGTCTGAATTACTTGCTTGTGTCTTTTTAAATCTCCTTTGATAAGCACTTTCAAACTAGGAAGGACTTCCTGTTGACTTATTCCATTGTAAGGCTCTAGAGGACAAAGTCCAACAACTTTACAAACTTCAGAAAAGTTATTACACAAAATATTAATTTTAAATCTACCTTAGATTGGCTCTGAGTCTAGGTAAACAATTTAATACTTTAACACCTGTACCTCAGTTTCTCAAAGACATGTCTCGATGACAAATAATATACTGGAAGAGCCCTAAGTCTTATCTCAAGGTCCTGCATAAACCCCAGGAATGTTTGTAATACATAAAGGCTCTGCGGTCTCTAATCCAATTTAAAAAAAAATGAAATTTATGGATTAATTTACAACACATGGGTAGGCACAGCAATAAGCAATCGTAACTACCATATTACACAGGACATGGGAACTATAAAGTCCTACAATTTAAATGCTAAAAGATCCCACATTCCTCTCTTCCTTTCAAGGTGAGATATCAAACCAGGGGGAAATTGGCTGGCTAGGGAGGATCCTGATACCTGGCCTTAGACTCCAGTCGCAGAATCAAGCATCTCCCCTTCCCCTCCAAATCATAACTCCTCACCCCAATGATAACATGGCATGGAAGGGGCTCATACTTCCAGAACGACCAACCAACCATGCCCGTTCCCTCCAACATCCGTCAACCCCTTCTTTTCCCACCAGTAACACGAGCATGATTAGAAGGAAACTCTCAACACATCCCATAATCAAGGACGCAGCTCGACAACTGCTCACATTCATCATTAATGGCAACGTTGCGCTTCGCTGTTCCTCGCCGAGCCACCACACCCGGAAATGAAATCTCCAGCGCAACCCACTTCGGACTACCGTGTTATTTCCTCAAGTTGTGCCCGGCGCGAGCGCAGGAGCACGCCCCGGTGGGCACGGCGGACCCCGCGCCCCCCGCCTCCGGCCTGCAGGTCACTCGCGCTTCTCCGCCTCCAAGTGGGCCCGCGAGTGCGCGAGGGGCCCCCGCGGGCGCGCGCGCCTGCCCGGGCCGCCGCAACCGGCGCCCGGAGGAACCCGAGGGCGGCCCCGGGGGCAGCCGCCTCTGGGGACCGCGTCGGGGCAGGACAGTCGGTCCCTCGAAGGACCCAGGGTGTCCCCAGGTGAGGCCCGCGCCTCGGGGCGGGCCGAGGAGGAGCCTCGGGGGCGGGCCGCGTCCCTCCGGCCGCTGCTGTCCGCAGGAGTCCGCCCCGGGCTCGCAGGCGGCGGCGGGCCCCGGTGTGGGACTCGCCGGCGGCCGCTCGGGGGACCGGTGCCCGGCTCCTCAGGGAGGGGGAGCCCCGCCCCGCCCCCGGGTGGTCCCTGCCCGGCGCGGGCCGCGCACCGCGCCCCGCCTGCCGGCCCGCACTTTCCCGCCCGCCGCGCCGCGCCGCGCCGGGGGCGGGGGTCGCGCGCCCTCGCCCGTCACCCCCCCGCCCCCCCACGACGCCGCTCACCTGCCGGCCCTAGGCCCGCTCCATGGCCGCCCGCGCGGTGCGGTGCGGCGCGGCCCTGGCCGCCCCCGCCGCCTCCGGGAGGGGCAGCCCCACACCGTGCTCACCGCTCCCAGCCGCCGCCGCCACTGCGGCTCCCGCCCACCCCCGGCCCGGCCATTCCCTGGCCACCTCTCCCCGCGCAGAGCCGGCCGCCCCACACCCACCCCCCGCCTCCGCGGCCCCCGACTGTTGGTACCGTCCTAGCGCAACGCCTTCCCGGCCACCAATCCCAGGGCGCCATCTGCGAGGCCACGCCCCCGCCCGCCGGTGGGCGGGCCTACAGGGTCCGCTCCCACCCGCCCCTCTTAACCCTTGCGGGCCGGCCCGAGCCGTTTAACTCTCTCGGCGCTGGCTCGTCGAGCTCTGCCTCCTCGCTACCGCCCAGTTCCGCTACAGGAATTGACCTCTTATTTCTCTCCTGCTTTTGTTTTTTTCTTTCTTGATTGTCGTAGGTAGGCAAGCAGCCAGGCAGCGGGACTGGAGAGTTGGGGTCCCCTTAGGTCAATTTGTATCTGAGAAGCACTATCTCTCCTCCTTTTGCCCTTTTAATTGGCCTCGACTTCTACTTGGAAGTTCTGCCTATTTAAATGTATCTCCCTTGACCAAAGGACACCAACCTTCCTGTAGTGAGTACAAATTGTTGTGCCTTAGCACCAGAGCAAAGCCCCCCTACCCCCCCCCCCCCGCACCCTGCCACTTTAGTAGCATTTTACAAAACCGTGTTTCACTTCTTGTCCTATTAGTTGTTTACTGTCTGTTTCTTGCAATGGACGGTTAAGTCCCATAAGGGTAGGGCAGTGTGGGTTCGCAATGCTGGGTGCCCTGTACATTCCCTATAAATAGCTTGAATGAAGGATTCTCCTGCCCCTTAAGTCGTTTCCTTTCCACTCCACACAGAGCATTCGCTTGTAAATGCATACACTTACATTCATTTATTGACCGTAAACATGTGTGTTTGGTGCTTGACCCAGAAATATTATTCACACGTAAGCTTGGATTTAGTGTGCCTGACCCTGAAATACTATAGTACATTTTGTTTCATGGGATAAGATGTGTGAGGGAGAGAGACCGAGCTGACACTGTTTTTCAGGAGATAGTTCATTTAAGCAGCGGAATGTAGTGGAAAGAACTCTTTACCTGCTGAGTAATATACTGGGTGTGTTACTTAACCTCCTAGGGTGTCCCTTTCCTTAATTGGAAAATGGGAGTTAATCACAGTACTTCAAGGGTTTTTGTGAGGATTAAATTAGGAAATGTGTGGGGAAAGAACTTTGAAATTACTGTGTAATGTTAGTTATTATTTATGTGTGTATCTATTGAGGACTAACTGTTGGGAGATTCTGGAGAAATAATTGGTCTTGATACCTGCCCCACACTCTAGAGAGACAGTTCTAGAAGGAGAACACTGGCCAGTGAGGAAGGAGTACAATGTCAAATGCAGTATATCTTGTAGCATTCTTTTACTGGACAGAGTTGGAAAGGCTTTGGGGGCAGGTGAGGATTATTTTCTGGCCAGGGAATGTATAATTTTTGGGGAAATGTGCTAGATGTTATGAACATGTACCTTATTTCTCTACAGAGGAGAAGTGATCTGCCTGTAATTAGTTAATCTTCCTGCACCTGTTCACGACATCAGAAGCTCATAAAACAAAAGAGTAAATCAAAAGTTCCTCTAAAATCTTTACATCAAAAGGACTTTCCTTTCTTGCCTGTATCCCTGACAAGGACAACAGGGGTAACTGTCTACTGTCACTACTCAGAAGGTTTGCTTAACCTGCAACTCAGCTCTTGATGACCCTAAAACACTCCCACCCCCGTCTTTAAGGACAACCAAAGAGAGGGGTTCATGGCATCTCTAGATAACTTACTCCAGTGCTTAATTTTCACATTCATCAAATCTTCAACCTACCTCATATGCTTTAGGGCAAATACACCTTTTCCCCTCTCTGTCCTCAGTGAAGACCCCTGGGCTTGGGGCCTCTGTATCAATGGCTCTGTCCCCAAGTTTTCTTTTTTTTTTTTTAAAGATTTATTTTATTTATTTATACAAGCACTGGGTACAGTCAGAAGCGTGGGAGGGTGAGAGAATTCACCAGAGCCAGAGTGGGGAACAGAAAAGGCAGACAGACGATATACACTGCTGAGGGGAGCAGCGGGCGGCACATCTGTCCCCAAGTTTTCTTTTCACCAGCCCAGTGGTTGACACTCCATGAGGTTAGTTTCTGCCCCTTCTCTGTAATTGATCCTATTTTGCAACCCTTCAGTGTCAGTACAGTCTTGGTATTGCGGGGAATTCAATAATTTAAAAAAGAAATTCTGACTTCAAAGAGTTTACCTGACTAGTACATGGGAAGCAAATGCAAGGAATAATGCAGTTACTTCGATTATGCAGCGCAGCCACTATGATCACTGAAAGAATCAGGATCCAGGAAGTTAGTGTGGGCTGGTATTGTCAGGGAGGGAGGATTGAGATGAGCAAAATATGAGTGGGAGAAAGAGGGGCAATTTGAACCAGAATCAGGCACTGAATATGAACTCAAAGACAGACATCCTCAGAAGATGATGCAAAGTGGGAGAATTGGTTTGTTGGAGTGGCTCCAGGATGCTGAGCCCTGCCCTCCAGGGGCCCGCAGTATAACCTGCAGAGACTTTCTGGCCTGGGCACAGACTGTGATGCTTTTCCCCATCAGGATGAAGAGCTGAAGCCCCCACTCCCACTCCCCAGATATCCAGACACTGCCCAAATTGGGGAAAGGAAGCCTATGCAGTGCCAGACTCCAACTCTACTGCTGATCTTCTGAGGAAGGGGGCTACTGGGAAAGGGGTGGAGCAGAGGGGCCATCTGGGGAGACTTTAAAAGGGAGTGAGGTGGGCCTCCCTGGGGGCACAAGGGGTTAAGACCAAACCTATGGGGCTATCCGCAGCCACTGCAGCACGAATTCGATCCCGGCCAGGGAGATACCCACATGGTGCAGCAGACATCTCCTGACTCGCCTGCTACTCCCCTCAGCAGTGTATTTCGGTCAGTCTGCCTGTTCTTTTCCCCACTCTGTCTCTGGTGAATCCTCTCACCCTCCACACCTCTTGCCTGTACCCCAGTTCTTATATGAATAAATAAATAAATCTTCAAAAAAATAAATAAAAGGGAGTGAGGCACATGGATGTGCTCTCTTTATAGTTGGGACTACTGTGGAAGGTATCTGCACCTGTGGCCAGGTGAGCATTGGACTTTGGGTGATGGGGGAGGGGTGCAGTATTTGGTAAAAAAAAAAACTGCATCCTCTGGACAGCAGGACTTACTCACCCGGCTGGCTCCTGTAACTGCAGCTCTGCCTTGAACCATAGTTCCCCCTCTTCCTCTACCCTGTTAATTACAATATACATTTTGTTATCTCTTGCTGCACCAATGGCACTTTTGTTTGCATTTCTGACTGTGAGTGGCCAGACTCAACTAGTGAGAGAGGTTGTAACCTGGGGATAGGTCCTTCCTTCCTGCCTGCCTGCCTCCCTCCCTCTTTCCTTCCCTCCCTCCCATGAATGTCTACCAAATGGGAGACACTGAACTATACCCAGACCATCAAAGACAAAGACAGCCTGATCCCCATCCTTGAGAAGTTTACAGTCTGGCATTAAGAAGTAGAATTGGTCTGAGAGCCCCCATTGGTCTGAGCACTTTATCAAGACTTCCGTGATGCTTCTTTTATAACCCTTGTGATATATTGTGACTCCAGGTATCTATCTAATCTCTGCCTTTGCCTCTCTCCTGTCTCTGAACAGCAAGGCGCGTAAACACAGTCTGACTTGACTGGATCTTCATCTCCACTTGCAGAGTGCCTCCTGCGGAGAATCTATTTTGCACTGCTGTGCTGAAGTGCACCAGAGGTGAAACCAGAGCAAGAATGTGGCCATCCCCTTCAGCCAAGGGGCAGTGCACCTACCTCTTGCTAGAGGAATCCTGGTTAGTAGCCCTAGTGCAGCGCCCTCCTGTGGCTTCTCCTTGGCCCCCAGAATTCATTAGCAACTCCCCTGCTTGGCATTTTCCCAGTCTACCTTCCCAAGCCATTTTCTGCTAATTCTTTACCCTCTCCCTTAAGGGGCTCACTTGTTCTCTGAAGCTAGCCCCTCATCCCACCCCCACTGTTGTGACTATGCCAATTCTCCCTCCGGAGTCCCATCTCACCCCACCACGACCTCCACTGGTAAAAGTGTTATATATCTGTCAAATGCCTTCACGAAGCCTTCCTAACCTTGCCACCTGTGCATGTTATAAGGGCTTCTGAGACCCATTGCTTTGTCCCTCTCTTGTGGTATGGCTTGTAGAAATGTGTCTTTGGTGACATGTCTGGCCTCTTCCCCTGGATTGTAAACCCTGGAGTGGTAACACCTTCAACGGCCCATGGCAGACACACAACGCTTGAAAGAGAAGGTTTAGGAGAACAGGTCCTACAGAGGTGGGAAGTCAGCTCTGGAGGCCTCTTTCTAGGCCCCTTCATCTTGGTAAGCATTTTCTTTAGACTTTCAGAATTTCCAAGTCTGCCAATGTATCGAGCCCCAGGACTCAAATAACAGTCCAGCAATCCGGAGGTATAAAGGGAGTATTGTCTCAACGTGCCTACATATGTGAATACAAAACACACAAACACACACACACACATACATTCCTTCTTTTTAGCCCTCTTAATGCACACACTGTGATGGAGCCTGCTGAAACCAATTAACTTAATGCTACACCGAGAAAGTTGAAGGGAGCTACAGGAAAGCTCATGCTGTTCCAAGAAATCAGGAGCCTGGGGAGAGGGTGAGTGAAGGAGCAAATGTCCCTGCCAGGAGCTTGTGCGCTGCCTCTCAGCTTCCCAGACAGGTTTGTTCTCAGGCTGGGGCTCTCTGTGGACCACTGTGGCTGCATTTCTTTCTCAATTGAGCAAAGCCCTTTCTTTCATTCTTCTACCAGCTCTTTAGAGCTATTGCGTGCCCAACCCTTGCATAAGCACTTAGCACTGCCCACTTAACCCTTCATGGGACCACTGTTGATGCAGTCTGAGTGAACCAGTCAAGTCTGAGTCACAGCGTTGTAAGGCACACACCTTCTCTGCTAAGAATTAAGGATGCATATTTTGAAAGTAATGGCAATCTTTCGGTTATTCCTTCTCACTGTAGTACTTTTTTTTTTTTTTAAGATTTATTTATACAAACAAGAACTGGGGTATTGACCAGAGGCATGGGAGGGTGAGAGGATTCACCAGAGACAGAGCGGGGAGCAGAACAGGCAGACGGACCAAAATACACTGCTGAGGGGAGCAGAGGGCGAGACAGGAGAGTTCTGCCTCACCATGTGGGTATCTCCCTGGCCAGCCAGGAATCGAACCCACACTACAGAGGCTGTGGACAGTTTCACAATGCTGCCCTCAACCCGTTGCACCACCTGGGAGGACCCCACTGTAGTACTTTTTTAAGAGCAGCTTTCAAGAGTTGGAAATAACCTAAGTGCCCATCAACACATGAATGGACACAGAAGATGTGTAGATATACACAATGGAATACTACTCACCTATATAAAAAATGAAATCTGTAGTTATCAACAACATGGATGGACTAGGGAGTATTACGTTAAGAGAAATAAGTCAGAGGGAGCAAGGTAAATACCATATGCTGGGCCTCCCAGTGGCGCAGTGTTTGAGCGCTGGGTTGCGAAGCTGCCTGTAGCCTCTGCAGCATCAGTTGATTCCTTGGCTGCCGGGCGAGGGGTCCCACATGGAGCGCGCAGATCTCCCCAGCCACGCCTGCTGCTCCCCTCAGCAGTGTACTTCGTTAAGTCTGCCTGTTCTGTTCCCTGCTCTGGCTCTGGTGAATTCTCTCACTCTCCCACGCTTCAGACTGTACCCAGTGCTTGTATAAATAAATAAAATAAATCTTTAAAAAAATACCATATGCTTTTACTCGTATGATACAAAAGGAAACCAAACAAAGGAACTAAATAAAAATATACTTATACATGGCAAGACCAAATGAGTGGTTACTAAAGGGAAGGGGTTGGTGGGTTAAGTTGGGTGAAAGGAGTCAATTATGTGGTGAAGGATGGAATTGGACTTTTATTGGTGACTTAAATGTTCTATTTACCGCTGTTGATTTATAATGCCTGCACACCTGAAACTTATGTTATAATGCAATGTTTCATCAATAAACCATTAAAAAATTAAAAGGCAGATTTATTGAGATATAACTTACACACCATAAAGTTCATCTGTTTAAAGTGTGTAAATCAGTGGTCTTTAGTCTATTTACAGAGTTGAGTTGCTATCCCTATAATCTGATTTTAGAACATTTTCATCATCCCCCAAACTAATATGGGTGATTTTTTCCTTTCATTCTGAAAATATATTTATCTGTTTATTTTTTTTTCCTGTTCATTAAAAGCAAAAGGAAAAATACATGAGGGAGAAGTGAAACTCCTAGAGATACTCAGCATGCAAAGGAATTATAGCTCTCAAAGCTGTGTTTCACTTAACTGCCATGTCTAGCTGCAGTCATTTAATTAACTGTTCCAAAATGCATGCTTTGTTGTTGTGTATGCTCTTGAGTAAATGTGCAGGGCCACATCCTCAAAAAATTTTCTAGTTTGTTGTGTCTTTCTCTAATGCCAAAGGGCTCTTCAGTGGGTTTGGCAGAGACAATATTGCAAATTCCAGATTGTTAATTCCCACAAGGCAGTCATTTTGTAATATGCTTTGGATGGTACCACATGCATATGGGCATTTAATACACTTTTTCTTTTTACTATGATGGAAGCGCTTTGATTTTTTATTCACTCAGTTTAATGCATGAAGTAATTGCATTAATTACTGCATGAGGTAACTGCGGCCACATGGGAGTTCCAGGTTCCTCAAACTTCTCTCCAGAAGTTTCCTGCTCAGAGTGCCAGGAAGCTCCCATCACCCACAGGTAATGTGTTAAGGAGGTAAGCCGAAGGATCTTTGAACCTCTCTCCTGACTAACCCAGAGGGGTCCTAAAGTGGCAGTCCTTACCCTGACTGCAAAGTAACTTTTAAAATATCCTATGCCTGCCCCCAGCCTCAAAGATTCAAATATAATTGTCTTAGGGGTGAGGACCTAGCAAGGGAATTTAAAAAAAAAATCAAAAAACGACTCAACAATCTAATTTGCAACCCAGGCTGAGAAACACTGTTCTATTAGTCAGTAAGCCAGAATTGTATTAGAAATTGCCTTCTTTTTAAGGCAAAACCAGTTGGATATTGGCAATTTCATAGCAATCGACTTAATATATAGGCAACTGATTTTTTCTTTTTGAGGGAGAGGAAAACTTAGTCTTTGAGAAAATCTTCTACAGGAAATCAGTCCTTTCTCTCCAAACCCTGGAGAAAAATTGATAGGGAGGCAAAAGACCTGGGCAGTGAGGATATTCCCCATTAGTGGACTGGACTCCCTGCCTCTGACCTCCCAGTGAAGCTTAAACATTCACAAGCCCGTGACTGCCAGCCATGAGGGAAGTAACCATTTGGCAAGCCAAGGATGAGACAATCAGAGTGTCAAGGGACTATGACAGAGCCTAGTCCCTTTTTCAAAGGCATTTACATTAAGAATATTGTGTATATATATTACATATATGTTAAATATATAAACTACAGGGCAGACCAAATAAACCACATGTATAAGTGAAATCTAGTGCTCACGGCTGTAGTCTGTGACCTTGTTCTTAAAAGGTAGACGTGCATGAAACAGGGAGGCGGCTCAGAATATAGGAAGATAAGATACTCAATACAGTGGGACTTAGAACCCAGGGAGAAAAACCCAATGCCTGGTGTACCTTGGGGAGTCCTGTGGGTGAAATGGGGAGACAGGGCAGTCCCTCAGAGGAGGGAGTATAGGGTACCCTGAAGGGAGTAAGGATTTTCAGAGAGGTTACCAAATTCCTGGCAGAAATGGTAATGCCAGAATAGTATTTCCCCCATAGCAAGGTATATCAAAATGAGGGAGGAGATAATTAAAACAGTAAGACAATGGCCAAGTCACCTTCGAATCTGTCTTTGGGTTTCTAATTCTCATTGAATATGACCACCACTCACCAGAAAAGCCAGTCTAGACTCATCTTCCTCACCCTTTCCTCCTGTTAGTACCATGTCCTTCCATCTCCAGCTCATTCCCTCAGGCTACCACCGCTGCTCACGTACACATTCCCTTTTCTCACCCCTGAATTATACCAATGGCCTCTTTTCTGGCCTCTCTGCCTTCCCACCTTAACACCTTGCATGAATTATACCAATGGTCTCTTTTCTGGCCTCTCTGCCCTCCCACCTTAATGTCATGCATTCTAGAAAATCGATGTAGACAACTACATCTGGAAAGATTCTTCTAAAAGAAATCCTGAACCGTATTAGTGATCTGGTTCTCACCCTTCAGTGACCCGGGGAGTAAGGCCAAGATTCTCGGGAGAACATGTGAAACCTTTAGAATGTGCCCCACCTGCCCCCACAGCCTCCTCTGCTTCTCTTTCCACACACTTTTTATTCTGGAAGTACTGAACTGTTTGGAATCTTCCTGCATACCCATGCTAGCTCATGCCTATATGCTTTTGTTCAAGTTGAAGTTGTTCTTTCTGAAATTCCCTTCCCACCTTCTTCCAGCCTTAACCTTTAAAATGTCATTTTTACTAAAAGGCACAGTACCCCACTTCCCACACCTCCCTCTATCTTACACTGATTTAACATCTTCTTTTTAAAATATATGCATTTACTATAAATTTTCCTCTAAGCACTACTTTAACTACTTGCATCCTAGTTAACATGTTTTGGTATCCTGTGCTTTGTTTTCATTTCATTTCCTAATTTCCATTAGTACAGATTTATAATCATTACTTTTCCTCATCCTTATAGCTAAATCATTTGTTTCTCATGCCAACTGAAAGCTCTTTAAGAGGATGGATTATGTCTTATTTATATTTGTACACAGAATATTCTATGTGGTATATTTGTATGCACAGAATCTGCTACACAGTAGTTTCTCAATAAATATTTGTTGAGTGAGAAGAAAATGGATTGAACACTGCAGAGGCCAGCAGAGGCTAGAAGACTTTACCAGATCACTGACTAAGGATGCATAGGTGGCTGAACTAAATTTACATCATCATTGTGACAACTCTATGCTTAGTACACCTTCATCTTTAGCGAAGTTAGTCAGTTGTGGGTAAATGAGTGATTCTCGGCCAAATCCATTTCTTCGTAAGTTCTAGGGCAGTGTTGGCGATATCAAAAACATTCTTTTACTATGGTAAAAAAATAAAAACAAAAAAAGGGTGGGAATTTTATGGGGACAATAACGAAGATGAAAATGCATGCATCGTACAAAAATGAAAAATGATATAAAATATATAAAATAAAAATTAAAAAACCCTAGATTTATATCTAGTTGATATAAATGTGATGTTTAGTGGGATGGGTAGTGGAGGATGGGTTAGGTCTAGTAGGGAGAGAGAGAAAGAGAGAGGGAGGATATGGATGATTGTCAGGAGGCCAGAGAGTAGGCATGAGAACTGAGCTCTGATAAAGTGCTTACAGAAGGAAGCAAACCAACCTCAAAAACACCAAAAGGAAAACTTTTAATAATAACGGTTGGACCAAATTATCTGATATCAGCAACAAAAGCATTTCCATGACCTCCGTTCAAGGGCCTCAAAGTCATGGAGTCTCGTGCAAGGATGTACTGACTTTGAACTTGATCCAGTCTCCCCATGTTACTGATGTGGAAATAAACTCAGAGTTGGGTAACTTGCCCATAGTAACACAGCTGGTTAGAGAAGAATCAGAACTGGATCCTGGATGCCAACCCTCAGTCCTCTCTCCTCGATGTGGCTCTCTGATAGCCCAGAACTATCTTCTCATCTCAACCCCCTGTCAGAAAGAGGCCTGTCTCTGCACCTGGCTCGTGATTAACTTCCGGTAGCATTCACAGCTCTTATTATTATATGGGGTAGATGCTGTTGGCTTCCCACCTGACAGTCATTTCTTCATCCTTCCCTCCTTCAGCCTCTGGTAGGGGTCAGATATTTTTTACATCATTTTTCATTTTTGCACAATGTATGCATTTTCATCTTGGTTATAGTCCCCACACAATTCCCACCCCCTTTATTTTGACCATAATTCTTCCTACCCGCCCCCCATCCGTAGTGTGTCTCTGGTTTATAGTTGCTTGATTTTGATTTTTACTTTATTATAATTAGTCTTTTCCCCCATCCCTTATTTAGGTTTTCTAAATTCCTACTATGAGTGAGACCATACAATTTTTTTTTTTTTTTTTTTTTTTTTTTTGCAGCCTCTCAAACTGCTAGAACATGGACCTCTGAGTGATTCAAGTTGATGGGCCTGGAGGAGAAATCGCCTGAAGGGCTTCTGGGAGACCTTTCCCTTCTTATTAAAAGGTGAAAGACGAGGGGGAAATGCCCACATTCCTGCTTTCAGAAAACTCTGTCAAGAGGTTCGTGTAGTTTGGCAGCACATTACAACCATGAAGGAAAAGTGTAAGGATGAGGCCAACCCTCTGAAAAAGGCAGAAAGGAAAACTAGAACTATTAGACACTTTTCTTTTTTGCAATTTTGAACTTCTGAAGTGTAATACTGTTGTGACAGGAACTTTGTTGCCACCTCGCAGCAGGAACGTGATGAGAAACACAACAGTTGTGGAGCAGGTTTGCAAGGCAAGACTCTGCTACTTGAGCAGAAGTTCTTGGGCCATTTAGTGAAATCATACAGGCTAGTAAAAAGTGATGCTGTGACAATGGTATGAGGAATAAAGTCTGGAGGGTAGGATGGAATGGAGGATAATGTTTTATGAAGAACAGAGAAGGGGGCATTGTGACCATAACTCAAGAGACATTTGTGTATGTACTGATGTTATCACAGGCAAAGTTATCCTGAGACCACCATGGAGATCATCACGTAACAGGCCAACCTCAGCCTAGGTGTCCCTGGGCCTGCCTCGTGATATGGGCTATTCTCCTTGGGTAGTCAAGGAATGCTCTGTTGTGATTTGCAGACAGCAAATAAATCACAGTTGCCCATGAGTGCTCATAGGAACCCACATAATACCTATATAGAAATTTATTAAGCACATAGACCTTTCATAAATTGAATAACCCATGTTACTAGCCTCTTCTAATCACTACTTATCTCTAGTGGCAGACACTATCCTGGCACCTAACATCGTAGACAACTTTTGCCTGATTTTATACCTTTACATAGATGGAATCTGATTGGACCCTGAAGGTCAGGGTTCTGAATACATAGAACTCTTCTGTGTCTGCGTCTTTCATTTCCTTTATGTCTGTGGGATTCATTCATGTTGGGAGTAGAGGTAGGCAATTCATTTTCATGGTTGCATAGAATTCCATTGGGAGAATATGTTGTGATTTATTCACTTACTCTTGGTGGACATGTGAATAGTTTTCAGATTTGGAGTGACACCACTAGTGCTGCCGTGGGCATTCTTCTGCCATGAAGACTGGGTTGCCTGGTAGTACGCTGCTGAGTCACTGGGTTATGTTCAGCGCTGGTAGGTAGTGCTCATTTTCCAAAGGAGTTGGAATTTCCACTCACTCCAGCAGGCTACTACAGCAGTAGAGCTACCTGGATGCTTTCTGAATCTTTGAATTAACGAAACCTGGAAATGTCTACTTCCAAAGTGTGTGTGAGGAAGGGCAAATCAGAGGATCTGTTACATGCAGACCAAAGTACTCCAACTAAGGCACTCTACAAGCATAGATCAAGTTGCTCTGCTCTGAAAGACACCTTTCCTTTAAAGGTCAACACTCCTGGGCCTCCCTGGTGGCACAAGGGGTTAAGCGTCAGCACTGTGAAGCAATCTGCAGCTACTGCAGCCTGAGTTCGATCCCCGGCCAGGGAGATGACCCACATGGCGAAGCAGACCTCTCCTGTCTTTCCTGCTGCTCCCCTCAGCAGTGTATTTCAATCTGCCTGTTCTGCTCCCCACTCTTGTCTCTGGTGAATCCTCTCACCCCCTGCATCTCTGGCCTGTACCTCAGTTCTTTTTTTTCTTTTTTTTTTTTTTTTTTAATAGAGGCATGTTTTATTTATTTATTTATTTGTTTGTTTGTTTTTTTGTTTATACATGCACTGGGTACAGTCAGAAGCGCGGGAGGGTGAGAGAATTCACCAGAGCCAGAGCGGGGAGCAGAGCAGGCAGAAGGACCGAAGTACACTGCTGAGGGGAGCAGCGAGCGGCAGGAGAGGTCTGCGCGCCATGTGGGACCCTCCTCCAGTGGCCGGGGAGCAGCCGGGGATCGAACCAGCGCCACAGAGGCCGCGGGCAGCTTCGCAACCCAGCGCTCAACCGCTGCGCCACCGGGGAGGCCCCGTACCTCAGTTCTTATATGCATAAATAAATATATCTTTAGGGCCTTCCCTGGTGGCGCAGTGGTTGAGTGCTGGGCTGCGAAGCTGCCCACAGCCTCTGCAGCGCTGGTTCACTCCCTGGCCACTGGTGAGGGTCCCACATAGCGAGCAGACCTCTCCTGCTGCGCCCATTGCTCCCCTCAGCAGTGTGTTTCGTCAGTCTGTCTGTTCTGTTCCCTGCTCTGGCTCTGGTGAATTCTCTCACCCTCCCGCGCTTCTGACTGTACCCAGTGCTTGTATAAATAAATAAATAAATCTTAAAAAAATATATATTTATCTTTTAAAAAAATGAAGGTCAACACTTCTGACCTGCTAGGCCACAGTATGCCCATCAAAATGTCCAGGAACATTTTCCTGCATAGATCAGGCCCTCTCTCATTTCCGGTGACTGCTGTGTAGCTGTCCTGGTCCACTGGACATCATATAACCTAGGAAGGCAACTTTCAGCTTCTCCGGTTGTATAATTCACCAAATAAGGCCCCCATTACACAGAAGTAAATATAGCATGTTCCATGAAAGGTAAGTTCTGGAGAAACATGCAAGGGAAATGAAAATAATTTTGGCCTCTGTCTTTACCCTCCTCATTACACAAATACAGACTGGCAATTCACAAATCAACGCAAGGTTTTCATCATGCAAAAGTTTGGAGTAAGGAGGAAAAAAAGTCATAAGTAAAATAGTTTATACAGTGCCTTTCCTTGTCCTTTTTAAAATCAAAAGAGGTTCAAGCAACAACATTCTCCTGAGTTGAAACCAGCAGGGGCTGGGGCAGCTCAGGACAGTGCTCCTTTTATGCTCTGGCAGTGAAGACTGGGCTTATTCATAGAACTTTCTGGGCTGTTAGACCACACCCTTTCTGGGCTGCTGTGGGTGAACCATGGCTTAGGCTGGGCCTTGATGGGGTTGCTGACCTCCAAGGAGAATCTGGGGTCCACTTCTGAAGCGGCCTTCCTGTGTGCAAGCATGCTGACTGGCAGCTTTAATGTCAAGTATGAGCCATTGCTCTTGAAGCTTTCATCCCATATTTCCTAAGCTGCTGCCACGAGCAGGGCTGGGAAGGATACAGGGCATCAGCTTGCTGGAGACACAGACACATACTCAGAATCACAAGACAGTGATTTCTCTTTTTTTCTTTTTCTTTTCTCTTTTTTTTCCTCAAGGTTTATTATTAAAAACAATTTTTTTTACCCTAACATTGTATTTTAAGATTATAGAAGCTTCAGGTGTACATCGCTGAAAATCACCATGTGTACACACACTACATGAAGTTCACCACAAGTCCAATTCTATCCTTCACTGTACACAAGACATTCTTTTCATGCCACTTGCTCATATGGCAAACACCTACCTGCCAGCTATTTTTCCCAGTGCTACAATTTCCATAGAGTTGGAGTGTAGGGGAGGCTGGGTAGGTGGCCAGGGAACTAGATGGGACTTTTTTTTCTTAGATTGTACACTGCACACTAATAAATACAGTAAAGTTTTCCAAAGATGCCTTTATTCATGTACACACATGGAGAAAAATGTCAGTTTTCCATATCACGTATTTCACATTTAAAATGTGTTTCTGGTTTTCTTACCAGAGGTAGGGGAGGCAATGATGGAGAGGGTGGGAGGCTGCTAAAGCCAGTTCTTCTCAAGTCACCCGCCACCCCCAGCTGTCTCTAGCCAGCCCTCTTTAGGCAGAAATGGTGGCATCTAATGTTGGGGAGCAGGGAGTCATTTTTGTGTGACCAAATGATGCAAGGCAGGCTAATGAGTGCTGTTCCTTAGTCTGCTTTCTGGAACATGCTTTCACTGTGTAGTGAACACCTACTGAAGCCAGCTGCAGTATGGGGTCCTGAGGGTCTGAGAATCCTCGTTCTCTGAACTCACAGGGTGGGGAGTCTCTAGGATTAGTGTTGCCTGATAAAATACAGATACCCAGTTAAATGTGAGTTTCAGATGAAAAAAAAACACACTTTTTAAATACAAGAAGGACTGTGTGATATTTTGATTTGCTGAGTCTGGCAGCCCTCCCTGGGAGAGGCCATATAGAAAGCCAAGTGCTCAGGAAGTTGAGGGAAAAGGACTTCCTGCTTTAGTGCTTAAGTGACCTTTCCCTCAAGGACACCACAACCTTGCCAGCACTCTCTAGCCTGCAGCTGCATTACTCTGAAATGGCAGTGTGCACATGTGTGCTTAGCATTAGTCTCACCCAGGAGGCAGGAAGCTGCTCCAGGGCAGGGTCCTTATCCATCTGACTTACTGTCCTGATCTGTAGGGACTATTGTTGAATCCATGAGTGTCTCTGTGGAGACGGGAAAGGGCATTGCAGTCAGAGGAGGCTTCACAGAGGAGGTGGCATGGAGAAAGATCTTAAAGAAAATTAGAATAGGTGGACATAAGGGTGGAAAGGGTACTCCAGGCAGAGGGACCAGTGTGAGCAGAAATGGGGACCAGAAGAGCAGATGGCTAAGTTTTGTTTTGTTTTTTTTTTTTAAGATTTATTTATTTATTTATACAAGCACTGGGTACAGTCAGAAGTGTGGGAGGGTGAGAGAATTCACCAGAGCCAGAGTGGGAAGCAGAACAGAAGCTCTGAAGTACACTGCTGAGGGGGCCAGCGGGCGCGGCAGGAGAGGTCTGTGCGCCATGTGGGACCCTCGCCGGTGGTCGGATTTCGAACCAGCACTGCAGAGGCTGCGGGCAGCTTTGCAGTCCAGCGCTCAACCGCTGTGCCACCAGGAGAGGCCCCAGATGGCTAAGTTTTATAGGTGTGTAGGGATGTATTTGGCAAAGAGGTGGGGAGTGGGAAGAATAGCAAGGGGTTAACCTCCAGAGGTTCTCCTGCCCCTTCCCCACTGAGGGAGAGCCAGAGAAGGTCTTAAGGGGAAGAAGAATTAGAGGACTATGAGGTCAGCACAGAGAGGGTAGCCTGGGGGGCTATCTCAGCCTGGTGCAGACCCACGTATGAGAGGATGAGAACTGAACATCAGTGTAGATGGTATGGCTGGAGAAAGGGGAACAT